CCGTACAGAGGCAGACCACAGATGATTTTCGCGGGATGTACACCGCCAGCCATATATGCACGAAGAGCACCATCGATGGAGAACGTTGTGGATGCAGGATTCTCTCTAGATAGGTAAAGGTTTGCTTGGTGCCCTGCATTGCTGTCCCAGCTTCCAGCGAAATCATAGCACATCATGTTCCAGAAGTCAAGGTATCGATCCATGTCCGCCATACGGAGCACGGCATAGTTGGACGCTCCACACGGTGCAGCAACGGTCAACAGCAACCTGCCGCCGTCTGGACGCCGGACAACCTCGGCAGAGAACTTGTCTAGTTCGTACCTCACGGCTTCGAGGAGGAGTACGAAGTTATATGCCTCCATGTCATCCTTCGGGTATTCCCAGTCAATGTCTATACCGTCGAAACCCAGGTTGGCCACCAACTTAACGGCAGAGCGAGCAAAGGTCTCACGGCCCTGAGGAGTGGATGCTGGAGCGGCGAAGTTGGAAGAGTATGTCCAGCCGCCTATGGAGAGTAAGGTGTGGAAATGGCGATGCTGTTTCTTGAGGAGGAAAAGCTGCTTGATGCATCCGTAGACGTTGTTTCCGGTGTCATTCCAGGAATCCTCGGGGTAGTGTTTTTCTAGGTCTGAATAGGTGTCTGACAGGTAACTATAACCACGTTAGCAGTATACCTAGATAGACAGTTAATGGGGCATTACTCACACTTCGCCTGTCTCTGGACGAACATTGGCAAATGAATCTAGAGAACAACAATTAGCAAGGTCCCCTGATAAGGAACTGACTGATACGTACAGAGGATATGGGTTAGGTGGCTAGCTGGGATATCCGCAGGCTGATAGTTGCGGCCATAGATGCCCTACAGAAAACATTAGAGTGCGTCCTAGCCAGCAATTAAGACTCTAGCTAACAGGAAGCAAACTCACCCAGTTTGTGAAGTATCCCACTGTCTTCATGCCAGGTCTTCCGCCCTGGAGGAACGGCACAGCGGAAGCAACGTTGACGACCCCGCGCGCGGAGGACTCGGCGGGCGGGGCGGAGGCGGGCACAGCGGACTGAGCGGACACAGCGGGCGCCGGAGGAGCAGGAGGTGCAGGAGTTCCACCCGCAGCGCCAGGCAGGTTCAGGACTTGGCCGCACTCGATGGCGGCGGGATCTGCGACCTGCGGGTTGGCCGCGATGAGGGCGTCGAGGGAGACGCCGTGGTCGTTGGCGATCTTCCACATGTAGTCGCCCTGCTGGACGGTATACGTTGCCATTGTGCGTGTTGTAGTTATTATCAAGCAGTGTTCAGTTATATATCGATTGACGGTGATGTCTTCTTCAACTCCTTTGCTTTCTTGTGTATTTTATATCTTCAACGGAGAGCTATCTGCTTCGATCTATATACTCGAAGCCACCAGGGCGCAGCCTTCAGCCCTAACCAACGCTCCACCTGGACAGCCCCTGGCTATTAACAACCAACTATTTAACTAGCTAACTGCAACATGACGAGTATCAGCCGCAGCGGTTCAGCCACACAACATGCGTTCAATGCATCTCTTTATTGTTAGAATATTCCAATAAGAGACGCCTCGACGAAGATGCATGTACCATCTAGTTAACTGTTAACTAATACGAGTTAACTATCGCGGCGGCGATGGCGCGGACTCATAGTTGCGCCGATCGATCTTCACAAGATGCGCAACCTCGGCACGCACATGAGGTCGAATGCGATTCGATCCACCTTGCGATTTGGACTCTGGGGAAAGCGTTGGGGACAAGAAAAAACCCCGAGATGTCGGCCGAGCAGCGATGATAGCTATATATATCAAATGAGGGAGGGCGTGGACGAGGTTACGAGTTGGTTGCGCGCAGGATACAGCACAGGATAATCAGTCAACAGGTTGCTAGTTACAGAGGACAAGGATCGAGATGGCTTCAAAGGTGGCATGGCAGGCGCCCGCTGGCAACAAGGGCTTTACCGACACCGGGATAGTGATCATTGGCGGTGGTATCTCTGGTAAGTGGCCTCCTCTGGTGCTGCGTTGGCTGTAGGGGGCATTGCTAACTTGGCTTGCAGGAATGTGCATGGCCATCAGCTTGCTCAAGAACAACATCCGCAACTTCGTGATACTCGAGAAAAGCGCTGGACTGGGTGGAACATGGAAGGACAACAAGTACCCTGGATGCTGCTGCGATGGTATGTCTCCCTGCGTCTTCTCTTCTTGTTTTTCTATGCTGACTGGCTCTAGTCTTCTCCCATCTCTACAGTTTCTCGTTTGCGCAGAACCCCGACTGGACCAGGTTATATCCTTCGCAGGAAGAGATATTGGTACGGCAAGCTATTCCCTATTATGCACCAGAGGGTGGATTATTAACCGGATATGCGTGACAGAACTATTTGAACGATGTCGGAGACAAGCATGGTCTACACAGATATATACGCTTCAGTTCGATGGTGGAGGAGTGCCGGTGGAACGAAGACGAGAAGAAATGGAAGACGACAGTACACGTTGAAGGCGCCAAAGACTCTGAGTTTGGTGAAAGATACACCATTTCGTCGGACTTCCTCCTCTCTGCTGTTGGCCAGCTAAACTACCCACACTATCCATCAATTCCTGGCATTGATGACTTCAAGGGCAAGCTCATGCACTCAGCACGCTGGGACTGGAGCTATAGCATCAAGGGCAAGAAGGTTGGCATCATTGGAAATGGTGAGTCTTCTACTATATCAGCACTTTCACTTTCACATTGGCATTGGCTTACAAGTGTATTAATTTTATAGGAGCTACGGCTGCCCAAATTATCCCAGAAATTGCGCCAGAAGTATCACATCTTACTGTCTTCCAGCGCACTCCCAACTGGGTCGCACCTCGCTACGATATGTCGATGACTCTGCCTATAAGATTCATGTTCAGATACATACCCGGCGTCTTATCCAAGTTCCGCGCAATCATAATGGATGTTCGTGAAAGCCTCTTTACTTCCATCCTCAAGCCTGAATCTCAGATCAACGGCTACCTGAAGAAAATCAATGCGAACATGATGAAGCGACAACTCGCAAACAAGCCGGAGCTCTGGGAGAAATTGACTCCAAACTATCCCCCGGGCTGCAAACGTATCATCACCAGCGATGACTACTACCCTGCTCTAGCCCGGGAGAACGTGAGCCTTGAGACAGGTCATATCGATCGGATATCTGAGTCTGGGATCGTGGTTGACGGCACTGAACAGCAGTTCGATCTAATAATACTCGCCACCGGTTTCCGCACGGTCGAATTCATGCATCCTATAAAGGTATATGGTGAAAACGGGCGGTCGCTCTCTGATATCTGGAAAGGGGGTGCCCGCGGCTTGTACGGTATCACTATTGAGTCTCTGCCGAATTTCGCTATGCTGTACGGGCCCAATACCAATCTAGGCCACAGCTCCATTATCCTCATGGTCGAGGCACAGACACGCTACATTATGAGCTTGCTGACTACCGTCCTTCGTTCCAAGAAACGTGGCAAGGCTCTCACAATCACACCCAAGGTTGATCGTATCGATGAATTCAATGAATCTCTGCAAAAGGACCTGGCCAAATCATCCTTTGCTCATCCAAACTGTACCAGCTGGTATAAGAACGACGAAGGGCTGATCACTAACAACTGGTCCAGCAACGTACTCGATTACCAGAAACTCTTATCGAGAGTGGACTGGACTGACTTTGATATGGAAGGAGATGACTTTGTGAAAGGCAAGACATACACTCGCATTGGGCGTGTTCGGGAAGAGTCGCTCGTCGGAATCCGGACTCTGTCTGCTGCAACTATTGCAGCTGCCGTTATTTATACAGTGTTCCGACGGTCACCAGATTTTTTCCCGGGACTACTTAGATCCCTCAATCTTTCTTGATCGCTTTTTTTCTTTGATACCTATATACTTCTTGTGATTTACAAAGGCCGTTTCCTATTCATCGAATGGCCATTTTGTTCTTTTTGGCATGTAAATTACGCCTGGTTGGCTTTCAATTGGTCGCTATGCTAGATAAAGATTTCAAATCCAATAAAGACTTTTGGATGATTTTCTTGCGGCCTAAATGCAGATGATTGTAAAGGCCCCTTTTCCTCCCAGAAACAATGAAGAGAAGGTATTCGTGTCACGGCAGGTCAAAACTGAAAAGCATAACAGGAAGCTGATCGGCGACGATCTGATGGTAATGCCCTGTTGCTGCGCCTTCGCACACGGGCTATCAACGAGTATCTCGCTGGTTGTCCCGTTCTGTGAAACCGGTTTCCTTTCCCTTCACTAAGCCGGTCAATCTGCTCTGGAGCTTGTGTTTTTGCTCCTGTGCATCGAAACTGTACTGGCGAGCCTTATGCCGTGGCTTCCACTCGCCCTGATCAATCTTTGGGCTGATTTCGGCGGATGAGGGAGCTGACGGAGAGCGACCAGGGTTATGGTCCTGGGCCTTTGGTTCTTCGAAGCTGTCTCTCTTGGGGTCGTGGTAAGGTTGCTTCGTTTGTGCTTCGGTGGTCATGGTTGAAGTGATAATGGATCGATTGTTAACTGTGGTTTTGGTTGATGTGCTGAATTCCTCTACAAACGACATTTGAGGGCCCGACAAGCGACTACTTATATAGCTATGGAATGTTAGACGAAAAGCCTAGAGCTTCTCAACCTCCCCCTCGAATATGAGATCATATTCCGGCTTGCGGTAGCACAGGAATCTGCGGGATAACCTGATCCAAGCACCATGGAATGCAGCGCCAGGTACAGGTACTGGTACATACGGAAGCTGCTCGACTTCTTCCGGGTCTCGCTACAAACAATGTCGGTTACCTCGCTCATTGAAAACTGAAATATGATCTCAATGAAGGTATTATTGGCGAGAAAACTTGCTCTGACCAGGGCTTTATGCACACGCCACTGTCTTACACTATAGCTACAAGTCAACTATGATCAGGGGGGTGTAACGGCAACCTTAACTGTTCCGGTTCCCAGTAATCTCCTCCGGAAAGGTACGTATACGCGCCTCTTCGGCCCGGTAGAAGTCAGATCAGCATTTTGATATCATAGCAAAGGAGAAAATATGGAGACTTGAGCGTCACTGCCTGTGCACGGCCACGAGGTGATATCATGATGTGCAGAATATGCACTCAAGCCATCGCGCTTGACGATTCCTGACGAATAAAAGGCTTAAGGAACTTGCTAGAAACACGCATCTTACCTTTGCCATAAGGAATTCTGGTACCCTATGTATAAGTAATCGCTTAAAGGAGAAACATATCTAGCCACCATCCGAATTCTACAGCAATTGAGCTCGGGGTGTTTCTAGAAACCAGTCAGAAAAGCCGAGGTATCGCTTATAAGTCGCCATCAGCCTAGCACAGACCTCTTGAAGGGAATGCTGTTTACTCCATAGAGGCCTAGGTACTCTGAATACTTCACACCTGAGTCGGCTAAGCACAAACCATCCGATGCTGCCATACTGTGATACCCGTAGACTCTCATGACGCAGTGAAGCACAATAAACTCAAGGATAGGGCAAAAGAGCTGTATAATGGCGCACATATGGTAGATAGCCGATGCATACTCAGACAAGTATGGTGTCAACATACTCCATACTGCCCTGTTAATACATGGCGAAACTAGGAGGGTATAGTGAGACATGGATGGTTGACGCAGCTGGCTACTGAAGATATTGGCGGCTATGCATCCTGTATATCTACGGCCGTCAATGAGCGTAGAATGGTTCAGGCATGGCCTCGGGATAACGATGACGATGAAGATACAAAAGTTGGACAAGAAAACTTCGATGTTCGTTTTTTTGTTTCTCTTTGGGAAGCAGAGGGCAGGGTGGCCGCTTTAAGGGTGGTGGTAGGGCTGTTAAAGCAGCGGTAGAAACTATGTAATCATCATACACAAAATACATACTACTCTGCATACCGATTGGATGTACTTCGTACCTTTGGTTATATAATGCTATTTACTTACTAGCGTATTATACATGACGCTAGTCCTAATTAAGAGAGTTAACGCCTAGACATATTAAAAGCATATCACGGGACATGTATATAATGCACTTTTCTGCATGTGACGAAAATACATACAGCCAATGAATGACAAGTATTTTTATTACATAATTCAATGCAACGGGCACACCAAACTTACCGGAGTATCATTTATCCATAGTGGATTACATAATATTACGTAAGGTTCGAGGTCGAATTTCAATTCCTCGCAGGTTAACGAAAAAGTGCAAGCAAAAGACATTCATTAGTGAAGATTTGGTTCATAGTTTTTGATTCAAGTAGTGGTAGAGCTGGCGCATATTCACCTTCTAATAGCTGCTGTGTAAGTCGATAAAGTATGTATTGGCTGTAAGCCTGCAAAAGAGTGCGGAGTGTTGTGCGTCTTGTCAGTGACCTCACACCCAAAAGTTGTTGCCGCCAAACTAGTAAACTCGACCACCACTGACAGGTAACTCACCACCGGCGGGTTCCTCATCATCTTCCACCACACACCTTGGACTCCGGAATTGTCTATCTGTCTCTCAGTTTGCTGCTCGCTTCACCCTCTTTGCCTAATGTGGCACATAACTCTCGCGTTTCGTTTCCTTCCACGTATCTTTGAAGAGCCGGGGAACCTCGTAGTGCCGTTATCAGGGCGGGATCCAAGCATCTGTGGGAGGAGACCATGGAGCGCGCAAGAAAGAGTATGTTGGATCGTGACGGCATTTCGTCGTGTCTAGCAGGCATCATTGCAAGGTCATAGCTAATCTATCGTTATAGGAGAGCTCCGGGATCTAAACGCCGCCGTTTGGGCGGGAGACACAGGTATCGTCCATGTTCTAAGCTCGGTGACCTTATATGGCCAAATAGCTCCTATCTCAAGACTAGATGCTAACCTGGGAACCGGTTTTGTTTACTACAGACATCTTTGAAGTTAGCAAATCCCTAGACTCTGCACTGAAGAAGAATACGGCCTTTATCAAACGTCTTCGCACTGGAATCACTGCCTCAGCTCTGCCCACATTTATCACCGATGTTCGCTCGCTTTCACTCCATAAATACCTCTCAGAAATTATATCAGCATTTTATGAGGGTCTCTGTAAGCTCAAGACACCGGGAGAAATCGCGGCAGGCGTTGAAATTGCCAGCGCAATCCATCAGCGTTTTGGCCCAGATGAATTTACGAAACGACTGGCGTGGAACTTGGGCCGTGGACTAACCTCGCCGGATAAAGCACAGCTCAAAGCCTGGACACAAGAAGTCCGTGAGCGGGAAGAAAAGGAACGCCTATCCCGACACAGGGTTCTACTCCGCGTGGTAACAGAGTTCTGGCTGGCCGGTCTCCTTCGAAGTTTAGATGATGTAGAGAGACCAGATGATTCTACACCAAAGGGCAAGGACACGATACCAACTCTAGGTGGAAAGGGGTCCGATGGAAGTTCTAAACCTCGACAGTCTGCGAAACTAAACCAGGATAAGGACGAGGAACCGTTCCCCCTTGAGGTGCTAAAGGACTTACTCGGGTACGATAGAGAACATGTCAATTTGCCCTTGGCTCTACTCTTTGCTAGGACATATAGCTGGGATATCTTGGGAATTAAGGCTGTTGAGGAAGGGAGAAAAACGGTAGAGGCAAATGGAACCACTACAGACACCTCCAAGGAAGTACAAGGCGGTACGTCTGGGGATGAGGCTGGCACAAATACATCTCAGCTCGATGACCCACCACTGATTTCTGAAAAAACTCAAACGCGGTTTAAGAACGTGTTAAACAGATATCTTGAAGACGTGAAGAAGCATGTTAGCCGGGATCAAAAAGCTCTTGCAAACCAAAGTCGCCGAAATGCAGAGGCTTATGTGAAAAGCGGCGAAATCCTCGAGGATCGACAATCTAATTTCGAGAAGCAGACAAAAGCACACGAGAAGTTAGTGTCAAATACACAATCACTATGTGAGATCCTAGGCTCTGAAATGCCTGACTTGGCTGAAAAGGATGCCTCAGATGGTGCAACGAGCGGAAGCATCGGCCTTGTGAAGACTGGCGAGTACCTACGTGGTCAAGGCGAAGGGGCTGGTATCTGGGAAGACGAGGAAGAGAGGCGCTTCTACGAGAACCTCGCAGACTTCAAGGGAAAAGTCCCCGCCGTGCTTCTGGAAGATGGGAAAAAGAAGAAAGCAGATGGGGATGATCAGCCTAAAGGGAAGTCCGACTCTGAAGGACAAAATGGGACTGGTGCCCCTGAAGGCACCAGCAAGCCAGATTCACAACCAGCTGACTCCAATCCCCGGGAACCAGAAGAGCCCGCTACTGCTATTGCCAACAAGTCCGTTGGAGCTCAGGTCGATGCACTACTTTCTAAGCTTCCGGATCTGGCCAACAAGGAAGCTGTTGATCAATTAGCTCTTGATTTCTGTTTCTTAAATTCAAAGGCATCTCGAAACCGACTTGTCAAGGCAGTTCAAGAAGTGCCCAAGGGTCGTTCAGATCTCCTGCCGCTCTACGCTCGTCTTGTGGCTACTCTAGGCCAGTATCTTCCTGATGTACCCCAGGGCCTAATCACATACCTGGACGATGAATTCCGCAGTCTTCAACGACGCAAACAAAAAGAGTTCCTGGGTCAAGTCCGTACAAGCAACATTAGATATCTAGCTGAGCTCACCAAATTTGGCGTTGTTCCCGAACACGTTATATTCCACTGCTTCAAAGTCAGCCTTGATGAATTTTCTCGCATGAACATCGAGATTATAGGTAATTTGCTGGAGAACTGCGGCAGGTATCTTTTGAGGAACCCCGAGACAGCCCCCAGGATGGCATCGTTCCTAGAAACACTAGGACGAAAGAAATCTGCGCAACACCTCGGTCAACAGGAACGAATGATTATTGAAAATGCCATGTACTACGTCGATCCCCCACAGAGACCAGCCATTCAGCAAAAAGAGCGTACACCAATGGAGCTGTATATCCGGAAGTTGTTGTATTTGGATATGAATAAGCGGAACTACACTAAGATTTTAAAGGCTATTCGCAAGCTACACTGGGAAGAACCTGAGGTAGGTCTCCTCTATTTTCCCATAGTCCTGTCCCGATTCGTTTACTAACTTAGCCTTAGGTGGTCGACATTCTCGAGGGTATATTCAGCAAACCCGGAAAAATCAAGTATGGGAATATTCATCTCCTTGCAATCATCGTCAGTGCACTATATCGCTACCACCAGGCATTCGTGATTGGTGTTATCGACAATGTTCTCGAGAGAATCACCGTCGGCCTAGAGAACAATGATTTCAAGTTCAATCAGGCACGAATTTCAGAAGTTAAGTACTTAGGAGAACTTTATAATTACAAGATGGTTGACTCGCCAGTTATCTTCGATACTCTTTATCGAATTGTTACTTATGGACATGGTAAGCTGATTAGGACTCAGCAAGTTTATACCTATCGTTGAAATTTACTGATACATTAAACCAGAGGGCGGTACACCATCGCCAGGCAAAATAAACCCGCTTGATATGCCAGACGATTATTTCCGTATTCGTTTGGTCTGCACCATACTAGATACCTGCGGTGTTTGTTTCGACCGAGGAAGCGCAAAGAAGAAACTCGACTTTTTCTTAACGTTTTTCCAGGTACATGTTGAAATATTTCGAGCCAAATTAATGAAATACCTTGCTAACGAACGGAATTTAAGTACTACTTAAATACCAAGGACCCTATTCCCATGGACGTTGACTTTGTCATCCAAGATACCTTTGCACTGACTCGCCCACAATGGAAGTTTGCAGCCGACTTTACAGAAGCTACCAAATTGTTTGCGGAGGCGGTTGCACAGAACTATCAAGTGCAAGAAACAGACAAGGCCGTAGAACCAGAAGATGAAGCAGACAGTTCTTCTTCTGACGAAGACATGGAAGATGATGGGGCTCCCGATGTTGAGGAGCTTACTACTGACGAGGCAGAGGTATGCCCCTCTTGATTGATACCTTCATCATCATTATCAAGCTAACCCCTAATCTTTGCAGGTCACTGCTAATGAACCAGATGACGAGAATGAATCTGAGTCAGAAGAAGAGCAGATATTCGTATCCCGCCAGGAAGAAGAACGTGACCCTGAAGCTGAAGCTGAATTTGACAGGGCCTTTGAGAAAATGGTATCTGAAAGTGTAGAGTCCCGAAAGTTCGAGCGCAAAACGATGTTCGATGTTCCCCTACCCATGAGACGTGCAAATCCCCGCGAGCCTGCGCCAGTTGAAGAGACCAAAGAAGCGACCCCGGCGCCTTCTAGTACGATGCCGTTCTCCCTTATGACCAAACGTGGGAACCGCCAGCAGGTATGCTCAAATTTACATGAAGGCCCCCAGGCTATGTTGCTAACCAATGTGTATTAAGACTCGTACCATCGACCTTCCTTCGGACTCTAGTTTTGCAGTTGCAATGAAAACCCAACAACAAGCAGAGCGCGAGGAGCAACAACGAATTAAAAATCTAGTTTTGAATTATGATCTTGGTGACGACAATGATAGCAATGATGGTGATACCAACATTTCCACAGCCCACTACTTCATTCTACGAAAGAACCCCAATACTAAAGGCTCACTTAAAGGTTCCGACAAGCGACCGTCTTCCCACCGCGATTCAAGAAACGATAAACCAGCTCGCAGTGGATTCCGTGCTCGTAAACTACAACTGAGTGATGTTGACTGGTACGACTAACGATTTTAAGCTATGACACCAACTACACTAAACAGGCCAAAATTCCCATACCTCCATTAAAGAAGAAGAAAATAATCAAACATACGTCACTCAGATTTTTTGGGCAACAAATGTGCTAATTTACCCATCGTGCGTTTGGCCCTGAGAGGCCTTGCGTTCAATGAGCTTATCTTTAGGACTTGAAACGCTCCCCAAATGATCGCCGACGACCCCAAACAACGTACCTCTGTTACACATTGATACTCCAAGAAGCGAGCCTGAGATTCAATTAACATAACTATTCGAACGCCCTTTTATGTATTACCAACGCCAGAAACGGTTTAACCCATACCGATAACCAACACCCAAAGCATAGAATAGGGAGCGGTTACGTGACATCCCCTTGCGGTTAGCTGGGTCGGCATTTAAGAGTGCGAAAATTGCACCTTTGATCAGATTAGGCGCAAAGCAGCTCTCAAAGACATTGTGCCGTTTACGCTGCAGACTTAGTTGCGGTCAATGACCTCATGAAAGGAGGCCCAAGGAAAGGCATTAGGTGCGCTGCTGGCTAAATGGCAACAATGAGCGAAATATCCCATGTTATATTTCTTCATATTTTCTTTTCCTCGATCTACTGATTCCTGGCCTCTGATATCATATCATCTGGCGTCAATTGCAAACACACCCAGATATCTAAACATACTCTAGGGGCCACTTTACCTGAGCCATGATGTATGAGAGAGCTAGAAAATCCAAGAAATCAACGAACCGAAAGACATTCTCGAAAGAATAATTAATTTTGGCCATACGCCTGATATTGACATCCGATGAGTATAATAATAATATGAAAAAATAGTAATATTGGCATGAGTCGGTTTTAACGGTAAGTCCATAGGAAAGAGGTAATTAATATTAGGAATATTTCGGGATCTTCATCACATGGGTGTGGACGGATGAAGCCATCTCATCATCCCAGTAATCTTCCCAGTCCGCTCGAATAGCCGCTCGATTCAGCCACGGTTCAGGCTCCGTATAATCATAACAGAAGGGCTCCGGCCAGGTATTAACTCTAGTTAGATCTCGTAACTCCTGCATTAGGGGCGAATCATTTTCGTCCCTTCTTATCTTTTCGAGTGTTCTTTCTTCCATGGGTGCAGATGCTAACGGTAATAAGCGCCAAAGAGTTCTGTAGCAGCTAAGCACCTCGAGACGGTAAATGAGCGGAGAAGGGTTGTTTTTAAAATAGCTGAAAAACCTGAGAATGAAGTATCCTGGGATCCCGAGAGATTTCCAACTTGATGCTGGTACATATTCCACAAAATAAAGGCACCTTAGAGCTTGGGCAGGAGCCAGTGCTTGCCACACGCTTTCCTATAGATATTGAATCTAAAGTAAGTATTCACGAAAATAATATGAAAGAATAATCAAAGTGGCAAACATACGTACCTGGAATGGTATTGACAAGGGAATTCCCAACTCCTCTAATTTAGGGCAGCCTGCAATCAGTATCTGAAGCCTGTTGCAAAAGGATGTAATGTCTCCTTCGAGTGAGACGACCAACAGTATTCTGAGATTCGAGAAGTGGGAATGGAGATATGTACTGTCGAAACTGTACTCGGGGTGAAGGGCATAAACCTCCTCAAGAGAGTCAAAGGACCGTAGGTAGTTATTAATGTAGCTTGTTGGCGTGTACATGTTAGTTTTGAGGCTTTTCAGAGAAACGCCCATTGACTGGAAGTGCTGCCAAAGAGTGGGATACTGCGGCGTAAAGTCGTCAGGTAGGATCAGGGAGAAGTTCTTGAGAGCGGTGAAATCAAAGGCCCTAGTCAACTTCTCGATATTCAAGCGGACGAAAAATAGGATTTCCAAGGTATGTAGTTGAATCGGGGTGTCGGGGCTTAGAGACCAAGCTGTTTTCGGAAGAAACCAGTTTTGACGGCGGTATGAATGCCATGTGCGTAGAGGCTCAAAGTAACCCCTACTGTTATTGATCCCCCCCAGCCGGAGTACCTTAAGCGTTTTTCGGATTTTCAACATAAACCTCCATATTGTGTTTAGGAGTAGGTAGGAAGGTATCCCAAAAATAGATAGCTCTTCCAGATGCTGGAATGACAAATGGCGTATATCGGGGCTATAATTTCTTAAAGCCATTTTTTGGGGGGCATCTGAAGGCCAAGGATAGCAATACGTGAAGGCTCTGAGGTTCTTCTGAAGCTCGAGAATCTCGTCGGTGGGATATAGGCAGTCGGCTGTCCAGCTTTACGAGGGAAATAAAGAAATAATTCATTAGCATAAGTTGACAAAGAAATAGGATTACATCCTACTGAAATGAGCCTCACCAGAAATCCCTTAAGTTCTTCATCTTGATAAATGCGGCCAACAATAAATCACCTATTTGGAAGCATTCCGCATTCTGCCGAGCCCTAGCTCGTACATCGGTAAACTCTGGGTAAATCGAAGTCTTCTCATAGAATTGACTATATCGGCGGTTGCCCCTTATCACAATCCTCTTGACGCATGCCGCTTGGCCTTGTGTATTATGAGCTATACCGCGGAGGCAATTCAACCATGGAAACACCCTGGTACCCAGCTCGCTTGGTTTGTCGCTGGTCAGAATAACGAGATGAACATCTCTGTAAAGGAGAGGCACTGTCATAGAATTGAATGACCAGCAAGTTAGACAGAGAGAAGCTAGGTCAGAGAGCGGATGGATCTGCTATCTTGTTAGTAGTGCAATATTTACCAACCTACTGGTGAAGAACGCAATTTATACATACATAAGATGCTATATCCAAGTATATCTCATAAGGAAGATGCATCAAGGACCTTGCAGAAAGGTTCAACGTCATTTCCTTCAACCTAACTCCAAAGCATCCAACGTTAGTGAGGTAGTAAGAGATACAAATGTCAAGCCTCGACAGACAATGCAACGTTGGCAATAGACTGCGCTTGGTCAACTTTCACTTGTTATTTATCGTCCATAGTTTGGGGTATGAAGCAAGAAAAACCCTTTGCAGGTTTCAAGGCTGTTTCCGCGGTTTGAAAAAGCTCACTTCTTGCAGGTACGGCTTTATCAGGAGACACTTGCTGCATCTAGTTTCAAGTTTGGCGCCAGTTCCACCGTAAAAAGGACTGGAGCGGAAGTTTCGACCTTGACCGAGTCGGCTCTTATATGGTTGCTCGTGCTTAAATTCCCACCAAATTCTGTTTTCCAATCACCTACATCCCATTCAAAACCCTGAGTGGATATTATCGATGGACCGCCGATGGGAATAATTCCTATGTTCTCTGAGAACCAGACTTGTCGCTCCATAGTATTTGTCTGCGAACTGCTACTTCTGGTGTTGGTTTCTTTCTCTTTCCCAAGGCAGGAACCACCGAAAGTCTCTATCACGTTGTTTCCCGCACGTAGAAAAAAGGAAATACTCTCTTCGGAGATGAGATATAATTCACCCTTTGGCCGTGTAATCTGCGCTGAAGCAGATGCAGTGGTGCAGAATAGATGATGGATTTGCGCAAAACCCTGGTCAACACGCCCACCTAGTCCGCCAAATACGACCACATCTAGGTCTTTACACTTACCTCTGGTGTGGTTGCTAGAGCCGCTTTGGCTGTGTTGGCAGGTGGTATTAATAATACCATTGCAGTTACTTGCAAGATAGCTAAGACATTTCATGAAATCTGTTGAATATTGGTCTGGGTTCTCAATGATGGGTACTTTGAGGTCCTGGTAGAGATTTCGAACATCCGGGTGAATAGAATCAAGGTCTCCAACAATAGCACTGGGGATCTGGTTGAGTAGTCAGATTCCGCACATATGTTACACCTTCAACGGAATCACACATATCATATGGCAATGGTATCTTGAGGGGTGCATACATCTATGTTCTCCCGACCAAGTCCCTTCATGACGTGATAATAGCGATTCGCCCCACCATCAGCGCAAATTATAAAGGATGCTATTGAACACTGTTAGCTTTCGCTTGGGAGAACTTTGTATCTCACCCTCCTAAGAGATGCTAGAACCTCGCCATACCATGTCTCTTTAATAGCCTCAAGGCGCTCTGATTGATAGGTTGGTTTAGAATGAGCAAAGCAAACGGAGTCGGCGGAGGAGAGTCCCCAAAAAACTGAGCAGGATGCCACTCCATATCATCGAAGAATTTCCCTTACTACCGAACAAATATCAAAACTTGGGTATCTAAATGTTTTGTCTTCTAGCAATACTTCAACGTTGTTGGATGTTGCCTAAACGGGGTCGGAGATGCCGGCGGCTATTTATCCGAATAACCTTACATAATCACCAATTTTCGTTCGCTCTTGATTAACAATCTCGAAGAAGAAGAAGAAGATATCAAAAAGCATTCAAAAGCCGAGTCTCTACCTCGCCCTTCCTTCAATGTGTCTGTTTCATCTTTGATTTCCTATTTCCTGAACCGTTAGATTAATTTTCTTTCCCTTTTCCCCCCATCTTCGCCATGTTCCGATCCGCGTCCAGGACGCTTCTCCGTCGTACACCAGCTACACAACAACTACGATTTGCGCAAAGCCGGAGATGGATTAGCGAAGCACCATCACCATTATCGGTGTCCCCGTCGGTCTCCCAGCTGTCGTCACCACCACCATGGCCGTCGGTGCCGTTTACTACTATAACACAAGCCCTATATTTGCCGAAGAGCCACCTCGTAAGTCTGTGTCCAGCTGGTTTGATAGAATATCGAATGGTACCAATGATCTGACATATATGCGAACGACAGTCCAAGTTGCTCCCGGATCCCAATACAAGACGCAAGATACAGCTGTTTCGCAAACAATTGAGTCTCTGGAGGCGGCGAAAAAGCCCAAAGCACGACCAACTCCCGTCCCCTCGGAAGCTAAGACGACATCACCCGATGAGACATCAATAGGTGCATCTGCTGAGACCGGCGCTTCGCCTGTTGGAGGCGAGCAGCCACCTGCCCCCGCTGCAGGTGATGTTGAGCAGGAAGGCCAGGGAGGTCAGGAGGCGGCGTTTAACCCGGAAACCGGCGAGATCAACTGGGACTGCCCTTGCCTAGGCGGCATGGCTCACGGACCCTGTGGAGAGGACTTCCGAGCCGCATTCTCATGCTTCGTGTACTCCCAGGAGGAACCTAAGGGAATGGACTGCATTGATAAGTTCAAGTACATATTTAGATGTCAACCTCGACGCATGCTGCGAGACAGTGCTAACGAGTGGTAACTATTTAGGGCCATGCAAGATTGTTTCAGACAACATCCCGATATCTATGGAAACGAGATCGATGACGATGAGGTTGATGCGCAACTAGATGAACATATCGCTTCGGAGAAACAGGCTGAGCAGAAGGTACCTTCGGAAACGTCTGACGCCGCGCCTGCTGCTGTCCCAGAACCATCCCAACCTGAGTCTACGCCCGGCAAGGATACACTACAGGATGCCGTCTCAAAGGAACTAGAAGCCATTCAGTCCAAGGCTTCTAAGGAGTAAATGGTGATAAACGATTCGAGAGGCCTTTGACAATCTCAACCTTTTTGGGCCCAGCAGATACCTTTCACCTACATACCGTGCCATTTTGGTGAAGAGCGTACTGGAGGGAGAGCTGAGCTGTGCGTATCTATCTAGATGGAGGCCCAACCAACGGTGTAAAACAGCGCGTACTGTACAACTAGATATATAAAAGAGCGGAAACGAATAGATTTTCATGTATTATAATACTACTTGCTGCGAAAAGGGGGACAGGTACTTAACTGTTTTCATTATGACCGTTCGTTGAAGGAATATCGTCTGGAGAAGCCTTCCCTGGCTCTCAAACTGAAACCTTTCCGCAAGATATATTCAATAGGTAGGGTAAGACACGAGTAAGTAGCATTGAGTCAGAGTCCTAGAGATGAAAGGGGGCTTTAACACCGAGCCAAACCAATAATCAAAAAGCAGCCAATACATAAACCAACCTATAAGGTGTGGCGAGATAGGGAGATAGAGGAATAGGGGAGGGGGCACCAAAAAAAAGGAGGCGGATGCGGATTATATATATATAACAATACTCAAGCCGGTTCTCCGTCTATTCGGCAAGACCAGACAGAATCAAGGAGGTAAGGAAGGCCGAGGTGAACATCAGAGGGGGAAAAAGCAGAGAACCGATTCAACCCGTTTCCAACAAAGACAAGAAAAGAGCGATAAAGCAACCAGAACCAGCATAGCATGCAAGGACGCCGTGAATCAAGGGGATGGGAAAATGGTAGGTTTAAAGAAATTGCATGCATGCACCGATATAGCTAGCGATTGTCAAGGGTGAGCTAGCAGCCCTGATTTGACCAGAAATCCAATCGAGTCGGAGATGCATTCAACTTCGAGCAGGGAAAGTTCCGTTTTTCCTACTTTCTCAAGATGGCTTCGTACAGGCTTCCTAGGGTGCAAATGGCGGAGCTGGTGAGCAGACCCTGCAGCCCACCAGGAACAGAGTCAACAACTTTCATAACAGAAGAGTTATTGAACAAGTTCCAGAAGGTGAACCCGCTTCCGTACACAATAGTGGCGATCAGGGCCTTTGCTACGTTGAACACCAATGGATCACCGCAGGCCTTGGCCTTGTCTGCAGCTGCGGCTGCAGCTCGACGGGTGGTGACATGAGTACCGGACTGGCTCATCTTAAGGTTGATGTCGAAGAAGTAGGCGATGACGGACGGGAGGACAACACTGGTGGTGGTCCAGAGCATCAAGGGAGACCAGAAGGCGGGGTGGAAAGTGTTGAACAGGTCTGGGATATTGTGAGTGCAGGAAGAAGTGTTCAGGCTCTCGATGGCAGGGATAGTGAACTTCCTCCATGGCATGATGGCCTTAACTACGCTGAACAGTTCGAGAACGAGGACCAAGGTCTGGATGGTTGAGACGCTGCTGAGCAACGAACGCAAGCTATGCGTCCGCTCGGTCATGCCGGACTGGTCCCAAGCTTCGGATACAGACTTGCGGACTCTCGTGGTCTGTCTGTCAATCGCGTCCGTCACCACTGCTGGAGATGGTGGTAGAGAAGGGAACTTGATGGTTGGACGCGCGGGGGTCTGGGTAGCAGCCAGATCCGGCTCCGGGGCAGGAGAAGACTTGTCCGTAGGCGCATCCGAGTCATCCCTACATACCTTGTTAGCATCTATCTACATTCTTCAATCTCGATCCGCATCAAGTAAAATACATACGTAGCCTCGACTTCTTCCTTTGGCTTGACTGACCGTCTACGCGTCGAGCGCTTAACTGGGGTCGAACCGTCGAACGAGGACATTTCGGCCTTTGGCTCCTTTTTAATGGGCGATCCACGCGGCGGCCGGGCCAGTCTCTCGTAGTAATCGCTCAGCTTTGCTTCGTGGGAGAGACGAGTCTTGTTCTGTGATAGATGGGTGTCCAGTGCAGCTTCGAGCTCCGTCTTCTTCATGTCCGCGAAACTACCGGCAGTTCAGTCAGCATCAAACGCCGTCACAGCACACATCCCGGCTCTCTTCGTACGCCGACAGTCAAGAAAATACGCACTCCTTCATGTCCGACAGCTCGGCCAGAGTGACGAGGTCGCTCTTGCGGAGAGCGCGCAGGTAGGGTAAAGCAGCCGACATGGTGCAGAGATGTTGGTACCGGCTGGATCGCGGGAGGTATGCGACTCGGTCTGGCGCAGTTATGACGCTGCGTGGGCTATATATAAGGGTGCGTTGTCTGTCTGCAGAAAGCGAAGTCGAGGGTTGCTGGTGCTGGTGGTTGGTGGTGGTGGTGACTAAATAGATGATGATAAATAACAAACGCGGGAGCGAAGTTCGGGTTTCTTTTTGTTGTTTACATTTTTTGTTCGGCTTTTTGCGTTTAGCGCGTCACTAGTTCCCGATTGGGACAAACACAACACAAAGACACAAAGAGGCCAAAGACAAGACGAAAGATGGATATGAAGAAGATGATGAACAAAAGGCAGAGATAAAGAGTCGACTCCCGTGAGACGTGTATTAGGTATATCGTACAACAAGCTTTCTTTCAAAAAATGTACAGCCAGATGCCAAAAAAACGAGGCCTTAGATCTATGTGATTTTTCCCTCTAAGCGGCCATCCATCCCCCCCGGTAACGCCAGCGCCAGAGCCCGTTTCTCGCCTGTAGAATGATCGAGTGGACATTTGCATGCAGTTCACATATATACTGCGGTTGTTTTTGTAGTAGTAGTTGTTGGTAGTGTTGTTTATATTGAGGCGCTGCGAAGCTCACTGAGCTGCTGGTAGGACTCCAGCTGCTTGAGGAAGTACTGGTACAGCACCAGCATGGTACCACTCTGTATGCTGGTCCAAAGGAAGCGAGGGCCGACGCCTCTGAACCAGCCAGCCACACCTTCGGTTTTGTATATTAGTTTGAGGCCTGTTAGTACCGAGGATGTGTCGAGTATGGCAGCACCGGGTTTGACTGTTGATGTGGAGGGTGATGAAGTGGAGATGAATCGTGTTTGAGCAGAGGATGTCGAGGTGGAGGTTGAAATCGGTGTTGAAGTTGAAGTTGAAGGTGCATGGACATGGCCATTCGGTGAGACGGTAGGTCGTGGAGGAGCAGCATCTGGGTTCTGCTGGGTCTGTATGCGGGTCTTGACGACATCTAGTGGACAGGTAATGACGCCAGCCATACCACCGGCCGTGGCAGCAGTGAGCACTTCGAGCTGGAAGCCGATATCCCGCTGTCCAACCCACCGCTTAGCCAGCTGCTGCTCCTGCTCGTAAAAGGCAAACTGTAGAGCCGAGAAGGGCATGTCACGGAACAGGGTTGCCTTGAAGCCAGAGAAGAGCGCAAAAAAGCCTTCGGTCCGTAATATCGTTCGGAAGGCATCGGCCGTAGATCTATAGTTATATCCCGACTTGAAGAAGGGGTTGTTATATCTGCCCTGCAGCTGTAATCGAGTTTTTAACACTTCGGACGGAACATATATAAACGACGCAGCGAAATCCGCAATGAATCCTGCCCAGTCATATTAGCTTTAAACCTCTGGAAGAGAAATATGACAGTCGTACCTCCGGCCAAATATGCAATTGATGGATTTATGCCAACATCCAACATCCACCGCTTGCTATACTCGTATGTGCCAAAGAAGATAACGGTGCCTGGAAACGAGCCGCATAACGCAGGGGTGACACCGCCGTACAGCCCCCTCCGAATCCCCTCCTGGCGGAAAATGGTAGTATACGACGACGACATGGAGGTGTATTTGGGCGGTATATGCGGGTCTCCCTGCTGCCGAGTCTTGACCGTATCCAGTGAATGCATCAGCATGTCGTCCGCTTGTGCCGCCAATTCCGCCCGCAATCATGCACTACAACAACAACCAAGTCAAGTTAGCGACGAACCGGTCCATTGAAAACAGTAGCTGAGACGGCGTACATGTAGATACGGCGGCCCGGACAGCCTCCTGGGGCTCTGCATGCTGAGCGTGTGTGTTCATCCTCTCGCCTACGTCCACGAGTCTGCCATCCTGGAGGCCACCCAGGCCCATCCCATCGACCAAGGAACCTGAGCTCGAGCCAGACGAAGATGCAAGGCCCGATGAGTCTGAGGTCGCGAAGAAGCCTGACATCCGCGACACCAGACTCATCGCCTTCTTCTCGTTATCGCTGTCCTAGTCGTCGTCGTCTCCGTAGTCGTAGTAGCTGTAGTCGTATCAGAGGCAGAAGTCGAGGTATGCGGGAGGCAGTTTCAACGGTAGCAAGGCAGGGAAACAATGCAGCCAGACGGAATCAATCTATAACCAAGCACGAAATAGTCCCCAGAGCAAAGAAAAAGAACAGTCCAAAGCAACGAAATCTCAACTTCTTCGTCTCGTTTTCTTCTTTTTTATCTTCGACCTTTTCGTCTTTTCGACTTTTTTTTCTTAATCGAAAATTAAATCTTTTGATGACTAATCACTTAAAGGAAGATGGTTTATCCGTATTAATAAGCAAGTCTGGCCAATCACATCGCTTCCTCGACCTTTAAAGACGGAGAAAAGACGAATTTGATATTCGATTTATCGGCGTTAAGATGGAGGATTACGGGGTAGAAGTCGGAGATAGCAGTCGGCAGTGACTTATTTCTCCGTCTTTATGCATTTGGCCGGGTTAATTGGCGGTTGTGGTGGTAAAGTGGCAGTTATGGTTGCTAGGCAAGGTATGTATTCATTGGTTTTAATAGACAAAGCTGGAACATCAAAGAGACAAGACAGGAGAGAAGGAAAGGAAAGATCGCTCATGACACCTCTTCATTAGCATTAGGGTACACAGGTACGTCCATGTTCTTTTGTCGTTTGATCTCGAGGCCGTGGCAGAATGGTTCGTAGAAGGGTGGGAAAGTAACGTATCATAGGGGTTGGATATTTGCAGAAGCAGGAAGCACGATTCTATTGTTCGTGTCTTCGTCTTCGGGAGGGAGAATCACAGATAGCCGATACTCCATGCTTGAATCATTTTGTCCTTTTTTAAATGGGGGTGGTTCTTTGTTCGTGGGGGAAAGGCCTGGTAGCAGTGTCAGGCCAGGGTGGCTTTTGGGGGGAGGATAGATATGAAGATATAGTTCACGTAACGTCGTTTGATAGGCTGAAGATATGGTAGGCAGGGCAGGCAGCTTGGGCATAGACACAGTGTAGATGGTAACTATGCATGTGATAAGCTTCGACGGGGCTAAATAGTCAGCTGAGTTAAGTTGGCTATGAAGTGGCAACCCCCTTCCGCCTGCCTAACTATATCTCCGAGCCGGGAACAAGCATCTCGTCTACTGCGGCTTCTTGCCGGGGCCCTGCTGCTGGAACCGAGCGAGGTACGGCTTGAGGTCGGTAACGGTGTACAGCCGTCGAACAGCGTTCTTGACAACCTCCCATCCCTGACGGACGGCTGGCGGGGTACTCTGGTGAGAGAGCATGGCGTCGATCCTAGCCGTCGAATGAGCAACCACTGCCTGCACGAACGAGCTCTGCGTGAACCGAGAGCGGAAGAACCAGAAGTAGATGACGAGCAGCAGCCAGCTTCCGCTGCTGAAAGTCAAGGCGGTGAAAATCAGCCTGATCAGAAGCGAGAGTTCCAGGGCGGCGACCATGGCCATGCTGGTGTCGTAGTATGTCTTGACGAAGCGGCCGATCTGGTCTCCCAGGGGCGAGGATTTGGGTGCTGCCGGCCTGCCGGAGGGCGAGGCAGGGCCGCCATCCGGGGAGGGCTGGAAGGTCGGGATCAGGTACGTGCGGGTATATGTGGCTACGTGGAAAAAGGAGTAGATGGCGAAGGGCAGCAGGGCAAAGAGAAGCTGACGCGAGCACAGCCATACAAGAGCCATTCCTACATCGCATTAGACAGGCATCTATATTATGGATAGGTATACGTATGCAGACGTACCGAGGTACTGGACGTTCTCATCACCGGCAAGCTTGATGATGTCGTTTGGAATACTGCCTCCGAGACGGCCGCGGGCGACATAGCCCTTGTAGACGACTATGCCGTAGGTGGCAGCAGCCGCAACGAAAGCGAAGCGGTACGAGCCCTGGGCGACGGTGGTGTAGGTGCTGAAGGTGATGCAGGACAGCAGGTAGCGGAACACGGCGAGGATCAGGGTAAAGTGCCTACTCCGTCAGCATTCTTCTTTCTCTTTCTCCATAGACTTCCTCATAGTCTCCCTCTCTTCTATCCCTCTTATATTCCTCTTTTCATCATCATCATCATCTGTATTTTCATCTTCCTGACTGAAGGATTCGACGTGCGAGGAGTCAACGGCACAAGCAGCACACGACATACCCTATAAACCAAGCAAACCTGCTACCTGTTAGCTCGTCTATTCCATATACACACCATCTGCAGCAGATATAACAAGCATCCCGAGCAAAAAAGGGCCTTACTGAAGCGTCTGAGCCAGCATCTTGAGCCGCTCTACCAGCGGCAGCGTAGCAGGCGGGGGAGGAGCCATAGTTATCGCGGAGCAGATAGTTGTTTCAAATATAAAGAGAAGAAGACAGCAGTATAGCTAGTTATTTATCAAGTAGAGAGAAGAGAAGAAGACAGGTCAAGAGGAGCGAGGCAAGTTGTCTTCCTGTCTGTCTGTCCGTCTGTCTGCCAAAGTGTCAAGAAGAAGAAGAAGTTTGACGTTTACGAAGTTGAAGTTCGCTGGCTTTCTCTGCTCTTCGCGATGTGTGATGTATTACAACCTAAAGATACTTCTTATACTGCTAATTATATACGAGTATATAAGTATACATAAGTACTGATACTTATCTAGGGCTCATCTAGTTCTAATGCAAAGTCCAGACGCCCGCAGTCGACACTCAGCGCACTTCTCAGCGCTGCTCTCGCACTTCACCCGCAGCTTCTCCCATTCCAGACACCTCTCTACAGCTCCAGCTCCAGCTCCAGCTTCACATTCCGCCTCATCTATGGTTGCACCGTTGAGAAACCGCTGAAGCACCGCCGGGTCCATCCTCACCCGTCTATGGCCACAGCTGTACTCCGTCACTTCGCCCGCAATCCGGCCAGTGTCAAGGGCTGCTTCGTCCCCCGCAAAACACAGCAGGAACAGGCTTGCTTCTTCTTGCTGCTGCGTGCAGGCAGGACAGTAGCCGTCTACCTCGATCGTAGCGGTGCGCCAGAGTTCCTCTGGACAGGCTCGCGAAGGGATGCGGCCTGGGTTGGTGGTAGCGTCGGGGTTGCGGAAGCGTTGGCCGCGGGGAGCATGGCAGCGTTGGAGAGGGTGTTTGAGGTGGCACGGCTGGATGTGATGGCAGCGGAGGAAGAGTTCAGCGGCGAGAAGACAACACATTTGCGAGCTGGCATGGTGGTAGAGCGTACAGTAGTGGAATAGAGTAAGATGGGATGGAGGAGGCCGGGTTATATGGTATGCAGTAGGTACGGAGTAGGGAGCTGGAGATGAGATGGAGACGGTGGAGCGGTGTGATGCTATAATAGAGTAGATATAGTCCGTGAACAGGTTGATAGTAGACAGGCTATAGACAGATATAGATGGCTGTAGATAGATAGTAGAGAGATATAGGGAGAAAGAGTTGAGATATCAATTTACTTGGGAGATCTACCGCCAGCATACAACACACCAAAAGAAAGAGCAAGTCAATGGACATAAAGAATTAATTAGTCTGCTCGAAGCAAAGGAAAGCAAAAGGAGTTAAAGAAACAGGAGAAAAAAAGGATCGTGAAGTATTTGAATCTGCCTCCCCAGCCCGGCCCAGCCCAGCAGTGCTGCTCAAAAGATGGATATTCCAGATGCCACGCCATACCATACCATGACCAAAGCCTTTTCCTTTCTTCTTCCTGATACTGTATTCTGCGTTTTCCTCCTGCCACCATGGAATCGTTTCTGGTTGTTTTCTGTTGGTTGTTTTGTTGGTTTGCTGCTGATGGCAGGCTCAGGGGTAGTAGTAACAGTAACGGATATTGAATTCATTAAATAAAAGACAAGTACGGAGGAATACAAGAGGGGAATGGAAAAGAAATACAAGAGGCCGGTTAGCTAGTCAAGTTAATAAAGGGATTGGGGGGAGGGAAGGGACAAGGAAAAAATTGGGGATATTTGAATGAATGTATGAGTGGGAATAAGTTATGGCCTGGCATGGAGTTCTCAACGGTAGAGTAAAAAGGGGGGATAGAAGCATTAATTTCGAGTAGGAGAGATGGAATAGTGAGCGAGTGAGAGAATAGAAAGAGTATAATGAAACGGAAACAGTGTCTGGACTGGGACTGGAGGGGGACGTAGCATGGCAGCGGAAGAATTGCAAAAGAAGCGAAAACAAGAGACGAAAGATTAACGGAGAGAGAATCCCTTTCGCTTTATCTTGTCTTCCAGCGGCCGTCCGCTCTCGAGACGGGCCTTCTTCTCCTCTAGCTCCTGGCGCTGTCGGTCGAGCTGCTCCTTCATCTCGCGATGTCGGGCAAACAGCTCGTCTTCGGATTGCTTCAGCTTGCTCTCCTTCTCCTGCACCTTCTGCTGGAAGACCATCTTCATCTCGGCCTCCATCTTGGCGAGCTTCTGCTCGTGCAGGGCGCGCTCCTCCTCCTGCTTCACGGCTGGGTTGACCTCCTTGAAGACGCTGGGGTCCTGGGTCACGCCCATCTGCGTCAGCTTGTCCGAGCGGTAGTTCTCGTACAGCGTGTTGTTGGTGTGCTCCTTGAGCTCCTCCATGTGCGTGCGGATCAGCATCTGGCGCAGCTTCACAAAGTCGCAGTGCTCCTCGTTGTCGACCTCGATGACTCCCCAGGGGTAGCGGCGGCCACGAACTTTGCGGCCATCAGTGCTGGTCACCTCAGAGTTGGCGCCAACCACGGCAAAGGGGACCTTGGACATGATCTCCTTGTTCTCAGCGATGGTCTCCTCGTCGTCCAGCTCGTAGCGTGGACCCTCGAATATCTGGATCGAGTGGTGCTGGATATCGGCCAGGATCTATCTCTCGTTAGTATTAATAACACACATATTATACGAGTATATGCTGTAAGGAGAAAACTCACTCTCTGCTTGAAGAGGGCAATCTCTTCGTCGGTAAGGGTGTCGGCCTTAGCAATGACTGGGATCAGGTTGACCTTGGTGTGCAGACGGCGCATGACCTCAATGTCCAATGGCTTCAGGGAGTGGCCAGTGGGCTGGATGAAGTAGACGCAGGCATGCACACGGTTGTCAACGATGTTCATGCGGTTGACCTTGTTCTCAGCATCGAGGTAGGCATCGAATCTCTGCTCGATGTTCTCGACAATTGGGCGCCATGAGTCGTCGTTGTTGACAAAGTCTCCGAATCCAGGGGTGTCGACAACAGTCAAACGCAGACGGACGCCATTCTCCTCGATGTCTGCGCTGATAGACTCAACGGAAACGGTCTTGGGGATGATGTCCAGGCTGGGGCCGGTGCGTTCTCGTGGAGGATATAGAGATGTGTTGAAGAGGGTGTTGACAAGTGTCGACTTTCCCAGGCCAGACTCACCTGATACTTCCTGTTAGCCACTATCAAGCATGAAAAAAATGGATGTATAAGGTTACAAGATATAAAACGTACCAACGACCATGACGTTAAAGTTGAAACCCTTTCGTACACTCTTGCGGTGCCACTGGTTTGGCAGGTTGGCAAATCCAACGTAGCCGGCCAGTTTCCGGCGAACAACGTTCTTCATGTCACTGGCAGCCTGGGCAGCGGCCTTGGGGTCCTTTGAGCTGACTGTCTGGGCGGCTCCGTGGCCCATCGGGTTGCTGCGTTCGACGTGAGGCGAGACATGCGGCGATGGTGGTGCTGGCGAGGGCCGGGTGGGCGTTGGGATACCGTTAGACGCAGCTGGAGGATCATCGTCAGTCTCAGTGTCACTCTTCTTGTCACTGTCCATCTCAGGCTCAGTCGTGTTCTCAGTCTCCGCCTCCGTCTCTGTCTCAGCCGAGCGAGCGTAGTCAGAGTCTGTTGTCTCTGGCTCTGGCTCTGGCTCTGGCAGGATCATGATGGGCTCAGCTATGGGGATCTCAGGCAGCATGGCCGCCATCTTCGCATCCCCCATGCCGACCTTGACCACTTTCTCCTCCATTGTCGCTGTCTTCCCTGCAGTAGACGCTGAAACGATATCTGTCTGTCTGCGTTCTGCTGTCTGCTATGCTGTCTATCTGCGTCTTCAATGTCGCAGCCCCTTTTTTCGCAATCAAACAACCGCCAACGAAACCGAGAGACGTAGAACCCGAGCCAGCAGCGAAGAGGGAGAAAGGGAAAACTCGAGGCTTACCCATCGTGAAAGGAAGTGTTTATTCTTTTGTTTATGGTCTCGACGAGCAGTAACGAGAGTCGGCAGTGCAGGTGCAGCTGTGAGGCCTACAGTCGCGGGTTCCTCTTCGTTAGCCGGCAAACAGTAAACATTAAACAGTAAAAGCAGTAGAAGGAGAAGCGAATGACAAGAAGAAGAAGAGAAGACCAACTGAACGTACCCTGTATCAATTGCGACGGGGTCGAGGCGAGCGAGCGTGAAGAGGTTTGCGAGGCGAAGGAGAAGAGGAAGACGAAGATATTGAAGCCACGAAAGAAAATATTATTAAAGAAAAAAAAAGAAAAAGCGGACCAAGGGGGTGAATCTGGCTGACTGCTTGCTGGTCAATGAACGAGAGACGGAGAATGAGACAAGACACCGCAGGGAGACAGCGAGCAAACGGAGTCGACGGTGATAGAAGAAGAAGACGACGACGACGGCGAAGACAAGCAGAAGAAGCAGCGAGCAAAGAAAAAGGAGACTCGATGGGATGTTTGTCCAGCCGATCTCAGGGGGTGTCGCTCTTTTTTCGCTCTTTGGTGGCTCGTCTTAGGGCCGCCCCCTTTTTTTCTACACCAACTAGAACCACAAACTACGACAGCGGACAGACTGCTTGGGACTGCGTCTGCACCCGTAACGGGCTTTTTCCATACGTCTACAGGACACTGCATGCCACTAAGGCGAGAGCTAGCAGTGTCGATGGTGGTTAGACGGCCGGGTGGACAGGTCGCCCGCCCAGGGGCTCCGTGCCAGTGGGAGGACGGACGGCAAACCCCCTTGGTCTGCTGCTGCTGCTTGCTGTGAGAGATACGGAGTCGTTAGGGACAGCCCTCGCCTTGCTCTGGTGATTGGCCGTGGAGGTAGTACTCCGTTGTAGGGAAGAGAAGGGTTGGTTGTTGAGTTACCGGTTCGGTACCGTGACAGCCGCGTTGTGACAGGTACTGAAACAGCCAGCCAGCTTATTTTATTTAGATGAAGGGCCGGGGACATCTCGAAAGGATGTCTGTCTGGCTGCTGTCGAGATGGAGCAGGGTGCAGGATGCAGATGTCCAGATGACGCGGTTGCTGCCGTTGCGAGAGTGGTCGTTGCTGGGGCTGGAGCCGAAGACGATGCATGGCAGTTGCATGATGTGCATAGTCTGAGTCGACGAACCGGAAGACGGGAGAGATACAAGCAAAGTGAGATATATCAGCTCGATCAGCTCAATTCTCCCTTGTCTGAGACAGCTGAAGCCTTTTTACTTTTAAAGATGCCAGCACCGATCGATCTCGCCGTGTCCTTCCTCGCGGCTCAGGTTTCCGTCCATTATCAAGATGGCCAGATGGAGGCTTAACGGGCCTCTAGCTTTTGGTCCAGGTACGCCCGTAACTCTTGTCTGAACTCTCCCTCGGGTTCGTCCATCTCTCCGTCCATGGCTCGTCTCGAAAAGAGTGCATGCCGATTCCATCACTATCCCGGCCGTCAATCTACCCACTATGCATCCGGTTTCCACACCCCCTGCTCGTCTTCCCTTAGCAAGACAGCACTTTGGCCAGTTTTTTTAAAGCTGTCAGAGCACGGTAGCTTTTCGACCAGGAGTTAAAACGTAAAATGCGGCGCCTGTGCCCTTAACGGTGCCAAGGAGGCCATTTTATGGTTGAGATCGCTTCGACCAAATTTCAATCCTTGGTTGGAGTAACCAACCCGTATTCGTAGCCATTCATCGTTGCTGAAAGAAACTTATATATCATGTAGTTTAACTCCGCCGTCCCAAGTCGTTCATCTTTCAAGCGTTCGTCCCCTTTGAGCTGTCCGTCTTCTTGACTCGTTCAACTGCTTCAGCCATCTCCCAGGAATTCGTCTTGGTCGCCAGTTAACTTCTGCGGTTGTTGGGTTCCGTTCACCCTTAAGCTGGGGATACAGCATACCCACAGGACTCTTTGCTCCAGAGGCAGGAATAGCCTCCATTCGCGATCTCTCTGCCCGCCGGGGTCCTTGCCAGTTACACATGTCGGAAAGCGAAGTCCCCAATCAGAGGACTGGCAGCAGTAGAGATGGATCGCGCATGTCCGTGGCCATCGTTGGCACCGGCATGGCTGGCCTGGTGACCGGTTACCTCCTGCAGAACGACGAGAACAAGAAATTCGACATCGAAGTTTTCGAATCGGTACATATATCCTTCCCTTCCCTTTTCCCCAACCCCCCTGTTTTTATTTTCGTTTCACTCTCCTTTTCTTCCGTATACCCCCGGCTGCAGTCATACCATTGTCTGTCCCACAAGAACAAGAGCAGAGCCGACAATTCATCACACTGTGGATTGATTGACGCTTCTGTTTGGCCCCAGCCCAAAGCTGTCATTTTTCAAATATGCTGAGCTCCGTCTTCCGGGCTGGTGCGGTGTCGTGACACTAACTGCTCGTGTACGATGAGTTGTTTCGCATGCACTTCTCGATCTCTTCTTCTCAACGTGACACAGGAACCGGAAGCTAACTGCGCCAATATTTCTAGCAAGAGGCACTGTCTCTCAATGCTGAAGGGGAAACCATCAAATCAAAGAATGGACAGGGGACCTTCCATATAAGCCATCCAATGCGAGTCTTTGATGATGGCTATTATAAGTATATGACGCTCATGTATAAGCATCTCGGCATCGAGTGTGATCCACTCAAGTTCCTGTTCAGCTACTCCTTCATATCCAAGGCACAGCCAAGTCCGAGTACCGAGCATGCACCGGACCAGGCCCAGGAGGAATTAGCACAGCCTAAGGTATCATTCCTCTATTCGTCGAACAACCACCGTCTCCCACCACTCCGTCCGGGTGGGCAGAGTTTCTTCTCATGGCTCTCGGAACTCATCTATGTTGCATTCTTCTTCGGTTGGTTTATTCTCGCTTGTTTCTGGATAGATGCTCGTAAGACCAAGGCGGCCGGCCAAGATGATCAAATCGAAACGATGGAGGAATACTTCAACCGTGTCCGTCTTCCACGGCATTTTGTGTATCGATACATCCTACCCCCTTTCGCTACTTTGTCAACATGCAACCATGCCGAGATGCTCAGTTTTCCGGCCAATGACATAGTACAGTATGTCCGACGCACGCATAGAGCACCGCATTACCTCGTACGTGAAGGAACTCAGGTAGTCGAAGATACCCTCTCAAAGGGTCTGAACGTCCGTCTCGGAGCCCGCGTCACCTCCGTCCGTCCAGCCGGCTCTTCGGTCCTGGTATGCTGGGAATCAACCTCTTCTGCCTCTGAACTTGCCGGTGAAAAGATACCACCTATGTCCAGCTGTCAAAGAAAATTCGACCGCGTCATCCTAGCCGTGCCGCCAAATGTAGTGGGAACCATCTTTGAACCGCTCCGGGAAGAAACATCTCTCTTACCCACAAGATCAGTCGAATCTCTAATCCACACGGATGCTTCCACCTTGCCAAACATCTTTTCGGAGCCAGTCAAGGCACAAACGACATCTAAGGAAGAAGTTGAATTGGGTCATTTCCGCTCCACGGTCGAATCAACGGAGTCCATACATGAACATCCCTCGTCATATATAATAACCACCTGCCCCATATTACCCATTGACCCCAGCAAGGTTATGCGTCGCTCATATTTCACCCGAACATTACGCACTCCTCAAAGTAGGGCGATAGTCAATCGTATTTTTGATAAGTCGGCCACCTCTGATGGACAAGCAGTGGACAAGCCTGCCGGATGGCGTAATGGGGATGGGAATGTTTTCCTGGTTGGCAGCTGGTGCTGGGATGGGATGGTTCTTCTAGAAGGATGTGTTGTATCTGCCATGCGCGCTGCCGAAGACTTCGGTGTTAAAGTTCCTTGGGCCAAATCCTAAGTAGATGTTGATATTGCTGGAGATTTTAGGGCCTTGTATATACCTTGTAGTTATTTAGGGTGTCTTTGCCTCGGGCATAATTCTAATGTCTCTATTAGCTTGAAATATTTGGATAACTACCAATGACCAATTATACGTTTGCGCAAAAAGTATGTTGACCGCGGTGTTATATTTATATCGTATCAAAAACTCCATGTGCCCCAGCGTTGAGAAATCATAGCAATGTGTCCGAGGTAATGCTCCAAATAAACATGGGGATAACTGAAAATAGAAGAAGTGAGGAAATACCATGTAGTATGGTATAATATACAAATAAGGGAAGGGGAGTAACGAAAACGGGCGACCAAATTAGCTCAGCAGCCAAAACCATTCCCAAGATAATCCTAGAACGACGCGTCCGATTAGGCTTTGCCTTTGGCCCTTGGCTTCCGGCCTCGCTTCTTAGGAGCCTCATCCTCAGACTCCTCGACATCTTCGTCATCTTCATCTATCACCTTCTTCTTCCTAGGTTTTGCTTTTGTTGTACCGGCTTTCTTCGTGGCACCCCCAGCCTTCTTGGTCTTTGCGGCCTTGACATACTTATCCTTCTTCAAGTCCAAGTCACTTTCTTCTTCCTTAACTTCTTCCTCTCCAAGTATCTCCTCAGCATCGTCAGATTCATCGATAGCGTCCTCCAAGTCTGGTTTCTCCTTGGGGAGTTTCTTGGATGACACAACACTAGATGCCTTCATGAAGGGCAGAGGGTGCGAGCGTTGATTATATAGGCGTGTGAAGGTAGCCTTCGTTTGAGAGTGTATGTTGATGTTCTTTTCATTCATGGGGCCGAGGCCCAGCTCAGTGATAGAGTCATAATCATCTTTGGTTAAGAAGTAGCTGTCCATAAAGTCAATAACGTCGTCAACGGCATCCTTGCCGTCAACCTCCATTCTTCGGACCGTCTTGTTCCAGATTACGGGCATGTACTGTTGCCGAACGTCGTGTCTGTCACCAGATGCACGAAGTCGCATATGGCCCTGAATCTCCTTGACTTGCCTAGCCATTTTACCTAAAAGAGACCAATAGTGAGTAAGCCATATTAGACATCCGAGGTAGAATAACCTCTTACCTTGTTTACTGTTATTTCCCAGCCAGCTAGTAAACCCGACTCTATCAGTCATGTTTCCAGCCATGAAACTGGCTGGCCTCACAAAACTGAAGGCGGCATGTGTTGGCATGAGGCTCCATTGCTGTTGTGAGCCATGGATCATTCTATCCACCAAATCACCGTCACTGATACTCTCTGCAGCCTTATCGGCCAACTCAAGAAGCTTGTACTGCCTCTCCTTGCCGCTATAGGAGTTGGCGGCCATTGGGTTTGTTTTCAGGTAGTTCTCCTGTAACATCAGATAACTGAACTCGTGGTCGTTGAAATAAAGTTCAACCTTATCGTTGAGCGTCGCCTTTGAGCTGGGTGCAAACATCTGCGCACTGAGGATCTTCCCAACAATATCCCAAGGCTTGAGGATAACATGCTTCTCCCAGGCCTTTGACATTTCTTTGCCTTGATCGTAGTCAAGGTTGTTGGTACTAAGTTTTATTGTTGACAACATGTTTATTACTTGGCGGATATCAGCATGAGTGCCTTCGATGAGGCCATCGAGAACTTGAGGTGATATCTTTATGCCTTCACGGTAGCATATGGTAAACAAGCGAGCACGGATTTGCTCGGCCGTTGGTCTCCTAAACGGTAACTCGAATGTGACATGATCAAAAGGTTTCATTTTCGGAAGCCTTCTCTCATTGCAAATAAGGATAATGGGAATCCTAGTTTTCTTTGCAATGGCGGCCACAGCACCAACACCACCACGGTCACCGGCAGACATTCCGTCAACTTCATCCATGATCAATACCAGATTCTTCTTCCCAGGCTCAACTTTCTTACCCTCGCCAGAGAAGTACCCTTGAAGAGAGGTGGTATCAAGAACTCCACGTAAGGTGGTCTCGAGCAGCTTCTTGCTTCGGGTATCACTGGCATTTGTTTCCACAATATCAAAATTCTCAAGCTTTGCAACCAGATGCGCAGCGGTTGTCTTTCCAATTCCCGGTGGGCCATGTATCATGACAGTGCGGTAGGTTCCTGAACCATCTTTGCCGGGTTTCTTGAAGTTGGCTCTCGCATTTGCGTGCCAGTTACGCAACCAGGTTTGCAGCTTTTCAACAGTGCCCTTGTTTCCACAAATCATGCTAAGAGATGTGGGTGCATATTTTGTAGTCCAAAGCCGATCATCAACTGCCTCACCTTTATCACTGGTACTCTTCGCCTTGGTTCCTGCGTTAGAAACGGAGGGAGCTGAGGCCTTAGACGCCGCCGCACGCTTCTTTTCTTCCCGATCAATCTCCGCAGCCATCTCTTTGATCTTTTGTTCCTCGGCCTTCTTCTTTTCGGCATATTGCAGGGCAGCCTTTCCGTCACCTCCGTTTGCAGGGAGCTTCCTAATCAGTTCAAACAGACCCTCTTCGTTGATTGTCTTGAGTTTATATTTCTGAATGGTTTCCAATTTCTTTGGACCAGCATCATTACCCAGTACCACATAGCTCGTTTTTGAACTTGGAGCTGACATGCTTTTGCCCCCGAATTTTTTCACGAGATTCTGTCCCTGCTCCCGACCAAGAGAATCGAGAACGCCAGTAAAAACGAAAGAGAGCCCGGCAAGACAGTTCGGCTCTCCAACAGGCAGGTCTGCATCGTCAATGGTACCGTTGGACTGGGCGCGTTGAGCAGCCGCAACGAAGTTAAACTTCTTCGTCGCAGTAGGTGGTGATGGGGCCTTGACTTCAGGGATACTATTGAGTATATCTTGTATCTCTTTGCTTTCCGGTTGGTCGGTCTTAGCCGCCCTAGGTTTTTTAGGTGTGGATTTAGATGTGGTTTTAGGAGCGCGGGCCTTGGTTGCCTTCTTCTTTTTTCCACCGTCATCCTCGCTCTCGTCTTCATCTTCGCTCAACACAGCTGATTTTCGCTTCTGCACTCTTCTTTCTGCTTTTGGAGCTGTATCCTTTTTAGGTATCTCTGACGCAGTTGGAGGTTTTACAACTATGTCATCAAAACCATCCGATTCGTCTTCTTCTTGGTAGTCATCATCGCCCTTTCCGGACTTCTGAAATTCCGAAGCAAAAATGTCGTCTCCTCCAAGGTGATCCTCGGTATCAATTATCCGTTCAGCTTTTTGAAGCTTCTTTATTTCTTTTGAAGGTGGCGGCGGATGAATTTCAATGGAGGGTGCGCTCCTAGTGGATTTCCGTGGGCTCTCACGAGTGGCTAGGGTCTTCTTCTCCTGACCATTTGAATTGGGTTGCTTATTATCTGGAGCTGCGCTTGGCTTGCGGCTCTTTTTGCTCAAGCTAAAGTACTCAGATGTAGTGGTAGGCTCGGCCTTTGGTTCTTCAGGTTTTCTATAGATATATGTGTCAATATATTGCGTCAGGCGATGGAAAGTTGTAGTTCATGGTTACTCACTGCTTCTTCTTGGGCTGTGGTTTTGGGGGTGCTTTAACGGGTTCCTCGTCTTCATCGCTATCCTCGATGACTTTCCTACTTCCTGATCCACAATTAGCGTAATCCTGTTTATAATATTCTTTCTTAAGTAAGAGCTTACTTCTTTTTCGAGGATTCGACTTATCCTGTTAGACGTAGAATTACCATCATCAGCGTCAAAATCCCAATATCAAAACTCATTAACGCGGGATATACCTCTGATGCCTTAGTAGCTGGCTTAGCTGGCTTTGGCGCTGCAGCCTGGCCTCCCTTCGGCCCAAAAAAGTTCCTGATATCCGGCGCCATCCTGTCTATTACAACAGCACACAGCAGCCGCCCTTAAGATGTTGCTTTGGCGTTCAATGTATCTGCTTCAAAAATCCAATATACCAGCAAAAGAGAGAAACACGTCCGCTTTCGGTTGGCGTCTCCCCAAGACGCGCCAAAACACGTGATGCAATCCGCCAGCTTATATAATATGAGTTGATTATGTGATTTAATATTACATAAGCTCAGTTCTGCAACTTCTGCTTGATCGCAAAGAAAAGACGAGGACGAGACAACATTTCAACGGCGTCATCTAGCTTATATACGCACACACCAATGGGGCCGTCATTAAGGGCATTCGGCCCATCCGGCCTATTTTCAATTCCATCGAGGAGTCAGTATACCTCTCCGGCTACCCAATGCGTGGTTCCTTGACTAAACACTTTCTCCAGTAACCTCGATATCAACCTCCGCCGCAAGATGCTTTTCCACAACCTCTCCGGCATCTAGCTGGCTGGTCCCGAAAATGGCGGAAAAGAGTAAATCATCAAAGGGCCGACCTCACATGGCCACAGGTGGATCTTCTCGCGGCACAACGGTTGTATGGGGCGATTACGGGCTGCGAATGGTCGACCATGACCGAAGAATGCCGGCATCGTCATTGAAGATTGGATTTGAAGCAATTCAGAGACGTCTGAGAGGAATGAATTACAAACTATACCCCAGGGTCAGCGCCAACATTGGTGTTTATACGAGTGGTAACGAAATGCGAATGGGAAAAGGAAAGGGTAAATTTGATTATTGGGCTGCAAGAGTCGGTGTTAGTCGAGTTATTTTCGAATTGAAGGGCGATATACACGAGAAGGTGGCCAGGGAAGCATTCAGACTGGCAGCTCACAAGATGCCAGGTAAGTGAGCTCTTAGGGCGATCATATCTTGCTGCTTTGGTACAACGCTAACGCTTCTGACTAGGAATGTACGAATTCGTCAAGAAGGGTGACCCACCTGTTGTTGGAATTACCAAGTTGAAAGACGGCGTTACTCTGGAGTCCTTGAAGAGGCCACGGCGAGCGGCTCCACTTAACTCCAAACCAGCAACGACATCAGAACCGGCTCCTCCTTCATAAGAAAAGGTATCCATATACCCGGGATCATGGCGTTGGATGTATATTAGCTGTAATTTAGACGTTTGTCAAGATATAAAGCGTTTATCTCTTCCTTCTCTTTCTTGCCGATTCTAAGCGTTCTAGGCCTGTTACGAGTCAAATAAGCCGGGAAAAGGAGGAATACTGGCGTATATTCTCCAATTTCGAATGGAGTGCACGAGTCAGTAAATATGGTACATTATATCCCCAGACCCCAACAATGCCATCCGTACACTATTTACCATCTAAAAATCGAGACCCATCAAATAACTACTGAGAGTTAGCAGCTTTCACACCAAATCGAAAATATTGCATCCTAGAACGTACCTTTCAAGTATCCTCATAAACTTTGCAACAAAGGCTTCAAGGTGAAATATAACTTTCTAAATAGAAGTGATATCTCGTCAGTACTGTTTTCAAAAGAATTGGTATGGATAGACATACACTTCCAAGTTTTATCCTATGTTCATAGAAGGCCGACCATTTAATCACCTCAGGCTTCAAAGCATCATCAATTTTTGGTATTAGTTTGAAGGTGAGGGTCTGGAAGTATAAGTCAGTTACTATACGATAATTTAAAGAAACTTGATCTATAGCCAATGGACGTTACCTTTAAAATGGTGGTTGGCGGTATACAGTGGGTCAGTAGATCGTACAGTCTGGCTCTGACTTGAAGGATTCTGGCAGGAGACCTTTCCGCCATGATCTCATCAGCTACCACAGATATCAGTGCCTCCCAATCCGGTGGAGGGATTGGTGTATTATCTGAAACTTTCTCACTATACGGCAGTCAGCATTTACCTGGGCGTAGGTCAAAGGATGGCTCAAACTCACTTCTGCGCATGAACAGCTTCAAACATTAATAGAGCTCGGCGCAGATTCCTCCCGCTCTCCTTAGCCAGTCGCTTGTTAAGCCCAGGGCAATCGTTCCAGCCCTCCTTCTTTCCAGCTAGTTTTAGAACCTGACAGATATCTTCTTCAGATGGAGCAGCTACCCGGACAAGCAGTGTTCTTGATCGAATCGGAGCAATGATATTGGCAGTAGTATTGGCGAGTAAAATCAATCGCATGTTGGGACTGTATTTCTCCATGGTCCTTCTTAGTGCCGCCTGAGCATCTCTGGTAAGATGGTCTGCCTCATTGATCACCACCACCTTGAACCGCTGTTTGGCAGATTGATCAACTTGCTGTGTCTGCGCTATTTCCTTGAGGAGTTCCTGAACAACGACACGGTCATAGTTCCCCACATCCGACGGTGTAAGTTCGAGGTGGTATATCGAGGAGACAATGTTAAATTCGAGTTTCCGGTTACTGCTGGTCTGGAACACTCGGGCGTCGATCTTTATTTTCTCAACACCAGGCCCATATAGCTCTTTAAGAGTAGCAATTATCCTGGTCTTTTTCCCTGCGCCAGATGGTCCATAGACGAGGAGGTGGGGGAAATCACCGCTTTGTGCCTATCTCATGTCAGGTTAGAATTGCACGAACGCTAGAGTTTAGGTGGTGCAGGTCCCATACCAAAGCTTTTAGGCGAGCTGAGAGATCTTGGTGATATGTAAGTGCATCGAGGGTTTTAGGCCGAAGCCTGTCAACAAGGAGAGCCATTGTATGTCCGTGACCTGTCGGTGATCGAGCTGTTCTTCTGTCCTGATGATTTCTCCCTTCTTGACCACGAAACCTTCAGGCGCGTCAAAAGAAGCGCGTTTTCCTATTAACACTTGTGGCCCGTGCGTGATGCTGAGTAAGCATTCCGCGTCGGATATGGCATGACAAGAGATGCATATTGGGAGCAAGGGTAGATTCAATCCGCTGGCATAGGGACGTTCTCATTCGTTTATGGCTTTATAGATTATGGAGTATTGTCCAAGTTGAGAATAGCTCATTTTGATCGCCTTATTTATACATATAGTATACATGCCCTATCTAGGGATTTGTTCATACCGTGAGGGGAGACCCTTTATCCAAACGCCAAAAGATGCAAAATAACCCCATAAAATGCTATGGGGTATAATATATCCTTCTAGGTATATTTCTTAAAGCAACACCAGGAGTTTCTCAGGTCGAAAACTGTACAAAAAATTCCGCTGTTGTAGTCGGCCTCCCAGAACTAGGGAGTAGGCCGTAAAATTCCATCTTTGTCATATCGAGCTTCTATGAAAGGGTCGCTCATTTAGTACGATTATTCAACAAATACCAAGAGATGCATAAATGTCGAAGGAATGGTTGACTTACTGAAGAAGGTATATGATAATGTGATAGTATCAATTCCTCTCATGGCAGGATCCTTGGCGAAATCCGGATCAATAAAGAAGAAAACAGGCATATCAACAGTTTCACCAGCATTCAGCCTCTGTTCCTCAAAGCAGAAGCATTGGATCTTGCTGAAGTAAGGCGAAACTTGAGCCGGAGTCACACTATATGTTGCAACCCCAATGATATCCTGGTCACCTTTATTCGAAGCGGTATAAAAAGCCAATGCCGTTTCTCCAGGAAGAACTCGCACTTCACGTTGCTGGGGGGTAAATTTCCAGGGCAGAACATCGGATACGGAAGCATTGAATGTTATTCGAAGACGGCGGGAATCAGTGACTGGGGTGACACGGGAGCCAGTATCGGTGTTCGTAAGGTGTGTTGACACAGGCTGGCCGTTCCAGCCGGTTTGTTGGCATATCTGGAAAATCGAATATTATAAGCATAGGTCGAAAATGGACGAGTCGAAGCTGTTTTACCATTTTATACATGGGCACAGAGCCATACGCAACAGCAAGAGTCCCGATAATAATGCTGATCGTATAGTACCTAATGGAAGAGAGATATGTTAATATATGAGGTCAATCTAATGCGCAGCTTCGTACTCACATTGTTGACGTATTCTTGCCATCCCATTTCAAGTTCCGCGGGCTGGCGGGCGTCGTTTGCTGCCTTAGCGGAGTTTGACTGGCAAAGCCTCGAGCCGGTATTCGACATCTTGGAATGCCAGCCGTCCTGATTGCATTTAAAGCACGTATCCCCACGGCCGGTCGGGCGGCTAGTGATATTAACCGCTCCATTGCAAGCTACGTGGCCGGCCTCAATTGAAAATGTTGATCAGCGCCGCATCTTCTCAGCGACGTTGATTTCAGGTAAAGCCGCTTGCTTATGTAACAAATTTTCGAAGCGGTCAGCGCCTTAACGCCGTAAGCGCCGCACTGAGAGTCTATTTCCTATAAATTTACAACCTCCTGGAAAAATTATTATCATTGATTTGTTTTATGCTTATATAAATAAAAATGTCAATCATGATCTTTGCGATGTGGCCACGATCAGACTTAGAACTTCATACCCACTCTAACATACAAACAAGCTAAGCTTGAGAAACGGAGCAATCATTCGTTTTCGTCGAAGTCGTCAAATGGCCAGTGTTTCTCGGTCATCTCCTGGTCATATTTGCTATCTGAGACCGAAGCAATTGCCATATCCTTGAATACCTTTTCCCGTGCAACGCTGTCATCAAACGTCTCGTTTGATGTCCAACCATCGACGCTTACTCCAATCGCATCCCGAATCCGAGAAAGTTCAGTGTCCATATCTTCGTATTCCTTTTCAATACCTAACACCTCCTGGGCTTCCACAGGATTAAAAGTCACAGGGCATTGAGGTATGCACTCGCTACCATTGCCCACCCGTTGATTGTCTCCGCAAGTCACAATGGTGTTCCAGTTTTGTGTGACACGTATCAAATCTGCTTTGAGTTGGGCGTTATTCCCCTCCCAAGGATAAGATGCATGAGTGTATGTTTTCTGTTTTAGTCTCTGGCTTGGGTCCGAGTCAAGAGCGTTAAAATGACACGGGTTAAAGCGTTGCGTAAATCCAAGGTAGTAAAAGTGTAGATGTCGCCTTCGAAACTGCTCAAGTGCTGCAGAGCGCTCATAAGGGCCCATTTCGTCTAGGTTATCAGGTAATTTTGGCGGGATGAAGCGAAGTGATTCCTCATCCTGGTAGTTTTGAATATATTTTGGAATCCCGGCTGCGAGGAAGAGTGGAAGGGCAGAACAATGTTGCCAGTCAATCAAACCAACAATGTCAAAATCCCTATTAACAAAGATGTTGTTCGGCTGGAGATCAGGATGGCGCAGTATCGGCCTATGTAGACTTTTGTCCTTGGGAATAAGGAAGGGCGCGATTTTCAAGTATTTCTCAAGTGTTTCGACATATTCTTCCGGTGCCGATTTTCGATAACTGGTAGCTTCTCTGTAGGCTCGCTCAAATGGATACCGTGGTTTGGCGTGCAACTTTAGCCATGCCAGTTCCTTCTTTGCCACAGCCTCCATACACTGGACGGCGTCTGGGTCTAAATATAAATTTGTTAAGAGCCTTCGTCTTGAAAATTATAGCAATACTACTTGGAGATAACTTACGGGGACCACGATTGATGTCACTAAGCAAAGATCGTTCCGCATGCCACCATGCCAAAGACACGTCCGGTCCAACACATATTTCGGGGACTTCGGGAGCATCAGCGCCCCGCGATAGGTATACGGCAGCTTTCTTTAGATTTGAAGGTAGGTCACGGCGGTAATATATGCTACCAGCTGCAGGAAGCTGGATGGCAAATAATCTGGCCTCTAGTTGAACTAAGCCCATCAAGACCTTAAGTCGTTGTTTGTCTGAAAGTGTATACCATGAATCCCCAATCAAAGTTCCGTCGACTCTGTCCATCAGGATATATTCAGCTCCAACAGAATTATCGGGATCGGCGGAGTAACCAAGGACTCTCGGTACAGGAATATCATGGCAGTGAAGCAGGCCCAATGTTGCAACTTCACTCGCAACAGCAAGCCGTCTGGGGACTGTGGAATGGTAGGGAAGCCGGGCGAGAATTTGAGTGTCATCACCCTTCATTGTGACTTCAAAGACACGGTTGAATCCGCCTTCTGCAAGCTTCTTGAAGCTCTTGATATCAGATTCATGTCGGTTAACAGAGGCAGCAGCAAGGCGCTTGAGCTCTTGGACGTTAAAGGCCAGGCTTCTTTCAGCAAGGCGGAGGGATTCATTATATCTACAAGCCAGTTTATCTCTTTAGACACACGCCCTTTTATCTAGTACACGGCGATATACTCACATCCACCGACCAGACGTGTACTCAAATAAGTCTCGATTCATTTCATTGGCCTGGGTCGCCATCCTGGAGGCCGCACAAGATCTAACAGAACGTACCCCAACAGCATGTTGACAGATGGCCCTCAGGGCAGTCCAGTAAACCATGTTCAAGGCGCGGAAAGTGGAAAGGAGGTTTGCCTACATATCTACATACGGCATAACCAAGCAATCTCTCTCTCCGTATGTACTCCCGCCTTATTCAACGTAAGCAGCGTTGCTTTTCAGTTTAATAGTGGGCTATACACAACCAAATACTCATTATCCGGGCTTCTGGAGTGATCTGGCTGTAGGCAGGTCTGCCAGCTCAACGGGTACATTTTTCTCCATACAAAACTCTCACGTTTCGAGGATTTCTATCATATCAATTGCTCTATTTATGTGTAATGTATGCACAAAAACGATTTTATCTCCCACCATAGCGCCTCTAGGAGCCTCTGGAAGATTATGGAAGGCGCTCAAACGCCCTGAGTAATCTATTCCCGCTCCTTTTACAAGTGAGAACAGCCTGTTGCATTGACTTTTTAGAAACGGTATGCTGACTTTCATATTCGAAGTTTGTCCACTGGCTACCATGATTTTTCTTTCCTTATGGATGAACCGACCAGATTCCTTGCACGCCAAGGGCTAGGTAACTAGGTGCCTAGGTAGATAGTCCACCATCCTGAGGGCTGACGGCAAGGGCTAGTTTCTATATGCAGTCCTCGCGTTACTTGTCTCACAAACCAGTAACTTGGTGCTCTGTACTAGAGTCTGCAGTTAAGCACGTACTGTTGGTTTCTACCTTGGCCACTTGGAGAGCTCGGTGCTTGTGTTACATACGATCCAACTTGCATGTCGCTAACTAGCCCAGGCTGATGGGGACTCTGCCATGATTGCAGCTAATAATATCGTCCAAACACGCTGGAGACGGAAAGCCATCGCTTTTACTGTACTCCGTACTCCGTAGCTCACGAACGGCTTGCAGAAACATAAGTTATACCGGCTAACAGTTCAGGGATGATGCATCGGTCGTCCCACCGGCCATATAAAAGAGGTATTATAACTCCCTCCTGCAGAGAAACATTTAACTAACGACGGAATATTCCTGCTAAGGCCTGTCGAGTCAAGACTCGAATTACCCTGAAGCCTGGAGAGTTATGGGTGTCCCGGAACCTTGTCCCTTACAATTTACAGAAGCTCAGCAGCCTAATAGCCCAGTACAGCGGTCCCCTAAACTTTTCCCCTAAACCCACCTATAAGTGTCGCTTATATAGCACGGGAGTCTAGACTCGACATGGGTCCTGTAAGTAAGGAATGGGGGTGGTTAGAGGGTAAGACAGGGAGTGAAAGGGAAGTGCTAGTGGTATCACTGCCAGAAGTGCCCCTTAAAGCATCAATGTCAGTGTGTGAGAAACATATTACTGGTTTGAGACGTAGCCACGTAGCTAGCAGACTGATATAGCCCCTGCAAAGGGGATTTTGAAAAACAAATAATGCAATTTCCAAAAGTGCATCTCAGGGTTCCATTAGATATATGTGCGTGTGTAACTATGTATTAAAAGAATGTGCGTATAATAAAACAATTTTCGAGTCCATAATGACTCCATATGAACACCCAGCGCATCAAGCAGATCAGTAGCCAGAAGCGTTCGACCTCCCTGAAGCCACGCCCCTTCCCTGAACCGGGGTCAAACGACTGTGGGGATGTGTCCTGGAGTACTCTAGGCAATAAAGAGGGTATTCCATGATCATCCTTGCACAGCGCCAACATAGCAGAGCGTACTCCGCCAACATCCCCTTGCAAATTTTCCCTTTCTGTAAGAGTTCAACTCTTAAGCGGTGAAAGTATTTACAATGGGCGGTACCAGTTGGCCTGAGGGTCTCCCAAGCACTCGCCAACAGTGACGGCTAAATTATCAACATGTTAGTCTGGGTCCTTTATTTTATGACTGAAGCTGGGTAATAACATACCTTTCAATCCTCTCTTCTTGACCTCGTCCAAGAGCTGCTGCATCAACATCTCAACAGTGGTCTGGTGGACGTCATGGCAGAGGGTAATGCTGCCACCGGCGTCGAGGCCCTTCTTGAAGTTCGCAACACTGATTGGTACGCCTTCAGGGGTGGCATGCTCGTAGTCCTTGGTGTCGATGTTGGCATCGATCATGTGGTACTGAAGCTCAGCCATGGTCTTATAGACGGTGTCGCTGTAGGCGAAGTATGGAGCGCGCATGTAAGTTGGTCGGTGTCCATCGATGATAGGAGCAAGGATATCGTCGAGCTTCTTCATCTCAAGAGCGATTCCGGTGGAGTTGAGCTTGGAGAGATCGGCGTGAGAGTAGCTATAAATATTATCAGCGATTAAGTTCGACCGATTGGAAAATCAGTAGGCGGATAAAACTCACGTGTGGGATCCAAGCTGGTGACCCTCGGTGTACATGCGCTTGATGACATCGGCATAGTCCTGGATGCTTCCGAAGTTCATGGCGTTGACGAAGAAGGTACCCTTAGCACCGTTCTTGTTCAAGAGGTCAAGAAGAGGTCCGGTGTACTCGTATGGGCCATCATCGAAGGAGATAGCAATAACACCCTTAACAGTGCACTCGTTAATGACGGTTCCAAATGGGATGGTGCCAGGCATTCCAGTTGGGACTGGGACACTAGTGCCGGTAGGAGCCACAGTCGGTTGAGCAGTTGGAGTCATCGATGGGAACGTAGTTGGAACATCTGTCGGCGCGACTGTTGGCATACCAGTTGGAGTGTAGGTTCCGGTTGGCTCAGGCTCATCGGTAGGAGCTGGGCCCATAGTTGGAACAGGAGTTGGCTTTGGCCACTGTGGTTTTGGCCAGTGTGGCTTTGGGAAAGGCCAATGTGGTCTGGGACGGTGTGGGCGCCATGGCCACCAACCTGGACTGCGTTGGGCGATAGAATTGGATTCTTCCTGAAGCGGGATGGCTACCACGCAGCAAGCCAGCGCAATTGCGATAAAGAGAGTGTAGAGTCGGCACAGCATGTTGCCTGTGAGAGAATATATGTACAATACCCCCAAAAAGTATGCAATAGAAGAAATAGAGAGAGAATGTGTTATCGATCAACGAGTGCAAGTAAAAAACGAGTGTCTGGTATGCACAAAAAAGAATGAAACTGCTATAGACAAAAGAACTGGAAGTCTATAACATCGAAATGATGGTTATATAGAAAGTAGGTATCAGGGGGATGTTCCCTCGGGTTATATATCTCAGACTGGCCCTGGACCTTACCCTGCTCGACCGGACAAGGCGCGAAGACGTCGCACGTTAGAGATAGACAGATCTCGGTCTCCGCCTGGATCGATCGACTAAGCCCGGAGCCATGCTTCTTTTTTCGTCTCAATGCAAGGTAAATGCCGGTCCAACTTTTCGGACACGAGTGCTCCTTGGAGTGCTTGGGCAGTCGGACGGAGCTTCAGATGCTTGGCCACCGCTAACTGAATGGCCACCCACCATACTTTTAGCGACCAAGGATAGAGCAGATCACGACCAAAAAAAAAAAAGCAAAATATCGTGAGGGCTGCTCGTATACTCCGTACACAAGATCAAGATACCTGCGGCTCATAGATTCGGTTTTTCTCAAAGAAAATGATAGGGGTATCAATATCACATCATGTCGCAAATCGAATCCAATGACGTTGCAGGCTGTTCCATTCAGCATACTCCGTACCCCTTGGAGGAGAATCTCAAATTGAACATGTTCGATCCTCACGATCGAAAACGATGAAGCGGGGGATCTCGGTCGAATAGAGGTCCACGGCAACAGCCAATCCCTCTCGTCAGATCCAGCGCTAACTTGATATCAGAGGAAAAGACTTTCTTTTCTTAGCCTAATTGTGACCGATCGCTAGCCAGGAACCAGTCATGGAGCCTGCAAGGACAGGGTCAAGCAGTCGTACATACCGCAGCGAGCTTGCCACAGACGCACTCAAGGCATCACTGCCACGGAGTATTTTGTCAGGAACTGCTTCAGGGTGAGAACATCCTTTCCATTTCCAACCGTAGGGCAATGTAGGGCAGTCTGAAAAGACAATGGGAAAACACCAGTGACGTTTCAGAAAACGAGCTAGTTTGATGGGTCGTTGACATCACGAAAGATTTTGAGGTCGATCCCCAGCTTTAGGTCCCGCCGCAAAACCTGCAAGCCCGCCCAACCAGGATCCGTGGATCGGACTTAATATTTTTCTGGTTGGCTGGCGACTTCGAGATGGCGATTACCAGGCAGACTAGCCGAAAGAATTTGACACGCCTCCATCGGAGTGGCGGCATGTAGCATCCGCGATAATCGCCATGGACGATTCGAGAAAGCGGAGGAGGGAAAGGAGAAAGGAAAACTTCGATGAAACATCGATGAGCAGAGCTTTGGGGAAGAGAGAAACAAGCTCGAAGTCGAAGCACTGGGTGTTTTCTTGTCGTACTGACATTCCCCTTTCGACTCGGCTCCATAACTGGTTAACGGAAAGTCGGCATAACTACTCCGTACGTGAAACGCCCTTGGCTAACTAGTCGCCAAACAGACATGCGAGAGCGTTGGAGAAGGGCTTGACTCTGTTTTCTTTCTTTGTGTGTGCCAACATTCTTTCACGTCGTGGGCGGCGCGGGATGCGGGCTGCCTGCTCAGAAAAGAAAGTCGAAATGTGTGACGAGATGCATGAATTGTTGTGCCTGTTGGATCAGCGCCATGGTCTATGCCATTTGGTACCTTGCATAAAGGCTGACAATCAATTATGCTATCCTTGGAGCCCACTTCGTTTATTCGGAGCCTAACTCCGGGCTTCTGTTGAAAAAGGGGGTCCTAAAAATACAAGCGAGGTGGGCTCGATTGAGATGGGATTTTCCCCCTGGGCAGGGATTTTGAAGTGTTAGTCAAAAGTTGCCTTGGGTGTGGCCACTCACGTTGCAGAATGAGTCGAATACGAGACGCCTCCTTTTAACTGCCTACCACGTTCGTCTCTAGCGTGAAACAAGCATTCCCATGGATATCTCGGCCTCTGACTCCACGTTCTGAAGCTCTCGAGCTGTCGAGCATGACTAGCTAGGCTAGCTAGTGTCGGGAGCTCGAAGTCCGAGTTCGCTTTCTCGAGCGATAGCTATTTCTGACTGATAATTAACTAAAAGACCACCAAGGTCGTTTATCTTTAGACGCCGTTTTGGCTATCTTTTTTAGTCGTTCAAGAAAGTAATTCGAATATTCCATGTCATTTTGCGAGTGGGTTGTTCAGGGAAAAGTTTGTGCGAGTCCGTTGTGTTATCTGCCAGGGCTAGCATGAGTTGTCGTGCTGATCATCAACATTCCGCGGCCTTTGTTTATTGACAGCGGCATGCTGTTGGCGTTGGTACTCCATATCTCTTGTTTTTTGGCCAACTTCTTAAGTATACATATGGATATTGAGCTGACACCCACTTGCAGGCTGTCACAGTTTTAGCGTAACCTGGGGTGTGGGAGTGGGAAGAACCAGGGCCAATGCCCAGGGTAGACTGCCGGGGTACCTAGACAAACAATTGAGACTTCCTCACGACCGAAAGCTGGGCCATGGATGCACGAATCATCGTTTTGCATACTCCGTACAGGGTGTAAAGCACTCAGTAAGCTCTCAACAATGGAAGACCTTAGTATACTCCGTACTCCGTATATTATCACAGTAGCGAGCAGCTCTGCAGTCCAACTTTGAATTGGGCCTCTTTATTGAAATTTAACCGAGTACGGAGTACGGAATAAAGCGACCGAATTTTATTATACTTCCTTCCAAATTGATGTGAAGAACGGAGGGGTCAGGGGTAAGGTAAGGTTGTTTGTGAAGCCTGTCAGGCTACGGCATGGATGTGTCTGTCTGTGACCTTGAAGTCTTAAAAGATGTGCAGCTTCCTTTGAATTGTGGCTACGCCTCGGTTCACCTCCGTCTTTCCCTGTTGAGTTAGTCCTCCTTATTCTCCATTCTGTGAGCGTTTGTGAGAGCCGAGTTGCCCATTCTTTGTTCAACGTGCTGCTCTATTATGACCCCTTAGGCACGTTGCGAGTGAATATGTATCCATTTTATTCGTCACACCGCTTCACAATTATTCAATGATGAGGGCAGTGTTCACGTCATCTGGCCAGAGCCAGGTTTGAAAAAGCTTGAATACCTGCACTGTTTGGGGCACTCCAGACACGGCGTCTAAAGTTTCTGGCCCTGTTCAATATGCACCCTTTCAAGGCACAAAGTTTTAACTTCTGGTGGCCAAGAGTCCGGCGATATCTTTCCCGCCGCACAGGTTGATTGTTCCCCGGAGCTTTCGTTCTTCGTCTTGGAAACTCATGAGGCCCAAGTGTTACGAAACAAGCCGAGGCTGGCACGTTGACCAGTCCCGATGCCCTAGGCAATCTTCAGTCTTAAATATTCAGGCGAGATGTCGGCCAACGCAATTATTGTCTTTGTGGCAGCGACTACCGCTTCATACCCAGAAATTTATATTCTATTTTGCTAATGGCCTCGGTAGTCCTGATAAACCTGTTGATAAGGTAATAAGTGCAAGTCATTGGCTCGATCCTATGAGCCGGGGGCCTGCTCTCGTTAGAGGCATGTGCTGGAGACATGTCTAAACGCAAGATTCTGCTTAGAGACAATTCCTAGACAGCGGAATGATGATAACAGTCGTCTCCTATTTTCCTGTCCCTCTTTGGCGAAATCTGTCGACTGATTCTTTCGTCGCATGAATTCAGGGACATGTTACTGGGATATTTCTAGTAACTCAGGGCTTTGAGAATCGCGTTTCCAGCACGCTCTGAAGGATCTGAAGGAGTGTTCCGCCGAAAGTAGGCGACCGTGGATACCAAGCCGTGGCTCCTGAGTAAAGTCCGCGAGGAGGTATCAGTATATCAGATACACGATGCAAGCAAGAGACATACTGAACAGAATAACTGGCGTGGCTAAAATGGTCTCTTCATTTGAGTGAGTGCTTGGCCAGTATTTCGGTTGTATAACAGGGCATGATCATGATAATGGTATAGTATTTCCAGCCACTTAACGGGCGTTCAAGATGCCTGACTGGCCCTCTGGGGGATTGAGAAGATAGGCCCATCTTTAAGGCCCTAAAGCCGTTCGACACCATAACGCTGTGAAATTCAGAAGATGTTGACAGCCTTTTGAACTGCTCCAAGTCTGTTTACACCTTTTGTGCCGCTTAGTCATCTTTCACTGTGGACCCAAAAAGGGGAAACCTGAACTTCATCTCGTCTTCACCTCCTAGACTGCTGATATCTCGACATTCTGCGACGTGATTTCACATTCATATAATTATCTCATCATACGCATCTCCTTTTGGACGAGTGTTGGCAAAATTGATGTCTTAGACAGCCTCACAACATTGCAATACCCTTCTACGGAGTACAGAGACCAAGGGATAATAGAAACGGCTTCCAGCCCCATAACTGTGCTTACTACACAACCTCAGACAGCCACGCAAGCGGCCGTCTCCATTATCTCCACATGCGTTAAACCATCCTTATCCAAGAACCTCATTTCCGGTCGACAAACTGAAGGAATCCTCAGTTCACAGCCACTCTACGGCCACGCGGCATGCATGCATCGGCAAGCTGATGGATACAGTGTAAAGAAAACAATGACTGATCTTCGCAAGTCGCTAGAATATCCTATCACCTGGCTTTCTGCTGAATTCCTACTCGACGTTGAGAGCCTCACCCAGCGGAAATAATGGGCTCGATCCATTAAGAGTGACCGTGTTCATATATATACCAGCATACCTTACGGAGTAGAAAACCTCCAGCCAAATACCAACAAACACGTAAAACTGGGAACGAAGAACTACTTTGGAATACTCCGTATGTAACCTTGCTTCGACTAACTATCGGACCAATTCGCCTATTCAGGATGGCTAGAGGCACCGCCAGCTTCAAATCAGACTGCTTCTGTACTCCGTACCTTCATGATATCCCAGTTGCACTGGTTATGATATCCCGTGTTGGAATGTATATTCGGCGTTGGAAAGAGATACCAAGTCGTGAGTCTTGGGATCAAGGCCCGAAAAATTTTTTTTATAGCCGTTTCACCCACTTGGACGGAACCTTTGCTGATCCCACGGCCGAAATTACCGCCTTTCCGCGCCTTTTGATGCCGGGAAAAACATTCCGAATTTTCTCTCCCGTGTCTTGGAACAAACGGCGATCCTACTCATGCCTCACGCGGGTGCAGTTATCAGTTGGTGGGAGGATAGATGTCCATCTGCGAGCCCTAAGTTCGGGCGATGCGTGACATATGATCGAGACATGAATCGTTGAATCAGATTTAGTAATGCGGTTTGCCCTGTATAAAGGCCGTGGCGAAATAACCCCAACGTCGCAGCTTCGAAGTTAAAATATGTCCTGGGGATGAACACCGGGCACCGGGCACAGCAAATGGTATGTGACCGTTGACAGGAGGAATGATAGTGGAAGATGCCATGCATATGCTTCTCCACATTTCCCTCTATCCTGCAACTCGCTCATTCAGGGTGTTGCATGAATTCTTCAATGTAACTACGGAGCTCTGTCCCTGTTCAGGATATCTGGATCGTCCAGCTGTTTTCCAGACTTTTCTTTCACGTCGATCTGTGGGTTTGATATACCATAATGCTTGGCTCCTATGCTCCATGACTCCAGCAATGCGGAGAAGATAACTATGTACATAACAACAAAATGTTTTCGTCCACTTTACGATAAAGATTATGATGAAAATCTATGAAGGTGCTGGGTCAACCCCATGGCCTGCACCCTGGTAAGGACAAGCGAAATCCCAACCCCGAGTGGATATCTAGGTTGTTATCCTCCGAATAGGATAGTCATCCGCTTTTTCATCGTAAGTTGGATGTGATAAGAACGCTAAATATTCCAACCTTTATCGCTGCTGCTAGAGCTGGCTAACATCTCGAGGTAATCACCTGGAATGATGGCATGGCCTTGGAAAGAAAAGGATACCTTTTATGCAGAGCTGTAGCAGAGCACCAGTTGGGATCTGCATTTGCACCGAAGACCAAGTATCCTATGTCTCGGTCCATCTAAAATAAGATCATCCTCTATGGTTTTCGCAAGCTCGCATTCGGATTGATACTCCGCCTTGGTTTAGGGCGTTGCCTAAGCATAGGTAAGCCTTTTCCGGAACTTAAAAACCACATACCCCGGCAGAGTTATATTGCATGTGGACCACATTAGACACATGGGTGCTAAAGAGCGAATTATGTCCTCCCATTGCATTGCAACTCCCTGTCCAAGCTATACCACACTGCGGATATGATATCATTCTAGGTACTTTGCTATTGCATGGCAAGTACAAGCTTTAGCTCCAACTGCGAAAAGTTCTATGGAGCATCGAATTTTCCTTTCGAAATGTCCGAAGGACGATACTGTGTGCTCTGGAGAGGGTATATAAAGGGGGTTCTCACCACCAAGCTGAACACCTTTTTCGAAAGCCAGACCACTCAGTCCTTTCATTCATTCATTCATTCATTACATAGTCATTCTTTATACAGTCATTCACTTTTTCCTCTTTCTTTTCTTTCCCCTTTTTTCTCTTTCTTATTCTACCCTGAGCCATTACATTTGAGCTCAAGATGCAATTCGTCGCTCTTCTCGCCGCCCTCGGCGCCCCTCTGGCACTGGCTGCCTCTATCCCTGCTGCTCATAACAACAGCTCCATCATCGATGTTAAGCTGGCTGCTACCGGCAACTCTATGATCAAGGCTATCATCACCAACAATGGTGACCGTACCTTGAACTTGTTGAAGTTCAACACCATTATGGACGAGCACCCAACCCGCAAGGTTAAGGTCTACCAAGATGGTATGAAATTGAACTCCCTTTTTACATTACTCCATATTCTCCCAGCATGATTCTAATAGTATAAACAGGTGCTGAGGTCCAGTTCACTGGAATGCTTCCCCGCTACAAGATGTCTGACCTCACCCCTGACTTCTTTGTTAACCTTGGCCCCAAGGCCAGTGTTGAGCACTCCTTTGATCTCGCCGCTACTCACGATCTAAGCCGCGGTGGAAAGATCACTGTCTCGGCTAACGGAGTTGTCCCAACTGCTGAGGAGAACGAAACCACCATCACCGGACACACTCACTACGAGTCCAACGAGCTCACCATGGATGTCGATGGAAAGGAGGCCGCCGCTGTTGAGCAGTCCATGGGCGGAGACTCCCCCGCTGGTGTTATCGACAAGCGCTCTAACATCGTCACCTCTAGCTGCCGTGGAAACCAGCTCCAGATGTTGAAGACCGCCCTCGCCAACTCTGCCCGTCTCTCCAAGGCTGCTGCTTCGGCTGCCCAGAGGAACCCCCGCAAATTCCAGGAGTACTTCAAGACCACTGACTCCAGCACCGTCCAGAAGGTTGTCAGCCGTTTCATGTCCGTTGCCCGCGAGTCTACCTCTACCGGTAAAACCACCTACTACTGCAACGATACCCGTGACGGTTGCAAGCCTGGTGTCCTTGCCTACACCCTCCCATCCAAGAACCAGGTTTTCAACTGCCCCAGCTACTATAAGCTCCCAGCCCTTAACAACCGCTGCCACGGTCAGGACATGGCCACCACTACTCTCCACGAGCTTACCCACAACCCCGCAGTTGTCACTCCTTTCTGTGAGGATCTTGGCTACGGTTATGACCGTGTCTCCCGCCTTCCAGCCTCCAAGGCCGTCCAGAACGCTGATACCTACTCCCTTTTCGCCAATGGTACGTGAATCCTACCCCTTTTTATGACATGATTTTCCTTATGACTGACTTTTATATAGCTGTCTACCTTGGCTGCTAAAGGCTTTTCAATCTATATTAGGTTTTAGCTTATAGCCATTACGCTTTCCTGAGGTGGCTTCCGTCTACTTAAGTTTTCGAATCTAATTGTCGGGTCCGTGACCCATTTTCCTTTTGTATATAAACTGTACCATGTACATAATAAAATCATAGATGATCATATATTGATGATCTAATATAATTCTCTGTGATATCCTTGGTCTTCGTCTTCCGTTCTATCTAAGCTGCTTTATTCGTAGTATGTAGTTGTCGGGGAAACCTAGCCTTGGATGTACTGTTTCGGGAAATCGATGCACGTGCAGATATTTACAAAACTAGCCGGTTATGCTTTGCTGAACACGCAAGAGTATAGCGTTGGGGAAGTGAATGATATCCAATGGAGCACATTTAAAGTAAGAAGTGAAGGGGGTATGTGCAGGTCTACATTTTATATCCTAACAAGCATTTAGGGTATCTAAACTACTAGTGATCTATCAAAGCAGACTAGACAAAACCCTTCAATATAGCACTCTCGGCCTACAGTGATTGGATAAATTAATTAGCAGTCGCCTCTGCATCATGTACTAGAAATGGGTAGAAACTCACATTCAAGATACTGCTACCAGACGCCCCGAGGACGGTGTTATGGCTAAGGGCAACAAATTGGATATCGAAGACCCCGCTGTCATCCTCTCTGATTCGGCCTACAGTGCAGGTATATCCGCGTTCGGTCTCCCTATCAAGACGAGGCTGTGGCCGGTCTAATTCTTCCATGACACGAATGCTCTCTTTGGGAGCGGAGGGGCATCCAAGTGTCTGAACCTCTGGTTTGTACTCCCGCAGTGCCTCACGTACCTGGCTTGCAGTAGGTGGAGGGCGGTTAACGAAGCGCAGAGATGCGCAGACGGTATGGCCATCAAGAACGGGAACACGGTTACAAGCAACAGAAATCTGAAGGGGCTTCTGATCACTGAATCCAGCTGCATCAGAGTTAAGGTCTCCTAGGATCTTGCGTGCTTCGCTGGCTATTTTTCCTTCTTCACCGGGGATATACGGAACAATATTATCGAAGATATCCATGCCTGGCACGATGAGATTAGTTCATGTATGTATGTGGAGGATGTTATGGGTGACGAATATGCACGTACTGCTGACACCAGGATAGCCGGCTCCTGAGACAGCCTGCATAGTAACCATGCTCACCGACTCAATAGGCCCGAACTTCTGAATGAGAGCCTTTGCCGGTACAACCAATCCTACAACCGCACAATTGGAGTTGCATACCAGCAATCCTTTATCAAGACCGAAATGCTTCCTTTGCGCGGGGATCACATCAATATGCCCCGCATTGACGAGGGGCACCACCAACGGCACCATAGGGTTCAGTCGGTAGTTCTTTGCGTTTGAGAACACAGCAAAGTTGGCCTTGAGGAAGGCCATCTCAATCTCGCCCGCGGCATCGGGGTCCAGCCCAGAGAAGATAATGTCGCAGTCTGAAAATTCGGCGGGGTCACAGCGGCGGACAGTCAGGTCTGCCACCATAGCGGGCATGGGAGATGATTGCTTCCAGCGAACAGCATCACGGTATTTTTTACCAGATGACCTATCTGAGGCGCCTACAGCCACCAATTCGAGTAGAGGATGCTGTGAGAGTAGGAGGATGAATCGAGTGCCTACCGCACCGGTTGCTCCCAGAACACCTGCAAGATGCAATTAGTATAATGCTTTGCAATTGGTTCAAATTGCTTACCGCAGCGCTTCTTAGGAGGCGTTGACATCTTTATAGCTTTTATTCAGCCGTTCAATCGTAATACTCAATATCAATATCAAGTTGAACTCTTCTCTGAATTACAGCTCGATATCAAAATTGCCGAAGTCGGCATGACTCAAAGCGGCACCATGGACAAAACATTATCCGATGACGACATAGTCACTGCTTACATAATACAATTATATAATCATAGGATTCGATGCCTCATATCTTAGATGTTTTGCTTTTCATACTTCGAGATTGATAGCTTCGTCAAATCGACGACAAGAGACACCTTGAAGGCCCAGCCAAATCGTTGGATACCTTGATCTCTCCCACCAAGCGAGAGAAGCCCAATAGTGCAATATACTAAAGAAGCCATCCACGTGGCTTTTCGCACGTTAGTGGCCATGCCTTGCCGCCTCAACGTGCTTTTACGAGCAAGCCTTAGAAGTCGATCAGGCTTGTCTTCGTATTTCTCGCCAATCCAGAGGTCGATCGCCTAGCACAGATGGAATCGGGTATTTGCTCGAACACCTTTTCATGGACGAGCGGCGGCTCCTAGTTGCCTTGCATGATGAAGAAAAGGGGTACACAAAATATCCGTCCATAGGTAGAGAATTCTGGAGCTTGTTCCCTGCATGGCTGGCTGATCTCTTTGAAAGCCGGCGTGTTTCGAACGAACTCCATACGGAGTTATCTTTACCTTTCCTTAGCTACCGCAGGGATACCGTGAAGCAAAGAGCTTCATCCTTGTCGATAATCATCCATGTCGGCCCACCCCGGCGACCTAAAAAAAAAGCCGTTACAGGATCGAGTGTTCTGTCAGCGCGGAACTTGAACCCGCAATTGACGAGGAAAACAAGGAAGAAAAGTCTTCTGGCGTTTCCCGCATATATTGCTGACGGGCCTTGAAAAGGTTGTCAACCTTCTACCCCCTTTTTCAATCTCGTTGCAGGGATAGATAGCGCTTGTTGGTTGAACACCGTTCTGACCTATCCACTTCAGCCCGTCTTCAAACCCCGACGGACACCAAGATGCTATCTGAGCACGACAATAGCGGATGTCGTGATAACGGGCAAGGTTCAAAATAAGCATAACCACCGACTGAGATGTGATGCCCTGATCGCTGTCGCTGGGCAAGCTCCTATGTAAAGGCCTTAGCCCTATAGGGCGTTTGGTCGGTTTGATCGGCGTTGCTCTATACCACTGCAAAACACATAGCGGACGCTTGTTTGCTTTGATAGTCTAGGTCTGTTTTAGAATCCAACCTCGTGGTTTGTTCGTGGTACGTCATTGCCAACCAAGCTAAACAAGTAACTATGCATGTCGTAGAACTATATGTTTTGTGCACTGTGAGGGATCATCACCTGGACAAAACCACTGGGCGGATCAAGTTTATCAGCCTTGAGCGGGTTACTCCATGGCTTGCAGGATTTTTCTTCCACCCGTCAAGTCGACTAACCAGGCATGGCGGTTCGTGTTCGCGTTCGTACGGAGAAAGGATTGCATGCATCACACTGAGGCGCAGCAGTTAGTCGACAAACTCCGCTATCCCGGTGTTTTTGTTCTGCATAGGGAGCAAGTGCATGGGTACGAGGAGAATACTCAACGCAACAACCTAGCTCCCTGTTCTTTGCTATCCCAGAAAAGGGGCAAGCCTTTTGCTTCCCTTCTCCCGCAAGGTAAAATAAGGTTCGGTACCTGACTCACGTGATGCAAAGGCGAAAAGATGACATAATAAGTGGATCCAGTTTCTGTATATCAAACTCCGAGCAACCGTTTTTGGAGAGACAACTGGAGAACATCCGTATATTAATGCTATATTATCTCGTAGTATTAAATGAGGTAAAAATATAATCATACAGGGTGATGAACGAATTAGCGTAATATGAAGATCTATCATGTCTTGAACACGCGAGCGAGGAACTTGCCGAATACGCCACGAACCAGTTTTGGGTTTTCATGTATGCAAGCAACGAGGATAGCGGTACTGAGAGAGAAAGCCAGCCTCTCTCTCCATTGATACTATTGTGCGTTAGTACAGCAGCAATTCAAAGAGGGTCTGTATGGAGTACTGCAGGGATTTGATGGGTGCATACCTTTCTATCGTACTCCCTAGGAAGCAATGTAGCCAACGCTCTGGGAGCAACAAACAAGCTGATCTCCTGCCTTCTCCCTGTCGATTCAACGAAGATGCTCCATCCACACATGGCGCAACCTGCAGCAATGCAGAGACCAGAATCCCACATCATTGGCGTAACTGTCTTTGAGCTAAACAGCCTAGGCCCCAGCCTTGTTCGCGCCAAACATACCGAATAATAAAACAAGCTAACAAAAAGGCCGAGAAAAGTAGATGAACGTAGCGCGCTCTTGGTAGCATGGATGTACGTTTTCAGATTGCGGGATCTACAGCGCATCACGATCTGGAGAGGGAGGTAAGTGGCGCAAGCAAACTTGAACGCTCTAGCGAATCGCCAGACGGCGGTCTTTTCACAGTTGGGACCACAGCCCATGTGGACTATCTCGCAGGGGATAGGAACTGTCTTTTCAGGAGTCCCCCATTCTATTGGCCAGCCGTAGTCGACACACATCGATTCGAGGACCACTTGATCACCGTTGTCGCGGCCGTAGGTCCAGTCGCCTCTGCGGGCAGTACGGAGAGCTTCGAGAATGCGGTTGTCGAGTTGGGCTGCTTCGCTAATCCATTTGCCGTAGGAGTAAGGGAGGCGGTCAGGGAGGTAGAACCAGGCCCACATCACGATAGCGGAACTGATAGCGAAGACGCCAGTGTCTGCGAGTTTGGGAGCAAGGGAGCGTACCCGTTGCCCGGCCTTGCCATTGCCATTGCCCTGGGCGCGAGAAGAAGCTTTCCAACGAGACCATAGAACGTTAACTAGAGCGTCTGCAGCTCTAGTTGTCGCAAAGAGAGTCAAGTCTAGAGTACGGCCAGCAAGGTCGGGTCTGTTGTTGATGTTGTTCTGGCTGCCGTTGCCGTTGTCCTGATTCTTCTTGGCCACACTGGGCTGATAGGAGGAAACGCGCTCGTCACATCCCGCAGACCGGCCGTACGGATGTTTTGTTGTGCGATTGAGGATGGGAAAGCAGATCAGGGCGGACAAGAAGGCCGCTAGGAACCGCAACGGCCGGTCTGACGAAAGCGGAATGCTGAGAGGTGTGGGCAGGGATTGGAGATACCCACTGGAGGCGAATCTTAATCTGACAACTTCCAGGGCACGAGGTAGGATGGAGGAGCCCCCCGCCAACAGAGCGCAGAAAACTGGAAAGCGGTCCCATTTAAACCCGCAGTGCAAGATGCGGATCAACTGCGGTGTGGTGTATAGTGTTAGTGACTGTTTTTTATGCTAGAGAGGTGTCAGATGATGTCTCTCTTACGCGCTGCAGCTTTTCTGCGGTGCTGACATCTCTCCGCCGCAGAGTTTTCAAAAGAGAGATAAGTTTCGGCAGCGTAGTAGTGAGATATCCAAGCGCAAACGCTCGAGCGACCCTGTCCAAGAGTAAACCAACCCATGTTAGCCCAAAATAAGGAAAAAGAGCGGCTGACAAGGCATTCTTTTAAGAAATCGGAGCGGGTTCGGCACACACGGGTTTAAGATGCGCAGACGGTCGAGCGCGACCTTGGAGCTCTGCATCGACATGACTCTCGACCGAAACCACGAAAGGCCGAGTCAAAGCCCCCCCAAAAAGGTTAACGTTCTTCCCCGGGGTCCTCTGGAGCAGCAGCAACAGGAGGATGAGGGCCGTGGTCGACACGCGAGGGGGAAGACACCCATGAAGGACGGACGCGCTAAGGGAAGAGTAGGCCCTTTAAAGAGGTCGAAGATCTGACCACGGATGTCGGAAGGTGTCCGCTTGCGGGGCAACGATCGCAATCGGTCTCTGCCAGCCTCAGTAGCCCAGTAGCCCGTAGCCCAGCCTACCAGCGTCGCAGCGTCCACGATGACAGCATCGCAGTTGTAGTTGTAGCTGCGGTCGTCGAGTTGTGTCGTCGAAGTGTTATTAAACGTTTACGTCGCTAGCGAGGAGGTACAAGCGAGGTACAAGCACGTGAAGAGCGAGCCGCGGTTAAATTTTAGCCGCCAAGCTACGCCTGCAAGTAACTTCCCTGTATCTTTTGCTTCCTTTTTTGCTGCTCTACGAGGGAACGCGACAAGCAAGCAAGCAAGCCACGACGAGGAAGACGCAAAGAGACAATAACCTCCGAGGCCGGGATCAGGGAAGCTGTGCTGCATGTCCTCGACTCTTCAGCTTTTTCTTTCCAACTGCTACTCCCTGCTACGTGTCTTACTCTTTAACAGCTCGACTTAGCTATGACGCTGGGACGTCGACGTATAGCTAACGCCACCAACCGACAACTGCAGGAGTGCAGGCTCGTATAGAAGCCCGTCAAGGAACCCTTCCGAATTGCATCTCACCTCGACTTGCCTGCGTAACCGATCCGGGTCACTGCGGGTCTCTAATTTTAAAATTAGTTACGGGTTCGTTCGTGTCTGGGGAAAGACAGTAACTAATGTGTTTTGTGGGTGAGCCATATGGCAATGACATCTGTGTCCGTCGTGATAGGCCTTAAGCTGACTATTATTATTTCTGTAGCAATGGCAAAGAGAATCCCAGTCGGTTGCGGGCCGCTGGGCAAGACAGTGACCGGCATCTCACACGCAAGCTACAGGTCTAGCCCCCATTCAGCCAGGCAGGTGTACATGCGTATATGCTCAGGTAACCAGGTAGCTCTGGGACGTGAAAAGAAAACCTGAAGCGAGTGAGCGTCATCGAGTTCGCCCCGATCGATCTTCTCTTAATTTTTTACTTCCCTTTTCCTTTTTTGCTATTCGTCTTTGCTCCATGCAGCATGCATGAAAAGTATGGAGTATAAAGACATGCTAACTAATGCTTGCTTCTTCCCTAGCAAAGGGCCCCTCCCTCCCCCTTTTCCCTTTTCGGGCCTACTGGATTGATCGGGAAATACCGCCATGCGACGAGCCAGACTCCAGAGTTTAGACTCTGCTCTTTTTTTTTTTGTTTTTGGCCGTCTTGTCCACCTCTCTCTTTTTTTTTAAAGTGACGGAGTCTTCTACGCTTCTGGAAAGCTAGCTCGCAATAGCCTCAGCGCTAGACAACTGGGGCAAACCAGACGTCGACCTTTTCAACTAAGTACCCTTACTTATAAGAAAGGGTTTTGGCCGGTTAGGGGGTCACTCACTCCATCTGAGATCGGGAGACCAGCCCGGCGAACGCAGTGTCGGTATCTTAGCCGTCTGTCGCTATTACTCCCTCCCTTCTTTTACTTCTTTACTCTCCTTCTTTACTGTCCTTCTTCTCTCCTTCTACTTCTTCTGCTTCAGCTTCTACCATCACCGGCACGACTTTCTTCCGCTTTCCCTCTATTGGCCCATTCCTGCTTATCTCAGCCAGCGATCACACGGCCCGCACGCCTTTTTTTTCTTTTTGGCTTTTGCAGAGTCGCATGTGATAGAAAGATAAAGAGTGGCTTGCTTCCTCCACACTTTTGGGTCGATGCTACGATTTGCTTGCTTGCTTGCTTGCCAACTCTTCCTCTTCCTCTGCTTCTGCTTCCCTTGACTCGACCTCGCCGACTCTCGCTCTTTTGGCTGGTGTTCTGCTGGTGCGACTCGACGGTCTCTCGACGCTCGCTCTCGCCGGTCGTTCTGCCTGGTTCCTGTCCCTGAAGTGTGCCTGGTTGTTATAGTTAGTTATACTTCTGCTGGCCGGGGCTACGCCTAGTTATCGCTACGATACACACACACAAACACACCTGATATACTCCAGCATATCCGTATCTCGATCCTGGCCACGTTAAATGGTTTCTTGCATGACTGAGACGGTGTCGCCGTTCAGGCGGTCTCTCTTCGCTGCCAAACCAACCTCGAACTCCTCGCACCTGGGTAGCGGGCTCGCGTGTAGCATGGAACTGGGCCTCTCTGAGTCTGCTCATCATATGAAGGGTGCATCGACCCCCCCACCAGGGCCTTTTGGCTGTACGTACTCTTTTGAACCATACGAGGGAGGAGAAGGAGAAGGCAGGAACAAGAGGACAACGATAGAAGAAACAAGACTGACTGAGGCAGACGCCCTGATATCACCGCAAGACACACCGTTTGACTCTGCGCCAGAACGTCCTCCAGGCCCCGCCCTGCTGGACGATAGTGAATCCAACATGCTGGACAACCTCTTCACCTCCCTGAACGCCAGCCAGTTCGACAACAATGACTTCTGGCTCTCGTTTGGCGAGCAGAACGGCACGGAGCCCGGTAGTAACTTCAGCTGGCCTGATTTACCGCCAAATTTCGAGGGCTCTGCTACGAATCTGCCCACACCACAGTCTCACCACATCCAACACCATGCCAAACAATCAGGAGACATGTCCGCCCAAGATAGGTCGGCCACCCTGAGCTCAGATGTCCTAGCTGCAGCACAGATGCTCTATCAGAACGGACATGATAACCTATCTGCCCTGCACAGCCAGTTGTACGCTGAGCATGGCCTGTTGGATCACAACAATGGTAATTCCAACTATCATGCCAACAGCAATATCCACCTACAGCAACAACACCTTCACAATCATCATCATCAGATAGATGCAAAGCGCCCCCAGATGGGTCGGTATAACGATGGGTCTATGTCACAGAAGGAGTTCCTGGTCATTCCCAAGGGTGTACATACCACTACCATGATTTTTGACCCCGCCGCACACCGCTCTCCGGCCAACGACCACCAGCAGCCGAGAATGCGCACCGCTGCCTCTAAGATGGGGCCTAACATGCTACAATGGGGATCTGACTCTGGATTCGCTCACCAAGGCTACCGTCTGCCTCCAGGCCAACCTACCGTCGAAGAAACGACAGAACAACTACTCCATAACCTACAATGTCTAGAAGCCCAGTCCAGCGCTGCAAACACCCGACCGTCTAGCCCCATTAGGAAACACTGTGACAGAAAGGAGAATGCATCGTCCCTGGCGGCATCCCGAAACCCAATTCCACCATCCTACGATGACAGGCCAAAGAAGCGACGGAAGAGCAACAACAAGATAAAAGAAGAAGACTCGGAACTCGTCAGCGCCTTGTCGGCATCCAAGTCACCGTCTACCGCGACTACCGCATCATCTACAACAAATCACGCCGCCTCATCATCCTCCTCAACCACATCGTTTGCTCGCCCTTCGTCCCGCAAATCAAAGGGTTCTTCCCCTGCTGGTAACGGCACAACCATCAAACCCGTACGAGAAAACCTGTCTGAAGAACAGAAACGTACAAACCACATCCTCTCCGAGCAAAAACGCCGAAACCTGATCAAACAAGGGTTTGACGATCTGTGCTCGCTGGTCCCCGAGTTGAAGGGAGGAGGGTACAGCAAAAGCACCATGCTGACGCAAGCAGGCGACTGGCTGGCAGACCTCCTGGCTGGCAACGAGCTCCTCAAGGCGCAGTTGGCGGATCTCAAGGCACGAGGGGGATGACGATAACGGATGGGTGCACATATAAGCCATGCACACATTACTACCTTGCATATCATACCACCACCTACTTACCATTTTTCTCTGCCATATTTTCTTTGTTGGAGTCTTGTTTAACATGGCCTTGTTTGTTTGGCGCGTTTACTATATATATACCACCCCCATGTCTTGCTTCTGTCTGTATAACCTCGCTTGTCTAATCTACCTGACGATACTCATGTCTTCCCTTTTCTCTCTATCTATTTCCATATATACAACTGCTCCCCACGATGTAACGAGGCATTTGCACGGCATCAGCACGGCATCACCGGCACTCGCATAGTTAAACCATACATAACTACATAAAAATAATACACAACCATCCCGTCCAGACCCATCAATCATATTCCGTAGCCCTCTCCGCGGCGTTCGTGGGTGACGTTCTCCCTGTCCATGATGGGCCACGGCCTCCCCGACGGCGCCAGCGCCATGCAGACGCCCATCTTGCATCCACCACCCACCACCCACCCAGCCTCTGCGGCCCACCTATAGCACAACACTCCCACCCACATATAACACCCACACCAACCACAGCAAGCAGCTCACCACAGCTACATATATGTAAACCCCCCCATGCGGAGAACCGTCGGGGAATTTACCCAAATGCGACAGACATCCCGACCGATCAGACCCGGTTTTTTTGCTTCTTCCCACTGCCTCTGTTGCTGTGGATGTACCGCGGTTCGCTAGGCCGTTTCTAACTGGCGCAGAAGCAGAAGCTGGGTAAGGAGCGGACGAAAGGGAAGCCAAAGTCGCCCAAGATGTTTGATGATGGTCTGTGAGCTCTCCGTTTCATCTTTCGGTTGCTCCAACTGCGCTGTTTCATGCTGGAGAATGATTTACTAACTTCATTCAGCTAAGTTATACTTCCGCTCGAGTTCCGTCGGGCTCTGGCTCTTGCTCTTGCTGTGGTTCTGGTTCTGGTTCACGGTCCTCTGGAGGATCTCGTCTTCGGGTTCGGGGTTGGGTTCCTGGAGTTTACCCCGTTAGCTTTCTGCTTCTTCGTGCTGTTACTGGCTGATCTGGTGGCGGGATGGGCGATATCGGATGGAAGTTATTTGGTTCTGCCTTGCTGGGCTGGCTGGTGGAACGAGGTCTCGGGTGCATACGTATGTCTGTGGTCAAAACGAGCCAGGAGAATTTTGACGGGACAGTGTATTGGCATCATGCAGGGTGGTTATGGAGTTAATTGTTTGTCTCCATGATCGACGGCCTCTCGTTCTCAGTCTTTCGGCTCTGCCTCAGTTTGGTGACGACTGCAGACATCGCCACTGATTTTTCCGCAGCTCCCCGACCTGGTTCCTCATGGAGCAAACTCATAACCATGCTTAACTGCCTGGTTTAAATCCCTTCACATTCATTCAAACCAAGCCGACTTCAAGGAACTATTTGTTTGGAGAGTTCGAACATACAGCGTACCGTTAACTATCTAGCTTATATCCCAATACCCTTCATTGGCCTGTTCAAACCTGCAACGGATAACCACACTGTCAGGGCCCCATTACTTGGAACTTATCAAACACCATATCCCAATCCGGTCCTCATCTCCAGGCCTCCACATTCAAGTCTACATGCCTGGCCGAATTATAACTGAAGTTTATATACCCGAGATACCGTTCCGTAGCTACCACAAACGCCAAGTCTGGAGAAGCAAAGGGTCCTTATACTGGCTACTGCTCGGGGGTGGCGAGTGAAACGAAGCAGTGGGCCATGCGGTGACCGCGGGGTTGGCTGCAGGAACATCTCATTTCCACGGTACAGGAAGCGTGCTGTCCCCGAGAACCGCATCGCTCGGCAAGATCTGTCCGATGTGAAACCCCATTCAAGCTGGGGTTGTGAGTGTTCCTTGGTGCATCTAGTCCAATGTCTGCATCACGTACTGCGAGTTCGGAGTATACCCACCTGACTCCTGGCTGCTTGGATAATTTGACCGCTTTGGGGAAGCTCCCATAGTATGGAGTACTCCGTAAGCACTGGTTTTAGCAAACAGTTACCAGAAGTTAGGGGGAAGCTATATGTTTGTCTCCCCCGAAACACACACTCCTGGAGCATAAGAGGTAAAAAAACTGGATGGCTTTCATCTGATTAATCATACTCCATAGCCTATACTTTTAAACTATGGCAACGTTGATAAGTGAAACTCCCTTGTCAGTTGTATACCTAGTACCTGCCTAAGGTACCCAAGGTACGGGGGTTTTAAAAGATTGATAAGATTAGATTTGATCGCTGGTTTTAAGCCTCATCTAGTCCCTGACACATGCCCATCAAAGCCTCCCATGGGCAAAAATACGCGTTATTTACTGCAGGATTTTACTAAATATGACAGGTAAGTTCTGCTTACAAGTATTCTTCATTTACTTCGAGCACCGTCTGGATGGTTGAGCTATCTCCGTGCGAAAGGATGAGCACATAAAATATATTGAATCGAACAATAACAATTTAGCTAACGGTGATCATCAATGCATAAACAGACCCATCAAATCGTCCTAAATTCCAGCTTAGACCTTGTTGAAGATGGCTGCAAACTTCTCTCCATTGTCAAGATATCCGTCTACCATAGTAGGCTTATACCCCCGACTTTCCCACACGTCAGATTCCATCTTATAGCGAGATGAATCTAACCCAAATACAGTAACAGGGGTATCCTTTTTGTTTCCCAGCTTCTCAAAAATGGCAGCAAACCAGACTTTACCGCATGCCGTATACGGACTAATTTGCACAGGATAATACCCAGAGCGTTTCGCCGCGTAACTTTTGATCCTGTACTCCCAAGGGCTGAGGCCAACATACGCCTTCCACGGGGCACTGTCACGTTTCTCAAACACACCAGTAAACTGTTGCTCATTATTGTACTCGTAACCGCTAAGATGTCGAAGTCGGAAGCCCTTTTTCTTATGTTCCTTGACCCAGGTGTTGAATTCTTTGCCAGACATGTCTCTGCGCTCAGCCCACTCGATGGATTCCGTGTTGTTCTCCCACAAGCTGGTGTAGTGACGCTCTCCATTAATGTTATACCCTTCCACCAGCACAGGCCGGAACCCTTTGTTTTTCAAGTCGTTGAAGGTATTATTGAGTTCATTGCCGTTATAACCGTAATTGGTACGCCATGCAGGCGTATACTCGGGCTTTTCGAAGATGGCGTTATATCTAGCTTCGCCCTCAGCGTTGGCATAAGCCGAAATATACGTGAGGCGAAACTTGTTGTCGGTCATGTTAAGAGTTTTTGCATATTCCGTGGCGCTGTAGCTGCGGTAAAGGTTCCATTCAAGTGCGTCGGCGACAGCGAAGAGGGATACTGCTGAAATCAGCAGGGCAGCGAAAGAGAGATTCATGGTGTTCCGTGGATGGCAATGGTTTTATATAGGTCACTCTTGAATGGTTGGTGGTTTGATGGAGTGCATTCGTTCAGACTGAGGTGGTTATCACGACCCTTTTATGCGACTACCAGTCCTGTTAGGCCAGCGGCAAGGCCGTTATGACTTTCTCTATTTGGACGACACTCCCGGTCTTTATCTTAATTTCTGATGCATTGTGCTGACTATTATGCTAGAGGTAGGCTGTTCCTGCAGTATTTTATAGCAGGGTGAGCCTGTGCCCGCAATTTGGGGGCCAGGCACCGTAACGATATAATGATTATGCAGCATTTGTGACAGACGCACCCTGGTTGTTATCGCTATAATGAGTGTACTAGGTGGGATCTCCGTGGGATATGGCAACAAGCGGCGCAGCATATTCTATGCTGTATGTAAGAACGTTCTGCTGTGAGCGTTTGATAGAAGCATATGCATATGCATATGCATATCTAATGGAAAATTATTGAACAACCACTTTAGCTCCCTGCGGATAGCTAGCCCTGACTATTGTAGTAAGATATATAGCAAAATTTCCTACTGTTGATCGATTATAGTAATGGTTTTTAGTAGAGTGGTTGATAATGATGAATGAGCCCTGCTCATCTTGGCATCTGGGTTGCTTTCAGGGGCCCTTGCTTTCCCGGGCTAGCGGACTTTTCTAGAGGGCCATCTCGCCTGAATAACACAACGATCACTCCGTGGGCATGAGAGTACTTGCTCGTAAGTAAGCATTTCTATGTTTATTCTTTACGGGTCACGATGTGTATTCCGTGAATGCATAGCCGCCGCCTAACATGCAAGGGGACTAATCATTACTAAACCTTCACTATATCTATAAGCTGCTTTCTTCACACGTATGTCATACAGGTGCGTGCTACTAGTCCGCCAGGCTAAATTTAGGGGCCAAAACGGGCTTGTGCCCCGTATTCAGCAGTGAACAGAACACGCACTATCCCTGGCCGGAGGGTGCATGCGTAGCTTCGGGCGTATGTATATAAACGGAAGGTTGGTACGGCCTTATCATGGGGTTACTTACTACCCACAAGTTACCCATATAGGTATAAAGAAGTATAATGTCTATACATCCTGCTTATGCTAGACCTAAGGTTATTTATAAAAGGTCATTGTCCCTTAAGGTTAAATCGGTTAACTAGCTCGCTGCTGTAACTAGTTAGTTAAGGTTAACTAGTTAAAGTTACCTATTAAGCTTATTATTACATACTACTATACTACATATGTGATTATTATTACTTGTATCAGCTAGCTACCTATTACTTTTACGGCGGGATAATTCCAATATAGCTGAGTGCTTTATATGTATTGCCCCAGGTTTCTAGCTACGTATTGTTATTATCTCTATGAGAATCAAGAGGAATCCTTGAACGGCGCTAAGTGAAACGAGTTGCTGTCCTGGGCAACTTGTTGGAGCTCCTCGGAAACATATCCCGCCCATCAGAATTGAATGAACAAGATGGGACCTACGAAGTTGGCATACAGGACTAGATCTAATAAGATATTCGAAAAATTCTACGTTTCTAGCCCCAACTGGACTGCGTGCCGCCCCCTCAGCTCATTCCCATGCAAAATGAGCAAGTCCAACCCCGCCTTTCAAGGTACAGTGAAAAGCACAAACACTGAATTGGATTGTATCTAAAATAATTGTGTGTATATCATAGATACAAGCCATAAGATAGATGAAATTCATAGATTTACCTCAGCTCGATGGCTCTGGGGCGAGCACCAGCAGCTTGAAGCGCGCTATGTCAAATTTGACATGCACGAGCTTCTCAGAGTTGCTGCCACCGCACTGGGATCGAATTCATGCACCAAAATCCTCAAGGTCTCTGAGGGACAGCACAGTAAAGTATTTCAACTAACAATGGATAATGGCCATGAGGTTATTGCAAAGCTACCAAATCCCAACGCAGGGCGGCAGCATTTTATCACCGCTAGCGAGGTGGCAACGATGGATTTTGTACGGCGTCTTCCTACCCTCCTTCCGAGCTTAATGTTATATTCTTATACTGACTCTGGTAGTTGAGGAATGCTCTACATTTCCCAATTCCCAAGGTTTACGCCTGGAGCTCCAAATCTGATAATTCCGTTGGGGCCGAGTACATTATCATGGAGAAACAGTCGGGCATAATGCTTGGTGATGTCTGGACCACTATGAAAGGAAAACAGAAAGCTAGTATTGTCCAACAGGTTGTTGAATTTGAAAAAACTCTTACGTCGACAAAGTTCACGAAAATAGGAGGTCTCTATTACAAGGAGGACCTCCATACATCCTCAAAAAGAGATTCACCGCTCTACGTTGATGGCAATGGTAATGATGTGTATAGCGCAGAGTTTGAGATTGGGCCCACAAACCACCGTTCTTTCTTTGATTTTGGCAAAGGCGGGCTTGATATCGATTGTGGACCATGTACGGCTTAATCTACCCCGTTAAAGTTCCGATGCTTCAAACACTAATTGCTTGGAAACAGGGCCTAATGTTACTACATACCTGGAGGCCATTGCCAAAAGAGAGGCTGCATGCGTAAAGGCTGGCTTGAAATACCCCATCTTTCCAGAAGGACTCTTCTATGGGCCTAGACAGTACCAACCAACTGCGGCCAAAAAGCTTTCAGCACTGGATAATTACCTGAAGGTCTCAAAATATATCTTACCGGATAATAAAGCGGTCCATGATTCGGTTCTGTGGCATGGGGACTTACACTCTCAAAATATCTTCGTTAGTCCCGAAGATCCGAGCCGAATTGTTGGCATCATCGATTGGCAATCTGTCAGTGCTTGCCCGCTTTTCATGCAAGTCACTCGCCCTGGTTTCTTGGACTATGACGGCCCGACTCCTAAGGAGCTCGCACGAGTTAGTTTGCCTCCGAATTTTGACAGTATGTCTGCGGAAGAACAGGTTGAAGCGAAGGCGCTCTATCAATCCCAAACACTACACAATCTATACCTGGCCTTAACAGTTCGATCAAACCCGGTGGCCTTTCAGGCTCTCCAAGGACATAATACGCCTCGACAACAAGCCAGCGTTCTGCCGGGGTTAATACTGACAGACTGTGAGCCATGCCTTAACAGCTTATTGAGAGACATCAAGGACTCATGGCCCGCGATCGTTGGTGTAGGCTCAGATGGAAATCCTAGTGTTCCCTGTCCTTTGGAGTTTTCTGCTGCCGACGTTGAACAGCAAGAACGGGATGTGGAGCTCTGGGCGCAGGGAGTTGAGCTTATGAATGAGTTTATCAAGGAAACTGGAGGGTTCAAGCATTGGGATGGTAGAGTTGAAACTGCGAACTATGACCTTTCAAAGAGGCAACTAGTCGAGGGAATCAACAACTTCCTAAACCGTGAAGCTAAGAATGAGGAGGAGCGTGAGGCCTGGCTTAAAGTGTTACCATTTGCGGACTCAGATGGAGGGCCGTAGAGCTGGATAATACTACCGCATTGCGACGGTTATCCCATGCCACTGTCACGATTGGATATGTATACTAGCGGCCATTGTACTATAGATCTGAAGGCGATATTCTTAAGCTGACATGCCACGTATTCTTCCTGGGGTATATTCATATTCAACGTGAGGGTGGTGTCAACGTTGCTTTTGCCTCTGCTCTGAGTTCACTCGTATGCAGATCAGCCGGGATGCATACGGTGCCTGGCATGACATGAAGGTTGCAGCTAAGGAAAAAGAAACAGCTTGTTCGTCGCGGATCGCGCTCATAGCTTAGATTCCTCCCCTACTCTCCTCAAGGCACGAACCCGCGAGTACACACATCCTGAGCTTCCGATCGTTGGGCGTATCTCTGTCGAGTCCGTCAATACCGTGGTTCTCTTTATCGTGCTACTCTGCTCGTTTAAAAGTAAGATCGTGATATATGTGTAGCTATATGAATAACATGGCACAATCTGTACTCTTGAGAGGTTGTATCATAATATAAATACTCAATATAATGAAATCTGTCTACTCCGTATGCAATGAATTTTTGCTGTAGGAGGGAAATAATGATGACTAAGCCTAAGATGGTACAAAGTTGAGTGGGGTCAGCCGACTCTAAGCTACCAAACTGTCACCTGACGTAAATTATATAATGATTAGTCATTGTTTACCTTATCCTGACATCGCGATAAGAAAGAAGCAGCAGAAGAGCTTCAGCTAACGGAGACTGCAAGCTGCGAATCTCGAAGCAAAGGACAGGATACTATACAGACGGGTCCGTAACAGACGCAAGGATGCCTCCGAAACGAAAGCAAGTTGAATCTCACGAGCCTGCGTCTCCTACAGCCAATACCAAACGCAGCAAGCCTAACAACAGCGCTCCCTTTGCCCTTAAAGCTCGGATACGACACATCAACGAGGAGACTATAAAGTCGAAATGGACGACTCTACCGAATTCGACGCAGGAGAAAGTGAAGCAGCTCTTTCAGTCGGTCGAGTTACCGGTTATCACCCGGAATCGAGACGAGAAGAAGCGCGTTGAGGCCCAGTCAGCGCTTGCAACGGTGCGCAAGAACCTGGGCAAACGGCTACCGAAGATGCCATTCCCGGCGGGTACGAGAGATGGAAGTTTTGATTACGAGGGTGCTCTGGGGGAGAGTGTACGTTATAATTTTGGAATGTTGGGCTGGTAATGGACAAGGATGAAAGCTGACTTTGAGTGGGGAGATATAGAGGGCACTGGAGAGTCAATTGGCGACAGCTACGAGTTCTATCCAGCTGCTACAAGCTGAGATTAAGCGGGAAGAAGCCGAATTGGCAAGGGACAAGTTGAAGCTGGAGGAGCTGGAGCGTAATGCAAAGGCAGCAGAGGCGGAGAGGAAGAGGCTGAATAAGAATGTGCGTCTGACTGATCTTGATGCGATGGCTACAGGGACGCTGATATGTATTCGACTTTAGGTTCACCCCGTTCTGAAGCAGCTTGACGAACCGAGCGTGGAGGAAATCGCTGTCAGTGCAGAGTTTAAGCTGGACATGAAGAATGAGGAGGCTGTTCTTTGTGAAGTACGTCCTGGGATGCGGGCTGAGGGTGTGATGGTGACAGTGCTGACATGTACGCTGATTAGATCGACGCAGACCCGGCCCTCCTTCCAACGATCAACCAGCTCCGCAACCATCTTGAATCCATGCAGAGCAACGCAGCTCAGGTACGGGGGATCGGTCATGCTATCTCCCGGGCGAAGGCAGCGCTCGACATGCTCCCCCTTGACTGAAGGAATCACGTCATCTTGACGAAATGAAGGAAATATGCAGAGTCAATATGATATATAAGATTGATGAACTTGGCAGCGCAGGCAGGACGGGGGGCGGGGGGGGGGAGAAAAGATCTCGTTCCTGCACGAGCAAGGTACTCGGGGCGAGTTGATTTCTGGGCAAGGGTTGAGATGTCAGCTTCGGTATACTTCCATGTATACACGGATCACTGCGGAGGTTTATGCAGTGTCTCCAGATGGAGCATGCAACCTCCCCCAGGCCTGGAAGCTTCTCTCAGTGTCTTCTCTACACTGTTCCAGGCCTTGAGTAGCACAGCAAGACGGCCGTCTCCGGCTCAACGTCTGCGGCTCGCCATCGAACCGCCGCCACCGACCCCAGGTATTTATACATATATCAAACCACCAAGAATCAGGGAGACAGAACAGAGACAACAAACCCCTCTCCCTCCAGCAAGCATCTGGGATCATCCTTACGGAGTACAAGCCATCTAGATGCTGCCAAGTAGCTGCAGGACATCAACTATTGAATTGTATCTTTGCTCGGCACTGCGCCAGCTGCTGCATGTGAAGGGATTTTCGACGCACCCAGGGCGCCGTAAGAAATGAATCCATCAGCCTGCCCGGCACCGACAAGCCTCTCTGCCGGGTCGTCTTCTCCCTCCCGACGTCCAGAATAATAATAATTGCCATTGTCATTGCGCGACCGACTGCTTCATGGCCGGGCTTCCGCTGGCGCTCTTACTAAAAGCCCTTTGGCGCCCTTGAATGCAATCGAGTGGCGTCTCGCTTTTTTTCTTTTTTTTTTTTCTTCTTGCTCTTCGGCTTCTTCGTTCTCTGCGCCTTTCGTCAACTTCCAGCACCTGCAAAGTCCGTCGACACCGCGAGACTTCATGCGCCCAGAAGCTCTATCCATGTTTGCCCATCTCGAGCGCGCGTCAGTTAAGGGATCTATTGGAGGAGGCCGCCTGTGTGGTGCGATGGCCTTTTTGTTCGCCGACAAACCCAGAATTTGAAACCTCGCAGACCGGACGGACAACGCAGCAAAACCCAACCATCCCAGACCCCTTCCCGCCAGCGCACACATAATATACATACATACATACATACAGCCCGAATCAAGACTGGACGGACGCCTGCACGCTGCTCCATCGAGACTCTCTGTCCACTTCTGGGCGCTCCCGCTGTTCCGCCGTTCCGCCATCCCGCCCGTCCTTGTCCTTCGCGTCGCTCGTTTCGCTGCGCTTACTCTGATTTCTGGCTCTCTGCCTGGTATTGCCTGCCTACACGAAGAGAGAACACCCCCGTCGAACGCTGCTGCAGTGGTACCTGATGGGACAGGCCATCGTCGCCCAGGCCCCGTGTGGAACATTGACAACGAAGTGAAAGCGAGCACCAACCCGACGGACCGAAACACTCTTTCTGGCTGCTCAACCTTTCTTAATCTTTCTTCCTGCCGGAGAACTTACCGAACGTCCATCCCAGACGATTGGGCATCTCGATGCAATGGGTGGTGAGGCTGCCGAGACCGCGACGGGAGCGCTGGAGGAAAGCAAGCGTAGCAATGGTGCCACAGAACCAGCTGTGTCTGCTGCGTCTGCTGCTTCAGCTGAGAAGGACCAGGACACCGTGAAGACGGCCAAGCCTACGATGGGCGTGATGAGCACTGGCGATGCTCAAGCGGCTGCAGAAGCTGCAGATAGGGCGCCGCCTGCGGGTTCCAGCCCAAAAAAGAGACGGAAAGTCAACCACGGTGAGTACCGGAAGCTCAAGAAGCCCGCAAGCCCCCAAGCAAGGAGGATACATGCGAGAACCTGCATCTTCCTTCGTCACTGTTTCTCCATTCTTCTGCCTGCATCTTTGTCAACAGGCCTGTGGTGGGATTTGTATACTTATACGGGTTCCACATTGCGAATCAGACCTGCAGGGCTCAACCTTCTTCTTCATCCCTCTGTCTCTCCCTCTCCCTTGACTCTTGATATTCAACGTATTCTCCTGCTGCTTGCTTCTTTTCTTTTTCTTCCTTTTCTTCCTTTTTCCTTTCTTCTACCTGCTTGCTTGCTTGCTTTTTTGTTCCATGGCGCGCATCGGAAGTAAGACCGCTGACCACTCATTCGCTCTCTAGCATGCGTCTACTGCCGTCGATCGGTGAGCTTCCAAGATCTCCTTTCATCATCGTACTTCCCTGACTGCTTTCCCCTTATCATTTCCCGCACTTTATCCCACCTGCCATGCTGTCCCCCTCCATTTCCCAAGACCCTAGGGGCCACCGCTACAAACAACGTCTCTGCATATCGGGTTTGGCTGTACGGGATAAGAAGATTTTGGCTGACCATAGATCACTCTCTTCCGTGATGACGTTGAACAGCATATGACTTGCGACTCGGTACGACCACCTCTACCTCTTTTTTCTTAGAGACCCTTACGCCAATCCCATGACTGGTTAAGCGTTCTGTGGCGGGCTGCTTTTTGCTGACCGAGAGATCCGACTCTCTGCTCCTTCTAGGGACGACCATGTAGCCGCTGTATAAAACGCAACATCGGTCACCTGTGCCATGACAAACCTCGTGAACCTACCAAACGCGTGAAGAACGAGACAGAAGGCACCGTTGCCGCTACTCCTGCAGCTGACGAGAGTACGGCTGCAAACAATGACTTTGAGGGTAAAGGCATGTCGCAGACTATCAACGGACGTGACACCCTAGACGACCAGATATTGCCGGATACAGCTCTTTCTATGCAACCACCTGCCTTGACTTCTTCCTCCCAGAGCGCTCAGCCGCAGGACATAGCCGCTTCCGGCCCGAATATCGACGTTGGCCAACAAACCTGTAAGATAGACCCAACGAACCATACATATGCTGTCACGTAGTATAAACTGACTTTTTTGCATAGTAATGGGCTATAACAACGAATGGCGGCTTGGTGGGCAGAACAGCCAGTTTCAAGATATCCATACCTTTCACCCATCTTACATGTTCAACGCTCCTGAATTCACAAACGAGTATAACCTGCTCAACGACTTTCTCAGCACTAGTCTTCTAGACGACGGATCAATGTATCCCAACGACGAGGTACGGGGCCTCTACTCCGATATGTCTCTCCTGAACTCCATGGCCACGAATCTATCCCGGAACAATGAAGGATACCCACAACAACAGCAATCTTCCACAATATCACCCTCGCAGTTTATCAACCCGCCCCAGGCGTCCCAGGGAGGCTCTATCCAGCGGCCCAACAGCACTGTCGGAAATGACAAGGCTAAGGAGACGTATTACATGACCGCCGCTGACCCCTCCGGCACCGACCCTCCGGAGGAACGTATGAATAAACTCCTGAAAGCAAAATACGACGCCGGCCTACTGAAGCCGTTCAACTATGTAAACGGTTATGCTCGGCTAAATAAATACATGGAAGAGCATCTCCAACCAAGCTCGAGGCAGAAAATTCTGCGTCAGCTGGATAAGTTCCGTCCTGCATTTAGAGAACGTATGCATGCCCTTACCGATATCGAACTAGTACTAGTTGAGATGTGGTTTGAGCGGAGTTTGATGGAGTATGACCGTGTCTTTGCAAGTATGGCCATACCAGCCTGTCTATGGCGACGAACTGGACAGATATTCAGAGGCAATCAAGAGATGGCCCAGCTTATAGATGTACCAATGGACTCGCTGCGAGATGTAAGTTTTAATCTGCTTCGTTCAATGCATTATATCTAACAATTACAAGGGCAAACTTGCTATTCATGAAATAGTGGTCGAAGATCAACTTGTTAGCTACTGGGAGAAATTCGGCGCCATCGCGTTTGACAGTTCACAAAAGGCGATGCTTACAAGCTGCACGCTTAAAAGCCCGGATCCGAACAGCCCAAAGAAGAACATTCCCTGCTGTTTCTCCTTTACCATCCGTCGAGATAATCATAACATGTAAGGTCTTTTCTCTCTCTAGTTTTACATTGATCAAGCTTAACTAACCAGTTCCTTCTCAGTCCATCCTTGATTGTAGGGAATTTCCTCCCCACCAAACGCATAGACGTCCATCGATGAGACGGACTGCTTACTATTAATCATTCACTTTAACCTACGTTCCATTCTTGTGTAAATATTATTTTCAATACCCTTTGCCGTTCGTGTCCTGCGAATGGATTGCTTTCCCTCCTGTTTTATGTCTCGTGGAGTTCGTGTACGCATATACCTGTATGCTGAGAGATCGCGGCCAAGGGCTCTGGTTTTTATTTGTTTCTTTCCGTCTCCTATTCACAGCGCAATCGTCTGCGCTCTGATCCAGGGCATTGTTAAAGATGATATGATGGCAACGCCTTTTCTCCCTTCCCTTTCTTGTGCTTCTGTTCGTTGCTGACAAGAAAGGCGGCTCTTAGTACTAGAGTGTAGATAAGTCCATCAATCTAACATCACATATACCCATACTTTCTTCGCTATTTTCTATTTAGATATAATGCTGTGTTTATATTTCCCGATTTGGCAGCGCGCACAGACAAATACTCTGTCTCGACGTTGCAATTTAACGTCAACCCTGACTTCAACATAACGTCGAACAACATCACCCTTCAACGACTTATAACCTAGGATTTCTCAATATTCGTCCGAGAGAGGCTTGCGACTGAGAACTAAACATAATGGGTGCTGCCGAGGATGAGTGGCTTCAGGGTGAGTTATCTTCTCTGCCTACTGACATCTACGCATCATAGCTAACATACAGACAGCGCTTGTGGCTCGCATAACCTCTGATCTTCACATCGTACTGAACGAGACAGGCGAGACTACTGCATTATCCTCCGTGAACGACCTAGATGAATATTTCAACCAGCCCTTCTCGCTTGATTCCAAGCTCCTGACCCATGAGAATCGAAAGGTACTGGATGAGGTCGGTACGGAAGCGTGGAACAGATGCAACAAGGGACTATCCAACTCGCAAGCCATTCATAAGACTGAAACCCTGGAAATTATGGGTAAATGTTAGTATCTGGTTTGCCCCCTTTCCTGGGTGAATAGTTGCTAATCCTGTTAACTTAGTGATGGTTCTTGCGTTTTTTCTCGTCGAATTGGCCATAGATAGGGAAAGCGATAGTATTGGTTGGTGATGTACAGTGCATACTGCGAGGGATAACTTCTGCTGACACAGGTGGTCAGATTATGGTCGTCTGTTCAAAGCTGGGCTGAAGACTGCAGACAGGATGATTGGTTAGTGATACACCATAAAAGGAAGCTAATACATATATTGACACCGGAGGGGTAGGTATGGGTCATCCAGGTCTTGCTAGGAAGGTATTTGAGAAGCTAGATCGGCATAATTCTGGGGTTTCTAGCAGCCAATCTGCAAAAAGCCACGAGCTAGCTGCAGAATGCTCATTTCAGCTGTCTATACTGGTAAGATTTACCAGGGAAATGGAATTCAATGTTGCAAAACTAATGTATGGGTATCCCCAGGTATGGAAGGATAGGTTAGAAGGGCTTGGAATATCCCAGCAACCTATTCCATTCGCTATCCAAAGTCTTTCGTGGAAGGCAAAGGCTGCCGAAATACTCCTCCGTGTCGGAATGGCGAAGAAAAGGAATGGTGACCAAGCAGCTATTGAATGGCTACAGTGCTGCTATGACTTTTCTTTTATACCGAACCATGTTGAGGAAGCAGGCGAAAGACTGAAGTCTCTTCGACGGGCTGTCCTACATGAACTTAGTACGTAACTGATCATTATGCATTGATTGGGATATGCCATCTTACGTGATACTTCTAGTTCTAGCATACCTAGATTTACAGCAGACTTCAGCTGTGTACGTGGAACATATCCAAAATTTATATAAAGAACTAGAAGAGGTATATCCCAGACTCTTGTGTGATTGGCACTCTGCTAACCTTTAACACAGAGATATGGATCTGAACCCAGTACTAGATTTTTGGGGTTTGAAGTCTCCTTTGCTCTAGTACCGCACGTAGAGGACGGGGTCACACATTGCGGTCGCCGTAAGTGCCTCACAAGTTCACCACAAGCGAAGTATAATAATGCATTGGTCCCAGCACTAAATTGAACAACAGGTCTTCAATCTCTTATCGATTCGGAACTTGCCGAATCCCACCTCAGCAGGTAACCGCTCAACTATCTAATCGTTTGAGACTCTTAATTTTTTGATCACTTCAACAAAAATCTTGTCTGACAATATGAAGTATACTTTATTGTATTCACCAATACTGGCTCAAGCAGTATGTGCGCTTCTTTCTACCCATAACATAACTGGATCTGAAGACTGACGATTCACAGTCCGGCCTTCGCATATTCGCTCTTCCGACAGTTGATATCGGAGAAGATACAACAGTTGGAGATTGCACACATAGAAAAACTGGTACTGGTATTCCTACGACTATGCACAGTCGATGGAGATTTAGCTGAAGGCTTAAGGCAACCATTGTTGCTGTTCACATCTCTCTGCCCTACAGAAGATAAAATTTTTAGACTTCGGTTTGAAGCTTCCCAGGCTGTACAAGTGGTAAAGCTACACGGCTTGACATTGTGGCTATTCTTTAGGCTGACCTGCGGTAGATTTTCCTTTCCAAAGCACATTTTTGTTTCAACATAGGGAAACCAGATTTGGCGTTTGAGTGGTGCACGCTCGGCCAGCACCAGATTCTGGAAGAGATTGACAAAGGCATAATTCAGAGGTAAAGTGCCACCCATAGCATCGGAAGAAGTGAAGACCAAAATCAATCTCTGATTACGTCCGTAATCTGTGGATTGATACTACCAAAATTCTGGAACTTGTCTCACTTTTCAGTACAGGAAGATGTTTTTTTATGCATTTCACTCAAATAACGTAACCCCTTCTCGTTTTATTAAACTCGAAACCGTTAAGGGATTACCTGTCGATTCCCAGTTCTTACTATACCAGTATGCATTGAAACATGAAAGACTAGATATTGGTACGCGGTCACTTTCCCTTGGATCTGCTGCGATATTCTCTAACCTATGAGTGTATGATAGTAAGGGAGAGCCTATCAGATATGCTCTGCAGCAGTCCGGATTTTAGCCCTATATACGCTTGTATTGCCTGCGCCGAATCTTGCAAGAAAAGCTCTATCCTTGTCCCCATATTCAAGGAGCTACTCACAAAAAATCGGTCAAAAAATTACATAGTTCCCCTTCTCAAGTAAGGCCTATTCCACTTTCCCCCATCTTGATTTCTTGATCTCACTCTGTGACTCGTTAAGATGCTGCATCCGTATTATAGCAAAGGAATTTTCACTAAACCAACAACCGAGACCTGAATATGTTGAAGATATATGTGAACTTTTCGAGAAATGTGAGATACCTATTATACTGAGCTCTATCGAAATAAAAAAGGCATAGTATTCTAATTTAGTTTCCTCTTAGTTGCCATTAACACCTGCCTAGATGAATTACCTGAACAAGAACTAATCCAATACTTTGAATGGTTTTCTTCCAATGGCTATAACTTAGTAGTCAAACATTACCGACAGCTGGAGGTAACATCTTCGACTCGGGTTATTGATTCTTGCATAAAGGTTTGAACAATATATAATGCATATGTTTGCCTTTAGTACTTTAATACTAATGCTTCATTTAGATCCTCGACAAGTTCCCCAAATGCCTGGGTGTTGATGCGTTATCTAGCATTAATCGGCGCATGTTTTGGTGCCAAAGTATGGCAACTTTGGCTCTTTTAGATATAGCCTATATGACCGAGAACCACATTTCAAAAGTAAGTCAATCTACTTCATCATCTCCATCTAACATAGTTACGTGAGTTCAAACAAGCTTGTAGGACCTATACTTTACCAGCGCAAGAATGCATCTACAACGGTGCCAAAGCTATGTCACGACCCATCATCAAGAGACTGCCCCGGAAGAATGGAGTAAGTTTTCTGAGGTTGTTCGTTCACTAATTGCGCTCTATTTCGACTCTGCAATTCGCTCGAACCAAGGGATAGAAGAGAGTATATGTGCGATACTGGGTATTTGTGATCCAAATTCAGATCCACAAGTACTTTGCATCCTTGCGGACCGAATAATATCTTCTGGCTTAACTACTCCGGCTGTCTATCGGGCCTTCCAAGTAAGTTCAAAAATTCTTACCATTATACCAATACTAATGATATATGTAGCGAGCTACTGCTTTGAAATTGACGTCTGGTGGTTTATGTGAAGTGTTGCATCATTTCCGTTGGCTCCGTTGTCTCTATCGATTTGGGCTTAAATGTGAGGAAAATTGTGCTAAATCTATTGTCGGTGAATCACACAAACTGGTAGACATAGCAACAAACCTTAGGCATGAGCTATCTCTGGAGATGACAAGGGAGCTCTGCTGGGAAATGCAGTGGCTACCAATTGCAGTGTATAACCAGTCCTTAGTATTTTACAAGGACATGAAGAACAGCATGAGCCAAGAATGGTTCAATGAGGCTATTAATCTAATCCAGGAGGTTGAACTCAAGGGCTGGGATACGGATTCTCTCTTTAGAAGAATGAGTGAAGCATATGGCGCTTTGACATGGAAAACTGATGACCCTTTATGACTTACAGCCTGGGTTGTCTAGAAGTATTATAAACAGTCGTTTCTGAGATACAGAGAAAGGAAAGCATGCGGATGGGCCCTCAAAGTGTACGCGCAGGAAATATTGATTTGAGCAACAAGAAATAGGAAATCCCTAAACAAATGGAAACGAGAGGTGTTAAATGCGCTCACCTGGGTTCTCGAGTTAAAAAAAAAAAAAAAAAAAAATCATGTAGTAATGCTGGCCAAGAAATGAAATGTAATGGAATGTCAAATAAATGACTCTGGTATCATAGAAGAGAAAATAGGAGGAGACAAGTTTGCGAACAGTAAATGAACTTGCTTGATCAAAAGTGGAGGACTCCGTCCAGACCGTATTATGCCGACCAACAAACAGCACACAAATTGATGCAAGAAAAATAACTGGCTATGCCAAACCTGGTAGAAGGAAGAGTTTGAAATGGAGCAATGAATGAAAGAATATGAAATGAGTGTTCAAAACCGAGGTGGTTAGGATATCGTAAGGGAAAGAAATAGGCAATTTTGTTCGCCGTTTAAAATATGAAAGACGCAGTTTAGGCTATCCTTCTCCATCTGCGTCGAGAGAGTTCGTTCGATGCCCCTTCTCTTTCCGCGCCTGGCCTAAGTTAGGAGTTGAGGGTATTCGACGAGCTACTCTGCCTTGTTTTGAAGCTAGTGGTGATAGGTCTTTGTTCCTGCAAGTGACTGGCGTGTTTCCATTGGAGTAGGAGTCATTCTTCGTTCCGTTCAGTTGAGTCTTCTTCATTTTGTCACCTAACGAGCGGACAGTTAGATCAAGTTCTCGCTCGAGTTCGCTGGCTCCCTGGAGGTTAAATTTATCGGATGAGACGTTGAGCTTTTTGCGATATGCACGGAGCGTACGGCAGACTTGCTCGGTGGACATATTAAGGCTTCCAAATTCACTAGGCGAGTTGCTATTAGGAGATGCGTTCCAATTTGGTTTGCTGGAGGTGCGAGTGCGAACTTCGAGCATCGATGGCCGCCGTACACTTCCATTGGCTCGGAGACTGCCGCTGCTTGTTTTGTTGGTCACAGCTCTCGACATATGCCGGGGACTAGGGGGTGAAGGAGACCGGTTGGCCTGGTTTCTGCTATCAGAATATGGCGCAGTCGGAGATCGACGAGGAGGAAGAGGCGGTGTAGATACTGTAGATACGCCATTGACACCGTTTTTGAAACCGCCTCCTAGAGTATATCTAGAGGTCTTTTTGCGGATACGTGGAGGAGAATCACGCACTGGGGTTGGCGTTGTCATGACATTATCAGACTTTTGGAATCCAGCCAATTCAGTCTTAGAAAGGATGCGGCGAAGTGGAGGTTTAGCTGCAGTAAGCTCCTTTGTTGGAGTCTCCTCTTCAGGGTTGGCAAGAAGATGCGGACTTTCCTGCAAGTATTGCTGTTGGGTAGAGAGATTCCACACCATGATTACCCCATCCAGTCCGGTGCTAATGAGTGTTCTTTTGATTATGCCAGAGGAGTTTGGCTCATTTGTTTCTAGAAGGATAACATCACTGACTCCTTCAGTATGACCGAATTCTCGGGTAAGGAGGGTATCCTTTTCCGAGTCGTACACCCTTATAGATTTATCAGTCGTCGAGACTCCAACCAGTAGCCTTGGACCGTATTCAGGGTAGTCCTTCTCGAGAATGAGGGAACTCATGACAGCGGTGTCACCACTCTCTGGGTCAAGAACACGGAAAGAATGAACCTGACGGCTAGAAGGTATGTGGTATCTCTGTATAAGGCGATCTATCGTGGATAAGATAAGCGTGTCAGGGTCGCCTGGAGGAGTTACTATAGAAACGGGCGATGCCTTCAGCGTAATCACTTTCGAGAGAAGAAATGCAACCGTGGAGACACCGTCATCCTCCCGAGTCATTCGTTCGCGAATAATAACTGTCCTATCAGCAGAAGAAGAGAGCAATCTCTTGCCATCTTTGGTGAATAGCAACTGCCCAACTGCACCAACATGTTCATCCATCGTTTGTATTACCTCGATTGAATAGTTATTGCTTTTGAATAATTGGACCATTCTATCACGCCCGCTGCTAGCGATTAAAGTGGCATCAGGGTCTGAGTAGATCGCAATATCCGTCACTTCAGCCCCATGAGCTCTAACTTCATTCTGGCATTGCCAAGTTTCTCCATTAATAGTCCTAATTGGGATAGATTAGCCAACGAGTAGATGTAATAGCCTAGTGACTACGCGGACTTACCTGACTACGCCATATCTATCTCCAGAAACGAACATTTTTATGCCATCTGCGGCACGTAAAACTTTCAGTTCGTTAGCATCCTCATCTTCGTCTGAAATTTGTTCCAAGTCGACTTTATATGTGTCGCAGCAAGTTCCTTCAACGTTCCAAAATCTGACTGTCCCGCCGCATGACCAGGTGAAAAAATCCGATGATTTGCTATTAGGGGTCTCAATAGCGCTGATACCTAATACTGAATCTCTATGTGCAGATACAGAAACATCTGCTACACTTTCGATGTTATCTTTGCTCAATGGATCTAGAGGACATATGCGTAGGGTCCGGGATGAGTCGACAGTTATCATATGCGTGTCGACTATGCCCATAGAAACAATCGAAGCCTTTTTTGGTGTAGGGCACGGTTGGGCATCGATGTTTGCCGAAGTTGGCGAAATCATTGGAGACGATCTCATCTCCTCTATTGAGCATTTTTCTAGCTGTCGGCCACGACCACCGAACCAAATGAAGCCAGAATTTCTATCCACGACAACGGATGAAACACCGATATCGAATTGCTTGACGTATTGAAGCTTTTGCTGGTTATTAGAGTCATCCAGAAAACAAACAACCCCTGAATCAGAGCAAATAATGGCTTCGGTGTCGGAAATATTAGAGACACATGTGAATGTGCTTTGATGCAAATTACCCAAGAGGCAATTTCTTCCTGACAATGCCACTGGTAGTGGGTTGCTAGATGTAACGGGAGAGTCGGCGTTGGGCCGTTGTTTCGACGGAGAACACGGCCTACCGGCATCTCCAAGCCTCCAAACCTTGACATGCCGTATGCCGACACTGAAGGTATCATTAGCTTAGGTATGGATTTGCGGGCATGAGTTGATGACATACGTGATTAGGTTATTCCCCATCCAACACATATCTCGAACAAAAGACGTGCATTTATTCGTCGAGTGAAGTTTCGCAGAGCCATTCCGAAGGCTGATCTGCCAGATATAAAGAAACCCATCGTTTATATCACCTAAGCTTGCTAAAAACTGTGAGTTGGGGCTGAACGCAAGGCTTCGAACGCCAAAGGTGTGTTCCGTGATTATCGAGAGGGGAACATCTGCGGGAGAGTCCTTGGCTGTCGAAAACAAGAGGATACGGGGGTTATAGCCAGTCTATGCGAGCAGCTGACATTAGCATTTGTGTCCAGGGGTAACATAGAATGTCCTGATCATACCTCTCCAGCAGCTAGAAACCTGCCATTGGGGCTGAGGGAAACACTTGTGACTGCCTTTATTCTCTCTCGCGACGTCCATGATTTTGACCCATTACTCTCTGTCCACTCTGCTGCGTTTGGTGAATTGGAGAACAGTGGCGAGTTTATGGATGTAGACAACCGTAGCGAGGCCTGTGGTGGTCTAAGTCGTGATTCCGGTGTGGTTGGCGGACCTGGAGGGTTATAGAAGGAAAGGACAGGGTTGACGCTGGTGGCCGTTGGTCGTGCTCGAAAGAAACGCTGGGACACAGACAGGTCCTCGTCCAGCTCGGCGAGAACGGCGGCAGAGCCTGCGCATAGGGCAAAAGAGCGAGAGGGTTCGTGATATGAGAAGCCATTTGGGCTTGAAGTTGTGGTTCCGATAACTGTTTGGAGGGAAAGCGTGGTGAGATAGCTCGTTGATTTGTACGGGGGTCTTGAATTCGACGCCGGTTTGAGAACGGGCGAGTTTGCGGGCGTTATCTTCAACGAGGCTTGGGTCGTTGACGATAGCTTGTTCTTGAGGCCGAGAGGAGTGCTGGTGTCGCTACTGGTGCTGGTGCTGGAACCGGCGCTGCTGTAATTTGCCATCTCCCCCTGCTCCAGACGCAAAGCTCTCTGTCTGATCTAGGCTAGCTATCATTTCAGATCGGGGCTGCATTGGGGCCCATCCAACGAGCGAGGCGGCTGTTTTCTGCAGAAGAGCGTGTCTTCTCTGCAAAGACTTATGTGAGAGGTCGATTTGTATTTTAATGCCTTCACGGGCAAAAGGTGTCGAGAACGATGTGCACCTGCACCTAAAAATTAAGCGGCGGCAGGGTTCTTCGCTGTGACGGGACGCTGTGGTTGGAGGGCCAGATCGAGATGTCGGCTCGCCCTGCATAAACGTAAACAAAGGCTTTCATTCACAGGACACGGTTTCTCCCTGCAAAAACGTACATTAGCACTTGAACGTCGTACCGGCGCCTCAGCAAGCTTGTTCCCCTACTTTTCAGGGCTGGAAAACAGCATGGAATATCCACTTTTGTTGTTACTCGTGATATGCTCAGGAGTAGCCCAGCTTGCTTGTAGCTTGACTTGGCCTGCGGGGAGCATCACAAAATATCCCTACAGGGGGCAAAAATAGTTCAATTGGCGAAAACCGACTACAATATCCACTAGTAAATCATCGCCGTCCCTAATATTCAATACAACGAAGCGTATCGAGTGTTCAGCTGCTTTTATATTCGAAAGTTGCTCCTTTTTTGCTCGACTTTTTTTATCTCGAGGCTGTTTATAGACTTCCTGATAGGGTTTAGACGGTTTATGTAATCGGTTTTATGTAATCAGATGAACTTGTTGTTGGTTTTGGGTTTTGCCAAGCCGGTAACTTAGTTTTTCCGGTTGGAGACTAGGGGTAAAGCTTAATCTTATTTTCCAAAGGGGTCAAGAAGAGCATCAAAAGACAACCAGCGCATCTATACAGAACAGTGCACATATACCATTTTGTAGCGCGGCGTTGGGGTTTTTTTCTTTCTAAAGGTTTCGATAATAGAAGCGATGTCGTCGTTTATGGATGATTCGATGATAGGCCGCTGGCTTTCGGATTTACTCATGGATGACCTGACTCGCAAATCAACGTCAAAGCCCCAGCTACGCCGTTTTATCCACCACGAAAAGCCGATCCGCTATATACGGTGTCTCGGCGGGGGCACCGAGGGCGACGTCTATCTAGTTGAGATTGAGGGTCACAAATATGCGCTTAAGGTGGTGAGTATTATGTATCCCTCCTCATGCCTTTGCCCTTGCTTGAACCACTGTAACCCATGGCTTTAAAGTTCAAACAATGGAAGTTCGATGCTCCCAAATCAATCAGACTTCGTCTGAAGGAACGAGAAACCCACTATTTTAGCCCTATAGCGAACGAAGCAAGGGCATTTGCTAGGCTGGATAGCATGGGCCAAAATGGCACCTGGGCTGTTAAGTGTCATGGCTGGATGAAACTGTCTGGTAAACAGCGGCCCAGGTTTCTCAGCCTACATACCCCATGGGCAATCGTTAAAGATTATATCCCTGATCCAATGACACTCGATGATGTTCCTGAAATACGGCAGAAAATGAAGATTGCTCGTAAAGCGCTTCTATTCCCAGACGACGCCCAGCCAAGAAACTATCGTGGCTCGTTCCTTGTTGATCTTGGGCGTGTCAAAACACATCCATACCCGCGGGTTCTGTGGTCAAAGAAAGAGTACCGGAAGTATTTTGAGTGTTTTGATAAGGATGCCAGTGAATGGGTGGAGTCTGTACAAGATGGTGAAGTCATTGATGGCTGGGTAAATGAGTATCTTAAAGAGGGCATGTTAAAGGGCATAATCTGGGCGGAAAAGCGCGGAATGTACGCAGAGGCTGAAAATTTACGGAAACTCATTGAAAAGGTAAGTAAGCATATACTTCTCTGAAGACTTTACCGCTATACTATTTCCTGGCTGGATAAATGCTAACCTTAAAAGTCACAAGAGCGTCTAGAGCAGAGAGAGAGAGCCAAAGAGAATGGGTCGATTGAATCAAAAGAAACACCAAAGATAGAAAATCAGTCTCATGAGGGATTTAAGGCCTCCGATCCCTACTAGGCGCTGGGGGGAGACCCATGCTTTCATCACCCTCATCGTCTTCGTCGGATATACCTCTTACCCATTGGGCATTTCCTTCAGGTGTCCGCCGTATATAATAACAACTTACTCCATCACCACCCGGAATTGGAACCCTATCCCGTATGAAGCCCCCGGAGCCACTTCTTGTGCGGTACTGCCATCGAGACTGCTCCGGTACCCAGCGTATTCTAGCAATCTCTTCCCTGGTAGGAGGTTGAGGCGATGGCTGATTAGGAGAAGATAAATGCTCAGCGGGCGGCGAGCCCGAAGACTGTCGTTGGCGTGGCGGTGTCATTATACCCCGAGATGCTTGCCGAGGTGATATTGTCATAGCATTATCCGGAGGGTTCTTAGAAACAAGCCCAGTTGTGTTGTGATGGTAGACTCCATTGCGAAGTACCCAGGCATCGAGGGGTGGGTATTCAGGCCCAATGGTAGTGTCACATCCAGGGGCAGCTGCCATCATATGGATCCACCACAGAGCAAGCTTGACAGTTAATTTTCCCTTTCCCGAATTGTCCCAGGGAATGCTTTTCATTTCCACGGGTCTGTACTCTCCACCTTTTCCGTCATCTTTGTATGATTGACTGCTAGGCATGTGGTCACTGCTGGACATATGTTCGCTACCCGGGATATGTTCGCTCGCATCACTCATGGATAGTGAAGCCAAACTAGAAGTGATGGAAGTTTGTCGAGGCCGGCCTGAAGATCGGTCGATTGACATGGCGCTAGTGGCGGAAGTAGTTGATATGTTCCTCAGATGGGTCTGCCTTTGGGGGGAAGATCGAGTGGCCGGGGGGCTAGACGGTACAAAGAGCGGACTGTCATGCCCTGCTGAGCGGGAGGATTGCTCAGCGACATTGCGAGGGGACCTCTTATTAGCGATCCCTGATAGAATCATCGCCCTTGAGATGCGTAGAACGACGAGCTCTTCCTAGGTAATCAAATACCCGTACCTGACGTTCCAAGTATCCCCGCAGTATTTGATCATTTGGGCATAAGGCCAGTAGTAATGCACCTTATCCTTGTTTGTCATGGAACGCCATTTTGATGATAGCTTTGTATCTCCTGGACATCGGTTAATAAATGGGGCTGGAGCCGAATTTGCCTGCACCCCAGCCCAGTCAGGGAATACCGGTGGCTGGTCAGCGGAAGGGTTACATTCTGACTCTCGTCTCGCAAATCGAGTGCCGGTAGGTCATATTGGGAGCGCCTTGCTCGACCTCCACGCGTCATATCAATGGCCAGGCCCGGATAGTTTGGGTGGTATCCTTCCCAAGCAATCCTCAGGCTCTCGTTGACGGGGGGCACGACCGTTCGAGTTAAGAGGTGATCGAGGGAGTCTTCATCGAATATTTTGAGCTCAATGTTTCTCACGGGAGGGGAGATTTCGGGCAATGGATAGTTAACATGTGCACTCAAAACGTCGCCGTAGCAAGAAATCAGGGTTGCATAGGTAAAATCCTTCCAATCCACAACGTGGATTTCTTCTTTAGAGTCACATTTCGACGGCAACCCTTGTAGCGAACGGGAGTGGTCCACTTCCGGGTTAGGCTGGGTAAGGTACTCAAGAAGCGTGGTGGCCATTGTGTGGCTGTATTAGCGAAATCAACCAAAGAAGAGTAGAGAGGTATGAAAGGCAGTGCGTTAGGATTGAATATTGATAATAGAGTGATTTTCGGATTCTTGCGTATTCTGTGTAATGATAACTTTCCATTAAGGGGGATTTAGGAGGGTATTTATAGACAGTCCTTCAATGTCTAATATTATTTATAGTGAGGATGTTGAGTGAGCCTTGAGAGCGAAGTTGGACAGGGTGGTAGATGGTCAAGAGTACGCTTTCTTGGTGGCAGGGACCAAAAACCCGGTGTGGTGCGCTGTCCGCCAGGCAGCAGCCACCCCTGATGAAAGCAAAGAGGGGTGAACTGCCAATCAGTTCCGTAAGCGCCCATCCGTATGGAACTATATCTAAGCCTCATCTGCCGGGCACATGAGGCTTGTAAACCTGGTAGGAAAATCACTGGATGGGAGCTTCCAAAAACCTGGCGCTAAGGCGACATGAGGCTTTCGGGGGCTAAGCCCTCCGATAATCATGTTGGTTAGCCCATAACTTCGGCGGTTGGGCAGATATCCATGGTTTCAAGGCCCAGACAGGGGTATAACAAGTCCATATGTATAGCATCCTCTTCCAAGGCGTAACTTCGTAATATCCTCCAGGTATTTCCATACATTAAAATAACCGAGTCAAAAGAGTGAGCCCACGCTGGTGGTCAGCTGGTTAAAACTATATTTTGACATACCAATATAATGGTACGGGTTGTGGTGGTACTCCACTTCGAGTTGCTGGCAATAACAAGCTGCAGCCCCATGCCAAACGAACTACTAAGTTCTCCAAACTAGTAGGGCCGGTTCCAGTAGTTACCACCAGTAACAAGGTCGAGGGCCAATTTCCTTAGGAAGGCGGATATAATTCAACAGGCGATGGCTATAACCTAGAAGGCCGCGGAGTATCTCAGGCCCGCACCCTCTTTATTTAATATCTCCATAGAATAGTTTAGCAAAGTGCTTCTCACACCTTATCTTTTGGAATACATAATTCCCCTGACTGTCATGGCATACGTTAACGTGGGCATTATTTGGCACCATATTGCTGTGCCTCCTCAGCCAAATTGCATATGTCAAGTCTAGGCTCTGGCTTGCCGCCGAAGTGGGTATCTTTCACTCTATACCCACCGACCCCGCCAGGAAAGCGGTTAGTGAATATCATAACTGTTGGATCTAGCGGAAAAGGAAGAAAGCAAGCGGTAAAAGGCCAGCTCTGCTGTTCGTCAGTCATGTATGTATTCCGTGTTGTTGTTTGCCAACTTGAAGTCCAGAGTGCGGCTTTTAAAGTATTATGGATAATAGTTTCTCCGATGACTTCATTTGCCGATCCGAACCCGAAGCTTAGTGGGACATTTCATTCACTACACTAAATCATAAGATGAAGCTTTCTCTATAGTTATTATTGATTTCACTTGCAAGACAGCCAGAGTGAAGGAAAGAGACAGCTGGATGGCGACCAATATCCGAAGGTATAGGTGAATCCCTGAATTTTAGCTATTTTTAGATGTTGAAAACGTCATGTAAACTACTGTCTCCAGAACTTTGGGTCACAATGCTGGCGGTTAACAACTTGCGTGACAATGCGATGGGGCTACCTTTGTTCCATGGATGTCCGATTGCTCCATACGGATGCCATACGAACCATCCACCGGTCCAGTCCGCGGCCTAGGGATTATTAGGCTGGGGACGGGGATGGTATAGGCCTTAGGTGCCGGCGATGCTTTGAACATACCAGGCCATGTCGGGGCCGCTGTACAAGGCCATATCTGATCCTTCAAAAACAAACTTAGCATCTCCGTTCAGACAGGGTTTGGAAGAGGAGAGTTTTACGCATGGATTCTAGCCCACCCACGGTGTAGTGATTCCACCGCCCTTCCAGGCTTGATGTCACTGCCATAGTCGACAGTAAAGTTGAGTGAAAAGGCCGTCTCGGGCCAAGTGAATGATGGAAGAGTCGTGTTGGTGAAGGCCCTATCACTGTTCTCGCCCCGTGCGTCATCTCCGTCTCTGATGCCCATGAAATCAAACGCATCATCCAGACCGAAGACTGGCCTGAGTCCGAAGCAGTCTATGGAACTTCCGCCAGGATCCCAACCAGCCAACTCTCGTCACGTATACCGACAAATAGGCGTACACCAAGCGCAAAGGACTCATCTCGTCCATGTCCGGTGCTCGCTACATCCGCAGCATGCAGCCAGCTATGCAAAACTACATCGCGGTGCTACTCAAGCATATAGAAAGCCAGTGCCACAGCTCCCAGGGAGGCAGGGACGAGGCCGACATGCAGCATCTCATCTAAAGCGTGGCAGTTGATATTATCGAAATCATCACCTTTCAACCAGAGCTTCCATGTTGTTAAAAATGGCTCGCACCCCTTACCGAACCAGCTAAAAAAGGCACTCAGGCTGACTAGTGTCCTGCAGTTGATCATGTATTTGCTGCTTGCCCTTCTACAATAATCCATCAACCAAACCAACCTAGTCCTTGATCTCTCTAGCAAGCGAAAAGAAACTGCCATGTCAGTGCCAACCACACCATCAAGCGCTCTTCACGACAATATTACTGATACAGGGTCCAGCTCCGCACTGTCAACTCTAGGGTGAAAGCGGAAGTAAACTGCATTAAACGCATACCAGAAAGTTCAAGCAAGAGCTCAAGAGGTTTTACAGAACAGTGGTAATCATGAAGATCCATCTCTTGCTTGAGGCAACGGAGGCGTGATAAAACCGAAGCTATCCAAAGCCGAAGCCGTCGTATCCCTGGCCGCTACGTCAATTAGTCACATTAATTTCGGTGCTGGCTTGTTTTGTCTTGAATCTTGTTGGGTACCAACAGTTTACATCCCCACCCGTCTACGAAGGCTTCTCCGCCATTATAGAGGCTAAGAAAATGTCTGTTGACGCTTGCTTAGAACGGGCTCTTGCCTATATAGCGTCGGCCTAACGACATCTAATGAACCTCAACACCCAGAGAATAGTTAATGTTATTTATGGCGTGGTATCCGACGGGATCGTGTGGCAATTTTTACGTGTAGATGGCAAAAAACTCCTCTCTCCGATTGTTTCAAGACTCTTGCCGACTGTGGCAGAACCCAACCCTACCTCTTCATAACCGAATTGTCCGGGTAGACATCGAGTCATCGCCTCATACCAGCCGTCACATAATGTTTTCGGGCAGCCAAAGCTGTGGCATGAACAGGTAGAAGCAGATATTTTCCCTGACCCATCTTCACCATCACCAAGGATTGATACGAAGCAAATTAGTTCGTCCGCACCTGAATGGTATTTTATTCAGCGATCCGGGCCCTACGTCAAGGTACAGCATATATTTACTCTGTACTCTCGGTAAACTAACATTCTGTCAACAATATAACAAGTCTTCTGCGCCAGTCAGCGCGGGCTCGTCCTTTTGGCTCAGTCGTTTGTCACATTCTATAGTTGGTCGAGGAACCGTCTGCATCAAATGTGGAAGACAGTCAAGAACAGGAGGATAGAAAGATTGCGGGAGTTGGTTAATTCAACTAACTGGCAACAGGCATCATTTCAATCATTCTTATTGATTGTATCGATATCAGCATCAGCTTGTGCCTTCCCTTAGGCGGACTAATCAAATAATATTACCCACTTAGCTGCGTCGTCAAATTGGAGTTGACTTAAACTTCCTCGGAGTAAATATCCTGGAACTCCCTACCTACCAACCCTGATCATCAGAGCAAACATGTCGACCTACCGGGTTTTCGGGCTAGATCGATAGGCAGCGCGGGAGCATCCGCACCCCTGGAAGCTTGACCAGCCAACCAACAAGTTACAGTAACTCGTTAGTGAGTGATCCGCCCGATGCCCCAGATCCTCCGTATTTGGCCCGGCCTGGAGCTAAGTTAAGCTCGGTGACGCCAGCATGCATTAGGACGATCTCCTTTGTAACGTTCCCGGGCGACGAGTTTAAAAACTAGCTACAGTAGTAAGTTAAGCATGCTAGTTGGACCTGCCCAGGGGGGTGAACTTTACTGTCTCTTATCACCGATGCGCGATGGACTTAGGCCTGGTTAACTAGTTATGGTGTTAATTGAATGGTTAGTAGTTAGCAAACTCCGAAGCCTTCTCACGGGTGGAGAGAAGAACAGTAACTAACTAGTGACAAAAGTCGCTGATGAGCCTAACCACAAGATTGCTAAAGATTGACTGACTGACTCCTACTTTCTTCCACTAGGCGAGGCTCAGACCATGGCGTTGTCCTATTATCCAGCAGTAGCTTAATTACGTCCTGAGGGGCCCATGATATTGCTTCCCCAGTTATAGTATCACAATAACCCCTTCCACGGTCTTCCATAACGCCGGTAGTTAGTCAGGTAACGGCGTTGCCCCATGATCCAGGAGTAGTTTAACTACGTCCTGATGGCCCCAACGTCTTGCTTCCCAAATTGCAGTATCATGCTGATCCAATCCCTGGGCATTCGGGTCGGCTCCACTCTCCAGTAGCATCTCAACTATACCAATATGGCCCATAGACGAGGCTGCCTCGAGCGGGCTACCATAAAGCTCTCCCCAAATATTAACATTAGCACCACTCTTCAATAGCAGCTTAACTATGCCCACATGGCCATCGGACGAGGCTGTTATGAGTGCACTACCAAAATTCTCGTCATAAAGATTAACATCAGCACCATGGTCTAATAGCAGCTTAACTATGCTTTCAAGGCCTCTAGATGATGCGAAGCGAAGCGCAGGACCATCTAATCCCATAGCATTGACATCAGCACCACGGTCTAATAGGAGCCGGACTATACTCTCGTGGCCTTGTCCGGATGCTGCGTGGAGCGCAGTATGACCGTCCCACATAATAGCATTAATATCAACACCACGATCTAGTAATAGTTGCACCATACTCTTGTGGCCCTTTTTGGCTGCTAAGTAAAGTGCGGTACCAGCCACACCCTTGGCATGAATATCGGCACCATTCGCTAGGAGTAGCTGGACTATACCCCCGTGGTCCTCGTAAAATGCAGCAAGTAGTGGAGTATCACCAAATCCACTAGCATTGATGTCAGCACCGCGGTCTAGTAGTAATTGGACAACATTCTCGTAGCCTGCTTTGGATGCTGCATAAAGTGCAGTACCCCCATCCCCCAGAGCGTTAATTTCAGCACCTCTATCCAGCAGTAGATGTACTATTTCTTCACAGCCATTGAAAGACGCGGCGATAAGGGCATTGCTCCCAGAACTATCTGTTAAATTGATGTCGGCACCGTTATCCAGTAATATTTGTACGATTGCTGCGAAACCTCCCTTTGATGCTGCCACCAGCGCGAGGTGAGATAGTCCACTCGTATATTGAGGATTGATTTGGTCCTTTATCGCGTGGCTGCTGGATGATTCTATAATGTCTTGCACAACTCGGGTAAGCCCAAAAAGCGATGCATAGTATAGTGGTTGTCCAACCGTGGTATCGGGAAAAGAATTCTCGTCTGTATCAGGATCGGAGGGTGAATATTCGTCTGTATCAAGATCGGAAAAAGAATATTCGTCTCTATCCCAGCCTTCATATAACATCGCCCAAGCATGAAATCTTTCTCTTTTTAGTCTAAACATCCGTAATATCGCCCCTTCAAGATAATCTGGCCTCCCAGCATCCTTGTAGTGGTCATACCAGAATTGTGCAGCGTATTCAGCTAGTGGGAGCTTAACATTTGGCATATCTAGTGACAAATCTGGTTCCATAAGATATACAAGGCTAATGTGTGCAATCTCTGTATGGGCAAGATCACCTTGTAGGGAAAAGCTCGCTGATTTTTGTGCAGTAATGCGATGCGATTGAAGGTATTCTTGGACTGAGAAGTGGGCGATATGAACTGTGGGCGATTTACTCCTATTTTCTGAGTGCACGATGCTGATCAGGCCAGGACATAGGCCGTGTAGGTCATCAGCGCCTTCCAGCCGACGTTGGTGGTCAAGGTAGGCAGGCTCATCAAGACTAACTGCAATCCCATCGATAACCTCCGATACTGTTAGGGGTCGGACAGAGTAACAGAGAAGAGTCAGCATCCGTCGTGCTTCTTCAAAGGCATCTTCATCGATATTGCATAACATTCGCTCATAAGTCTCATCTAAGTCTCGTGGCAATCCCTCCAGGCACTTATTGAGCTTTCTCTCACTCCGTAGACAACTCTTGAGGGCTTGGAATTGGCACTCTACCCAGCGGAACCTGAGCGTTGTGTTAGCCGAATCTAATGAATTTGATAACTAGGGGCCTGCTAGCAACTTCTTACACTCCGCCTGCACGCTCAGTCAGAGCTTTTTGTATTTTATCGTGGTCCGCCTTCCATTTGTGGAGTGCCTGATTTGTCTGCAACTCGGTAGATATAAATTTGCTAATGTCTTGATCGATAGCATCATTACGCATAACCTCTTCTTCTTCATTAGTAGGGTTTAGCCGGTTCCGGATATCGATCTCATCTTTGCTAGTAACCAACAGATGCATTCCTGGCAACGACCATGACCGCATTAACATTATTATGTCGAGAACTTCATCTCGATAGGTAAAACGAGGGCTCTCGTCCAATGCATCCAGAAATATATATACGTGCTGAAACCTCTGAATTAAAGAGTGGAGGTAAGCGGCTAATTCTAGTGTTGGGGGAGTACCAGTTTTGTAAGACTTATGGAGGCGCTCAAGCTCTTTATAGCCATCGTGGAGTTGGCCAGAAAGCTGTAGTAGTAAAGCTCGTAGCATGCCAGAGGCGTCTTGTTTGGATTTATCGTTGAAAGTAAAGTAAAAAAATGCAATTCCAACAATATCTGGAACAGCCTGTTTCTTCCGACATGTGTATTGGATGGCAGTGGAACATAAAACTGACTTTCCAGATCCTGCGAAGCCGTTGAGCCAGAGTAAGGAAGAGTTCTGAGCCAGCCAGTTCTCAAATTTGGCACCTCTGACGAGCCACATGCCGGTTCCTGAATGGCATTTGGCCACTGCAGAGTTGTGGTTGGTAGTGACATCCGGTGCCTTGAGCCAGTCACAAATCGTCGATGTTATCTGATCTGCTCTCACAACATCAAGAACCAGCTTCACGTCCGCTATATCCTCTCGATGGTTTTTATTCTCCTCAACCTGTAATGCATTTAATGCAAATGTCAGATTTTCTCGCATCTCACCAATGTCCTCTTCAAGCTTTTTCAGTGTACTCTCCTTGAATGGATATAACGCTCGACGCCCAGTGACCTTGAGGACAGCCTTGAGGTCACCAGCCGGAGTCTTTTTCTTTAATTTTTCGCACTCATCCCGAAGCTCATAGATGAGGTCCTCACAGTTTTCAATTGATGATTCGATGGCTTGGATCAAATCTTGCTCATCGGGCTGGAATTTACGCTCCTGTATCCTCTGGTGAAGATACTGGAGCATACTTAGGAAACTCTTAAGCATCCCTGTTGTCCGGTCTACAGCAACGCCTTGACCTTGATATGAATCATAGAATTTGACGATAGAGCCCGTAACCTGTATGCTGAGCGACACTAGCCCTGCTATACTCCCAGCAACGGAGAGCGGATCGGCCATTATCAGTGAGGACGTTCAAAAATAAGGTATTTATATAGTGCAAATAGAGGCAGAAAAGTAGCCAGCCTGGATCATGTATCAGCGTTTGCAACCGGAATCCAACAGTGGTTAACAGTTGTGATTGTTGCCTAGCAAACGGCATGCGATGATAATTGAAAATATTTGATAACTAACCAACTGACTAACAATTTGACTGGTCAACAAATTAATCAACGACCTGCAGATGCGGGGTATTTAACTAGTTATTTATAACTAGTGGTTATAATCAGATCGTAATATCTAAATAACTACAAGACCAACCTGGCGTTCTTCGTGATCAGTCACAGAAGCAAAGACAATCTGCAAGAAGCGGTTCAATAACAACCAAGAAGCTTGATTCTCTTGTTTGATACATTTGGCCCACCCAGGCAGCGATAGCTATCCCGCTCAGACACCCAAGTTACTAAACACAGGGATACCAAACCCACGTCTTACATAAATTTGAACAAGGCACAATATGTCCTCTGATGAATCACGCTCAAATGAAACAGCGGAAGCCCGCGCTGCCTTTACAGCTTCTCTCAAATCCGTTGGTGCCAATCTAGATGCTGACCTGCGCACTCGAGCGGGAACCCTGCATGACAACGCCGCTATCATAGAGAAACAGCAACAAGATCTAAAGCGGACCACTCAGGATGTCTCCAAGCAGAGCAAGGAACTGGAAAAGCTTCTAGATCAAGGCCAAAATGGCCTAAAGGAAGTTGGCGATTTGCAGAATTTTGCGGAAGTCATGGAGAGAGATTTGCTGGTTCTCGAGGAGACGCTGAGGTTGGCGGAGGAGGAGGACGAGCGGGAGGGAAGAGTTGAGAAACCGGCGCAGAGCTGGCTAAAGAAATGGTTTTAGCTGTATCAGAAGGTCGGCCTAACGGGGTATTATATGTGTTTTAATGCCGTTTCAGTTGTTTATGGATTATATCAAATTGGACTCTCCTTGGTCGGCTAATATGGGTTGGTATATATCCATCCCTTGATATATCAAAGGATGCAGGAATATTTCGATACACCCAGCCAGCATGTAAACAGGACTGCAAATTTGGGGAAACTTGAGAATTTTGGGTTTATATATATTGATTTGCATCCAAAATATTTATCAACCAGCAAATGATGTCTGCAGTCTAAATGTAACCAAAAATAGGCGTCTAAATATCGCCTCCCTTACGAGCCGTAATCTTCGACAAATTCTTCCCACACATATTTAATACTCTTTTCTTTCCCCCCAGCCCTAGATTGGCGCTGTTTGTAGCTCTCCCATTCACTCCATTCATTCCACTGCCCCAGGCTCACTAGATGTCTCATAGTAGGTCTTCCGTGCGGACAGTTCCACGGCTTGTCTATAGTCCCCATGTGCTTGACCACGGTCTCCATTTGCCGATGAGTAAGGTTCTTTCCAATCATGATACTTGACCGGCAAGCTCTCATAGCGAACATCTTTCTCACTTTGCTCGGTCTAGGAACAAGGTAGTCCGAGAAGGGTGACGAAGCTATACCCGAGGGTTCGACATCTTCCGCATCGCTATCAAGTTCGTTTCTCGACCGTTTGCCTCGATTGTTCTGTGATTGCTGCGGTGCTTCAGAAAGCAAGACAATCAACTCTTCCAAATCGCGAGTGTCGAAGACGACTTCTTTACTCAGTGGTAAGCTAATCAGTTTGCACCGTCGGCCGATGGGCTCATCTCCACTGGTATCTATTTCAACGATGAATCCGTTCTTTTCCAACGCAGCAAGGTTGTCGATGATGACTTCTTCTTCCACGGAGGTGAGATCAAGGGTCTTCGGCTTCACAAGCCTTTGGTTTTGTACCGTCGTCTCAGCCTGGAGACGTTCGAAGTTATACTTCTCGTCGGACGCGTGTTGATCAATGATGAATAACTCATCTTGTTCATTCCCAGCTGGCCGTGCAGAGGAGCGGGTGCTGTCTGGGCTACCGCCCGGTCTCGTCGCAAGGATAAAACCAAGGTTAAACTGACCGATTATCCGCATCCTAGAAAAATCCTTCTTGGAGACTGCGAGGGATAGCTTCGTTTCAGGTGCAATCTGCTGGTCATCGTCTTCATCGTCGCTCCTATCTAATCGCTTGATATCCGACGATTTTATCTTCCTTTGAAGAGCTTTCAGCTGAGATTCGATGTTCCCAACAGAAGTGTCGATAGTGCATGCCAAATCATGCGTGCAATCCTTCTTGCGAGGTTTTCGAGCCAGTCTCTCTGCCCGTTCGATACTCTGCTCTGAAGGAATAGCTGATGCTTCCTCCGCTGCTTTTATTAGCTCACTGACCTTTGCATCTTCTCTGGACTTCCGTTCCTCATCGTCAACGTAGCTTTCATCAGAGTCGGAAGTCGAAGCATCGGCATCTTCGGGCTGGATCCGTTGATCTTGCTGTAGAGATTCTACCTGATGATCTTCATGTTCTTCACCTGTTTGTTCCTCTCCCTCTGCTTGCTCTTCGTCTCCGCTGTCTTCCCCAGATTCCAGTTCCTCTAATTCTTCTTCGTGCCCATCACATTCATTTGACTGGCTGCTAGAGCATGCTTCATTGTCTTCCTCCTCATTCTCTTCGTCTTCAATAAGATCATCATCTAGTTCTCCTTGGTTAAGCTGCGTTCCAGGGGCGGTAAAGGACTGAATACTTCGGCCTATTTTACTTTTCTTGATAGTAATAGCCCTTGTCCTGGATGATGGTGAATGCAAGTGTAAGCCTGGATAGCTATCCAGTCTTCCTTTCACCGGATCTCTACCAATAGTCGATTGGTAGGTCTTGTTACCTATGGTAATGGTTGCCACATCCACTGGTGTCCGGTTCATCCGCATTCGGTCAAAAGCATTCTGGACAACACCAGGTTTGTGGGTTGGAGTGCCTAATGAGGGACTACTTGAGATGGGTTGTTCCTGTGCTGGCTGTAGCTGGGTCAAGCTACCTTCTACCTCCTCGACGTTGGTACTAGATGGGATATTATAAGCTCCACTAGATTCAGGGATTACTGGGTCATCTTCGACAATAATGCCCATATCCGGCGGTTGAGTCCCCTGATCACCACTTTCAAATCTCCGAAAAGCTCCTTTTATTGATGATTGTGGCTTTGTGGTAGGCTCTAGATCGTTATCTTGCACGGTATCGTTTTCTCCTAGCTCCTGGCTATACGCTGCATTAGCAGACGGCTCCTCCAGTTCGTCTTGCGTTGCATTAGTGGAAGCTAGCGGAGTCTTTCCCGTCTTCGGTGTTAATTGACTTTGCCTGCTAAACGCAAGCTGGGAAACAGGAACAGTTTGGTCTTGATTCTCAAAGAGTTCGGTGAGGGATGCCTTTAGAGATTCGATCAAAGCACCAGCATCATGGAGCAAGATTGTTCGCTTATCCGGCGAAACATTAACGTCGTACGCACTTGTGTCCATCTCAAAGTTTGCAAAGATAAACGGTGATTGAGACAAATTGAACGACTTGTATACCTCGTTAAAGGCTTTTGCAATCTGGGGTAATCCACATGGTCGAGAATTCACAAAGAACATCTGGCGATCGGGCGTTTGTCTTCCTTCACCGAATATCGGCTTAGATATGTGGCCATGCACAAATAACTTATTGGAAACATTGCTTGAAAACCGTTTTGCCGCTGAGCTCGGCTCAAACTCCAGGTTCAAGTCGAGTGGCATCAACGCAAGAAGTGTCTTTGCACCATAGACATTAGAAATATTCTCCCGCGTCGTAGGATTCGATTTAGTAGTGAAAACTACCACGCTTTTCCCCTTAGGCATCTGGTTCTTGACGTTGAAACGGACGCCTGTGCTTATACATGCATATGCATGTAGCAGCGCTATCACCTTTCCGTACTCTCTTTTGACATTTTTCTCTAATTCTCGCCGCCGAACCGGTAGGGGCTTGAATAGGTTCTCTATAGAGACCGTCGTCCCTCTTTGGCCAGCAACTACCTGCGTGCTCTTGAGTCTCCCGGAGAACTCGAAATCCAGCTTCGAAGCTCTAGGAGCCTGTTGTGCCTCCGCAGTAACGACGGTGAGGTTTGACACTGCACATAGTGAAGAAAGCGCTTCACCACGGAAACCAAACGTTTGAAGAGAGGTGAGGTCTGCGAAGGTCGATAGCTTGGATGTGTAGTGTTTCAAGGCTGTATAATTTATCAATCAGGGTGGTCTTCTGCAGGGCGATGGTGGTAACTATTTACCCAGCGACTCATAGTTGTTCGGCGAGATTCCATGGCCGTTATCCTGGACTTCTATCAAATCCAGGCCGTTGTTTTTAAAACGCACATCTACGTAGGACAGAAGCAACGGTTAGCAATATTCTCTAGAAAACGCATCAATTATACATGCCTATAGAAGTTGCGCCAGCATCAAGGCTGTTTTCTACCAGCTCTTTAACTACCGAACAGAGGTCAACGATGACCTGGCCCGACTGGATTTGGTGAACCTACAAAGTGGTGTTAGAGGCGTAAAAACAAGTGTCAACGTCCTCCAGTATATAATCTTACCGAGCGAGCCTCGATAGGCTTTATTGTTGCCATATTCATGTCATGGCGGCTGAGTTGTGGTGTCGAGGATATTCCATTGTCGCCTAGCTGGATGTTATTAATGATGCGCGTCGCGTTTAGGGGACAAAAATTTAGTTATTTAACGTTTTGTTCCATCTGACGTCATCAGCTCATTTCTACGTGTTTTATATTATTTTTGATATAGAAGAATGATTAAGAAAAGGAAGATATATTTCCACTCCGCCCCTATAGATACAGCAATGCAAAAGTACACAGATGGGGAGCGAAATGCTCGGAGCGAATAGTATGACATACGGTAGGGTATGATGTATATATAGAACCTAGAAATTAACGCCGAAAGAGAAGAGGAAGGGAAAGGAACATAAGATCATAGGTTGAATCGGTCGGGTAGGAGAACGGGGGCAACGAGGGTCCAGAGATATATAGCATAGCACACCCAGGAACTGATGATCTTCACCCAGCTGGCCCAGTATGTGCGGCCAACAGGGGCCAGGTCGTCGTTGTGGGCTTCCCTGTCCATCTCAAGGTTTTGAGTTAATAGTGTAGCAACCCACATCGTGGCCAGCAGGAAAATGACGTGGAATAGAGAGTATGTGTACTGCGTCGAGTTTCGCTCATCGTCTTTCGAGTTACCGTCATCAGACTCGTCGTCGTCGTCGTCCAGAGCGCTAGCAGGCAAACTACCACTGTTGACAGCAGCACGGAGAGCTTCCGCACGCATCTCACGCCGAGTGAGCCCTGGCTGCTGGACGACCAGGCTATGCTCCGGCTCTTCCTGGTTGAGAGTGGAATAGTTGTTTTGCGCAGCACTAGATCCCATAGCGAATCCCTGAGTGGCAGCACGGGTTGTGGTGTAAGCAATCGTCAACATGGTAACTATGGCACCGAGAACAACGGATGCGGCTCTGGTGCCGTTGGCGCGTAGCAGAGGGTTGCACTGTTTATCGTCCGGCTCCATGGATACGGCAGACATGGTCAGGTAAGTGCAGTAGACAGTGACCATAGCTGCCTGGGCCAATCCAGCACGAGGGTTAGACTCCTGTACTGCTGGCTGTACGGATACGAGAGAAACAATAAGGAAGAGTAGGAGATTAACCTAGGCATGTAAGTATGTGCTCGGGTAAAATTGGGGGGAAAATGTTAACAACTTACGGTGATGGCAGCTTTGTTCATGGCGCAGTGGGCACCGGCAAAGAAGACGTACATGAGTACGGTCATGGAAATAGATGCAAGGTACATTCCAAGGGTAGATCCGATCAACAGACCCTTCCATAGCCTTGAATCGGTCTCATCGATCTTATGCAAGCAGAGCTCGGCCCAGTTATGAGCTAGGTCGACCAAGAGGACAAGGCCCAGTAGTAGGAAGAGTATAGCTCCGGCAAAAGCAATGTAGTTGCCCCAAACGATGAAGAAGCTCTCCGGGATGAAGAAGGACATGACAATAAATGCAAGCCAGATAATGACTTTTGGGCCCCAGAATCCATTTTGTAGTTTTGCTCGTTCGTCTTTTGTAGATCGGACACCCAGAAGAAGTACGGCAAGTATCATGTGGAAGAGACCCAGGGCGAAGTTGATTCGGTGGACGGCAACCCAGCCATGGCACTCTTTGCCGTCACACGTTATGGGTAAGAAGTCGAATGTAAGGTGTTCAAGCTTGTTGAGAGCCCACCGTGTGAGCATGACCCAGGATAGAATGGAGTTGATTAGGAGTATGAAGGCGTATGCGATTCGAGTGGCCATACTAAACAGAGAGTCGGTTAACCCGGTAGCCTTGGAGCGAAGTTCACGAAGTAATCTGTCCCATACCTGCTCTGGAACTTCCCGCATGCGCTACATATCGCAGAGCACGTAGCTGCACCGCAGCATGAAGCGCCAAACGTCAGAATCTACGAGAACCCCCAGTTAGCCGCAGTTCGGGGTTGGATGCATTCAACAACGGATGACGGGTAGGCAGGCGGATACATACTGTCCCGAGACTCGGAACTGCCATCAAGGGCAGAGAGAGAAGCGCGCCCATATTGGCAGCCTCACAGCGGATGCGTTCTTGATAAGTGACAAGTAAAACGAGTGCTTTCTATGCGCTTTCGATGTGTTTTTGTCGACGATGTTGAGCCGCGAACTGTCGAAACATCGAAAGATGACGATGAAAGTTGCCTCTTTGGGGTGAGATGCACGTGATATCTAAATGCTCTTGGTTATTACGTCATGATTATATAAGACATTTACTTACATAACATTTATAGAATATCCTTACATAAGCTTTTTCGGCTAAAAGGCGACTTTTTCGGCATTTTTAAGCCAAAGACGCAAAGTTGACTTGCTTTTTTGCTACTCGATTTGCTGTCGATTTGCTGTTTTTGCTCCCATATTTGAGAGAGCCTGAGCAACTTGTAGGCGCTATATTCAACCTCGTTTGGCTGCTTCATGTCGCCGAACTGGTCCTCTGCGGTTTCATAGCAGCGTACGTACACCCCGGGCGCTATATTTAGCGCATCACAAGAGGGACCCGGCTGATGCACCTGGATTCTTCGGCTGCAAGGCTATATAACCCAGCGGCTATACCCCCTTTTTCCAATCCCTTCTGCTAGTGTCCGCGACTTATTTAAGACTGTCTGGAGATCCCGTTGTGCCTTCGTACTAACGTCGCTTTGGCAGCTCACTCTATGGTTACGGCAGCGCCTCGACGGCAGGTTTCATCGGAGCTCTCGCGCCTATCATGGCGCCTCAAATCCCCTACATAACGCCAAATGCCTTTCGGTTTATGACTGTGGTTGCAGGCACCCTGGTCGCCCTGGCAAGCGGAACTAATGTAAGACGGCCAAATATCCAATCTGATATTGGCGCAGAGACAGCCGCAGGAGCTTGTTTACCTCTTGAAACCTTGGCGGCTAACTGCTCGTGTTTCTAGTATGTCTATTCTGCGTGGGCGCCGCAGTTTGCAGATCGGATGAAACTCACGTCAACCGATGGTAACTTGATTGTGAGCATTATTGAAACCCTTTTTCTTCTTCTTATACTCTTTCTCTACTTATAATCATGGCTGGAGCCTTTGTTACTGACTAACTTGTGCATAGGGTGCTGCTGGAAACGTAGGTGTATACGCAGTTGGTATCCCGATCGGATATGTCGTCGACACTAGAGGCACTAGACTGGTTGCTCTTTTCGGAGCTGTTTCCCTATTCTGTGGCTATTTTCCAATTCATCTAGGTTAGCCACCTCTATTTATTCCATTAGTTATGTTTATACCCTTGAAATATGCCTAACAGCTTCTATAGCATACGCTGCTGGTGCGGGCTCACTAAGTGTGGTATTGCTATGCTTCTTCTCTTTCCTTTCAGGAGTTGGAAGCTGTGCTTCCTTCGCTGCCGCAATTAAGACCGGTATGAGATTATCCAAATAGTCCTGAACACACCATGTTGCTCACACGCACCCATGACAGCCGCGAACAATTTCCCTGACCATCGAGGGTCAGCAACTGCATTCCCACTCGCTGCCTTCGGGCTTAGTGCATTTGGCTTTTCAGCAATCTCAGCCATGGCGTTCAAGGACGATACGTCCGCATTTCTTTTACTTCTTGCCCTGGGGCCGTCGTTGATAATTGTGGTCTGCACGTACTTTCTACAGCTACTGCCTCCACCTCCATCATACTCTGCTGTTTCGAATGGTGAATACCCCGAGTCAAATTTATTGCAAAGAACTAAACCGGCTGAAAATATCGAAGTCGCTTCTGAGACAGACTCAAACCGTGCTATTGCGTCCTTCTCCTCTGCACAGGTTACTGCCGTATTACCTAGTGAAATCCAATCGAGGCCAACGCCACCGGACGCTGAGGCAGATGAGACCTCCTCTTTGATGAGCAGGCCCAGGTCCCTGAGTGATAGCGGAAGCTTCGCCCAATACGATAATGCGAAATGCGGTGTTCACGCTGACAGTACTGATATACGTGGACTGAGCCTCCTTCCAACTCCAGAGTTTTGGCAGCTGTTCTTGTTGCTCGGTATCTCCACTGGAGTTGGCTTGATGACCATAAAGTAAGTACTTCGTAAACGTATTGTCTTCTCTGTATATATGTCAACTAACATTGTACCTAGCAATATTGGCAATGATGTAAGAATATACTTCCTCATCATGCATTGTTCCAATTTGCTTACAACCAATTATAGGTCATGGCTCTATGGAGGCATGTTAACCCCGACGTTGATTCACACTTCCTCCGTGAAACACAAGCTCTACATGTCTCCGTCTTCTCTGTGATAAGCTTTACGGGGCGCCTCCTAAGCGGTAGGTAATCCTCTTAATCCTGCACTCAAATGAACACGACGCTTAACATACTCTAAAACAGGAATCGGATCCGACTTTATCGTCAAACGCCTACATATGTCTCGATTTTGGTGTGTTTTCGTCGCCAGTATCCTCTTTTGTATCTCCCAGTTCGGCGGTGCCAAAATCTCTAACCCTCACCACCTCCTTTTCGTCTCATCCATGACGGGTCTAGCATACGGCGTGCTATTTGGAGTATATCCAGCCATAGTCTCCCATGCCTTTGGTATCTCTGGATTTTCTCAGAACTGGGGTGTTATGACTCTCGCCGCTGCCATTTTTGGCCATATATTCAATTACATCTATGGTGTTATATACGATAGCCATTCGAAGGTGTTGCCGGATGGCACACGCCAATGCAATATGGGGCTAGAATGTTATTCGACAGCGTATCTAGTGGCGTTCTACGCATCTATTTCCTGCGGATTTCTAACATTAGTAGGAATTTTCCTCGAAAGATATAGACGCCACCAGAGAATATCTGCCCCTGCTGATGAAGATGAGATACCCCAGCCAGCTGCATAAGTTGACGCCGAGTTACACCTTAACCCTGGTTAGAATCTCGGAATTAGCGACACTTTTTACATTTGGACTGACTGCATCATTGGGCCAGGTGGTCTTATTGTTCTGGTGAAAAATTCTATACGCTTCCCATGCCTCTCTTTACTTCCCTTCCTAATATTTAATTTCTTCCATCATCTTCGCTATAAATATATTTTATGCCTGCATTGCAATTACGGGCAAATTTCATACGTTATACATCAAAGACCAGTCTTTGGCATCGTTCTATTATTTTCGGGTCGGTTGAAAACTAGATTGCTATTCCTTGTCCCCTGTTACATACTTGTTTCGAAATATATTATAAAAGCGATAAACCAAGGTATTAAAATTTGCTATCAAATCTATCCCTATTGCTCCCCTTTTCAGCGCTTTTTGAGCTCGGTTTCCTGTCTATATTACAATAACTAATAGTAAGAATAACAAAATCCATCAACCACCCATTACATGAAACGAAGGATAAGAAACCTCACCAATAAACGAGCGAAAAACGAAGTGGAGGGAAAAAGAATAAGAATGATTAATACCTCTCTAGAAGAAAGTTAGAGAGGCTAGAGGATTTCGAGATATAACTCCGGCTATCGAGGAGCGAAGGGTGAAAGCAGAAATCAAAAAGCACGGAAGTATTTTGTAGTAAAGACAGGTGAGAAGTGAAGAAAGGTAGTGAAGCAGATAACCAAAAGAGCAACGAACGAGATATATGGAGAGCAGTTAAGGCGTGAGATGATCTGCTGCGCCGTGAAGAAAAGGGGGCCGACAACAGTGACAAGTATCGCATACAAAGAGTCCGCCCACAGCTTGTGTGGAAGGGTGATTAACTAGTGATATAAAAAGAAGGCTAGATGCCACAGCGTAACGTCGACTGTGACAATGGGTGACGGGGGCATATAGAGTACAGAATTCCGGGAGTTTTATAGCTGAACGAATCAATGGTGCCGTGATATAAGAATAATGAGAGAGATATTGACGTCGAACGGACATCAACATTCAAAAAAAGAAGTAAAAGGGAAAGGTGCGAGAGAAGAACGAAAATAGAGGAAAGGGGGATATGAAGAGGAGCCGGTGAAGCGCGGTTCCGCATTGCGTGCCGACTAAGAATCAAAGACAAGAAAGAACCGACGTCCTAGACGTCCGCCGAAGATTTGTTGTCGATTTCAGCCTTCACTGAAGAGTCGGAAAGTCGACACCGTTTAGCTTGGGGTTCTGCGGGCTCACCCTTGGATTGAGCCTGTTCTTGTCCGGATAAGCGACCCTCAAGCTCGCTTATCCTGCGTTTTAGGTCCTCTTCTCGCTTTTGTGCTTCTTTAAGTGACTGTCGTAGACGAGATTCTGAGTCTTGAAAGAGATCGTTTATCAATTCTAGCTCATTGACCCTAGTCTTTAGGGACGTGTTTGCTGCAACTAAACTTTCGTAAGTCTGGGGCCCGTCAAGATGGCGTTCGTTAGAAGATGTTGATCCTGGAGACGGGTGTTGCAGCTGTAATGAAGCAAAGTTTCCCGATGGGTTAAAGTTCGGGTCTGAAAGTCCGACGTTGTCAAACATATTGTGGGGAGGGATACTGGTTGAGCCATGGAAATTAGGCGTATCCGTTCGTGAGACTGGGGAGTTTGAGCCATCAGAACGACCAGGGGAGAGCTTTCTTGAAGCACGCGCATAGCCATAGGGCGTAGTGCCATCTGATCTTGGAGTGGCTTGATTATTGGCGTCGGTATTGGCCTGCAATTGGGACGTGGATTAGATTCTCAGTCCAATTTACCGCGAGACAAAAAAAGAAAGATGGAAGCAAGCAGGTACCTTTCGTTTTGGGCCCTGGCCCGAAGTTTTCACCCGATTGCGGCTCTTTATCACGTCTGTCTTCAAGTTCATAGGCCGTGGCCGTCCGTGGAGCTTAAGGAAGAGGCCACAGGCGTTGCAGAGCACCGAGCCCATCTCGTCTCGACGCCATAACGGGGTCTTCGAAGTACCGCAATTCTGGCAAACGGACTGCAATTGAACATGGCCTTGGTTAGCTACGGCCGTTGCCATGATAAATATGGGTGCAGAGAGCTTGTGAGAAAACGTATACGCTCCAGAGACACCAAGGGAAGGGTGCAAAGAAGGTTCTGTAGTGCGCTTCGGGAGCTATCTGGAGCGTGATAAGGGTGGAAGAAAGTTGGAACGGATTTTGGCGATAAGAAAAGAAAAAGACGGTTTAATAACCGCCAAGCCATTTTCCTGGCCCAGCTATTCCTAAAAAGGAGAGCAGTGTACTGCAAGCCGCAGGGGGAAGAAGCAGGCATATAAAAGCCAGAGTAATGGACGGGAAGATAGTCGACGGATATAGATTGGGTGTGCTTGGTTGTCTGAGGCTGCTGCATGGTGTGCTTACCGTGGTGCTACCTTGTCCTCCATTGGTTGCGGTCGGCGCTGAGGTCGCATAGTTTACGCTCTGGCTGGCATTATGGTTGCTGTTCGAATTATCTGCATTATCGTACGCCCTATAACAATTATCGAGGTCAGCGTGTTTCCATATTGGATCTATCTAGTCAGGCAATTGGCGTGTCGCCGTATGGGGCTGCCAACTTGATGGCCAGGTGCCGGTCCTTATCGGCGAGTTTCTCCTATCGACATACCGTATATAAGAGGTCTGGTCAGAGGCAGCAGAGGCCAAAGCAGACAGTCCCGTAGCCGAAGGAACGTATTCTGCTGTCGAGGCCTCTGGATATTCGGTCGTAGCTGAAGTCGTAGCGGGAAAGGAGTTGGAAGGAGGAGCTGTTGAGTTGGAAATATGGTAGGCTGTCGAAGGCTCTGCGGCCTCAAACTTCATCGAAGACGGCCCATCGCCTTCCTGAGGCGACGTGAAGTCCGGAACATCTCGAACTTGCGAGGATGATGCCCGCAGTGCCGGGTCAATGGCAGATGTCCCTAGGGACAGGGGAGCTACTGCGGACGCCGTGGTGAAGGATGTCTATTGAGGCACCGGAGGCCTCAATTAGCTGCAGAGAAAAGGAGAGATAAGGAAATGTGAGGGTAATTCGGAGCGGAAAGAGGGTAGAAAGATAGGTAATAAGCTATGAATGGGCTGTTTTGATGCTGGTTGAAGATGGCTGAAAGATGATGAAGAGCAAAGCTGGACGAGCGAGACCAAAACGAAGATAAAGCAAGCGTTCGCGATAAAAAAAAAGTTGTTATCAGGACCGATAAGTTGCTTAGTCAAGTCACAGTTTAGAGAAGTCAGATGATAAGTATGACTAAACTGACTAATCGTGATTATTAATCTGACGTAACTTTTTACTTTTAATTTACTTTGTTGTTCAGATGGAAAAAAAGAAGCTAAAAGCGTTTAAGGGGAAGGACAAGGCAAACGGATTTCTATCTGCTTCTCTCTCTCTCTTCTTTGCTTTCTTTCAGAGGTACCGGCATAGTCTGCGGGCTGTGCACAAAGGAAGAACGTTCTGCAGAATAAGCAATGTTTTAGACCGCTGGTTTGCTGCATCGGGCTCTCAGGTTTCAAATGCTGGCTGGACAAGCGCGCGCCCTCTGCCTAACTGATAACAACAACTCCTTTTGACCACCACAGCCATGGCACCAAAACACCGTCCAGCGACCTCGGGCTACGCCCGTCTCTCTCAGGCAGATGCCCACGAGTATCTTGATGAGTCTGATGATGAAAACCAGCGCCCGTTCCCGTCGATGCCGTCGAACTCCGGCCGATTCGCCCCCATTCAAACCCACGGCCTCAGACATGACCCATCAGACGTACACTATAGACGCAATCATGGGCGGAACCGGACTCGCAGTAACTCTTCCGGAGTTGATATCAAAGCAATTAACATGCGATTGGAGAAATGGGCTGAGGAAATTGCCTCGAAGTTCAAGATAAATCGGGTCCACGGGAAGACGTCCGAGGAAGAGGAACTCGAAATACACCACTCTGTCTTCCAGCCTCTGGATGGCATACGGCCAGTCACGGCGGCATCACTGGAATCCACTGATCAAGGTGGCAGTGATCGAATGACAAAGGCCGAGTTCGAGCAAGTCGTAGACAGTGTCAGGACGGCTATCGAACTCGGTGTTCACCCAAAGATGATCTCGCAGGGTAGCTCTGGCAGTTACTTTGCGAGAAATGCTCAAGGGAAGGTTGTTGGTGTGTTTAAACCCAAGGATGAGGAGCCATATGCCTCACGAAACCCGAAATGGACTAAATGGATACATCGAAATCTGTTTCCATGCTGTTTTGGCCGTGCTTGTCTTATTCCCAACCTTTCCTACGTTTCGGAGGCTGCTGCGTATGTTATCGACACCCAACTGCGAACACACCTCGTTCCTTACACCGATATCGTCTACCTTTCCTCGAAATCTTTCCATTACGACTTCTGGGACCGACGGAAAGCCTGGTATAGCAGACGGCCGTTGCCCCCTAAGGTAGGAAGCTTCCAGGTCTTCTTGAAAGGCTTCAAAGATGCAAATGTATTCCTCCGAGAACATCCTTGGCCGGATCAACCAACTACCGGGTTCCGTGCCGAGGACGCTCCTCGCAAGAAGAACAGAGGATGGAACGATACCTGTGCTCCATCTGGTGCTCAATCTGACGACGAGGATGGCGAGGAAAATCGTCGAATGCTGGGAGCAAACACACCACAGGACAGTTCTGGCCATCATAAATTCCATTGGACTGAAAACTTGAAGCAAGGCTTCCGAGAAGAGCTTGAGAAGCTGGTTATTCTAGACTACATCATGAGAAATACAGATCGTGGCCTCGATAACTGGATGATTAAGATCAACTGGAACACCGAAGAGGTTTCTATTGTTTCAGACCCCGTTCGTCTGAACGAAACTGACCATCTCGGTGATGACGAGCCAACGCCGCCTGCTCGCCCTGTTTCTGTAAACTCGCAGGGAAAGCCCTCGCGAAATGCCCCATATAGACGTCAGGACGCAATGACAGCAACTAGTCGCGCTGGAACGCCATTGAATGCAGCCGAGCTGGCTCAGGCCACACTTTCAATCGGAGCTATTGATAACAGTTTATCCTGGCCCTGGAAACATCCTGATGCTGTAAGTTAATCTTGCGTACTCTTCTTTTTTCTTACTTCTCAGAGTACTGACGATGTAAATAGTGGCGCAGTTTTCCGTTTGGTTGGCTCTTCCTCCCAGTTTCTCTTATTGGCCAGCCGTTCTCTCAAAAAACTCGTGAACATTTCCTGCCTCTCCTCACGTCTACTGCTTGGTGGACAGAGACTCAAACCGCCCTTCGGGCTGTGTTCAGCCAGGACTCGGATTTCAAGGAAAGCATGTTTGCCCGACAAATCGCCGTTATGAAGGGCCAAGCATGGAACGTTGTTGAAACCCTGAAACAGCGTGACCACGGACCTCTTGAACTTACTCGAAGGACTCGAGTATGCGTCTGGGATGACCTGGTAAACATCCCTGTAGCGATCCCACTTCGTGCCCCCTCAACCGATGCCAGTATGCACCGAGCAAACGGGAGGAATCAACTCCACGAGGAAATGGATATTGGAGCCGCTATTTCCACAGAGCCTCGTGCCCATAGGGACCTCTTGAGCTTCGGATCACCCACAAGTGAACTGCCCAATCCTAATCGTTTCGAGCTGTCTCGTGACCGGGCATCAATGGACTCGAATACCGCAGACGGCTTAGTGAGCCCAAGGTCGCTCGACACTTCTCGTCTGCGCAACATTGAGAATTTCGAAGATGGTGGCCGGAAACTCGCCACAAGCTGGGCATCCACGGCTCCACGACAACACGCCCAACATTCCAGGCGCAGGTCACACCTCGGCGGTAAATCGCCGACACATAAGAAACGCAACTCCCTCTCACAACGCCGGGACAGTGCGTTCGACTTTGGCGCCGACGACCTTGAGGGTGACCTCGGCTATGCCGCCGCGGAGGAGATGGACGGCCACGAACGCAAGGTGATCGTCGAGAGGCTCGAGACAGTCAAGAGCAAAAACCCCGTCTTCACCTGGTGGTGATCTCCCCACTTCACTCTCCCAGTCCCTTACTTCATCTCCTTATCTCTCTTACTTACCTCTCTCCATCCCTCCTATTTAAACCCCGATTTCAGGAACGTATACATTTCTCGATCATCCATTCTTTTTTTCGTATCTTTTATCGATATAATGGTTTTCCTTCTCCTGTCTATTTATATGCTATGTTTTTTTCTTTCCCCTTTATCCTTCCTCTTATACCTCTTATAAAAAAGACCAAAATTGTTCTTTTGATGATATGTGCATGCGGAGTTTAGCGTTGTTGACTGTTGACTTGTGGCATAAATATACGCCTCTAATATGTGACCCATAATGTTTTCTTCGAAGTGTGTACTATTTCATTTTCATGGTGTTCACCATAGAAGCGACTCTTTTGGTTTCGTGGGAAAGGCCATCTCCTTTGACTTGCTTTGAATGCATCTTCTTTCGTTCTCTTTACTGTACAATAATTTCTGGCTCTTTAGGATGTTTGTTTCTATTTTTATCTTGGCTGTCTTCATAATCCATCACATGATGAATTTGGGCGCTTGGTTTATCCGCGCTAGCCGCCCAAATCTTTTATCTTATCTTTCACTCGATCTCGCCGCTGCGTCACTCTCGACTTTCTCTCAACTCTTCAACTCGACCTCGCTCCAGCCTCGCTTTCATGCCTCGAGGCAGCTCACCGTGAAGGCAGGGAGTACGGTGATCCACGCCTTGGGCGAGTTTTCTGCTATTTCACTTATCTTTCATCCTTCCAATATCGTCGCAATCTTCCTTCCAGAACGCCGCCCGCCAGCCAGCCTAGCTCTCTCGACTCACGCTCCTATTCCTCGCTCGATGGAACAAACTAGCCCGCGACCAGGTCTGTTCGGCAGTCACTCTAAAACGCAACACTTTCAATAGACACTCTCCCACCGAAAAAGTCCTTTCTGCTACACCCTCTGCACCTTCGAACCCTCACCGATTTTTTGAGAACGCGCGACGATGAGCTACCCCTCTGCAGCCCTCCTGCTGGATCCAAAGGCATACAAGAGACAAAGTACAACCGGTAACTTTTCACCTTCCAATCATCAACCCAAACGCGGCTGTGCAATGGATGGTGACCAGGCAGTCATAACTCGACACTTGAGCGAGCCACCCATTTCGCAGCCTGTTGCGCCGCCTTCGATCTCTCGAAAGCGGAAAGCGATAGACGACTTTACTTTATTCACAATTTCAGATACTTACACATATCTCAAAGGTCGATCTACTTCAAGGAACAATAGCAAGCCTTCTGATTCCCAGGGACCCACCCCGGCTGGAGCTCCCCAAGGAACATCATTTGACCCGAAGCTCCTCCTCCAGCCTCGACAATACAAATTCCCCACGAGGCCTTTGCCGAACACAAACAATGGTCAAGATCCAAATAGTTCAAGCCATAGCCGTGATGAAATCAAGACACCTACGAACACAAACACTGCTGTGTTGGTGACCGAGAATGAGCAGCTGGACTCAAACAAATCGCCGGTGGCACACAGTAATATGATCGAGGACATATACGGGGTTGAAAGACGAGAGAGCCAGCCACAGAAACGAGTCAAGATTGATAAAGGGCCTTCTACAAGCAGTAATGGAGGGCCAGAAGCAAGGTTCTCGGCTACCGGCAGCTCAGCTCTTGGAAGCTATATGAAAGAAAAGCCGGATGATATTAGTGCTACCGTCACTGCAAGCAATCCAATTGACCTCACTGCAGGTAAGTCCGAGCCATTCACTTATGATGGAGTCAGAGTAAATAAACTGACAATAACATAGACAAAGATGATAAGAATGATGATGATGTCATTTTTGTTGCCAACAAGGAGAAAGGTGCCGAAGAAGTGTGTTACGGTAAGGTTGAAGGTGCGACAGTACATGCACATATGATCCCGGCACTTCCCAAGTCTGCATTTGGTGCGACAACATCAAGTTGGCCTTCTATCAGGTGTCAATTAATACGGACACGAAGTAACAATGTTACAATTGATGTCCGCGATGTGGCTGGAAAATCCTTTGGAGTTATAGATAAACATGTTTCCACAGCACTCGCACCTCTGCTTGATATGACCTTTGGCTTGAGAACGCAAGCGCGTCTTGATGCTCGTCGGAGAAAGCCAGACGAACAACCGGGCCAGGCCTGCTCTGAGATATTCCGCATCTCGATAAATTTATACGGCCCGAGACGCGTCGCTGACACTATCGGCCGTGTTTTAAGCCAGAAGAATATTTGGCTCGGGATACCAAATTCAGTTGAAGCTGGCATTGCCACGTACAACCCTCATGCTGAGAGACGCCGGTTATTGGCAGCTACAGCACAGCAGCAGCAGCCACAACAGACTCCTAGGTACACTGTTCAATCTGAAGTTCGCACAGCGGAAGAGATCAGTAGCGCTGTTACCAAGATGTTTGATCAGCTCCAAAGTGCTCAGAACCTCCCTGAAACAGAGACCCCTGAGTTACTGAAGACTCAACTGCTTCCGCATCAAAAGCAGGCACTCGGGTTCATGGTGGAGAAAGAGAAAATACGCAAAATAAGCACAGACGAGGCGGAGAACAACTCACTCTGGAGAATTGAACAAAAGGGAAATGATCAACGGGTCTATCGTGAGATTATCAGCGGAGTAACTCTCGTGGCAGAACCACCCCAGGTACTTGGTGGTCTACTCGCAGACATGATGGGACTGGGAAAGACTCTGAGCATTCTATCCCTTGTATGTTCATCACTCCCTGATGCAGCCGCCTGGGCAAGCCAAAAGTCTGCACAGCCGTCCTTGATAAATGCAAAGACTACCCTGCTGGTATCTCCTCTCAGTGCAGTCGGCAATTGGGTGAGTCAAATAAAAGAGCATGTTAAAGATGATGCTCTTTCATTCTACGTTTTCCATGGACCGAGTCGAACGGAGGATCCCAGAGAATTGGCCAAGTATGACGTTGTCATCACTACATACACAACGATTTTAAGTGACGTCTCCGGCAAAAGTTCTAAAAGAGGTACCAGCCCACTTGTGCGAATGAACATGTTCCGAATCGTCCTAGACGAAGCACACATTATTCGAGAGCAAAACGCGGCTCAGAGCCAAGCTATATTTCAACTCAATGCTCAGCGGAGATGGTCTGTCACTGGAACTCCGATTCAGAACAGACTTGAAGATCTAGGAGCGGTGTTGAAGTTCTTGCGGCTGTCGCCATACGATGAACGAGGACGATTTGCAGCGCATATTGTTTCACCGTTCAAAACCGAGAATCCAAGCGCCATCACAAATTTGCGGGTGTTGGTTGATTCATTTACTCTTCGTAGAGTGAAGGATCGTATCAACTTGCCCCCTCGACATGATAAGACCGTGATGTTGAATTTTACCGAACAAGAGAGGAGGCTTCACGACTTCTTCAAGAAGGAATCCAACGTCATGATGAATGTTGTTGCTTCGGAAACCCGTGGAAAGGCTACTGGTAAAATGTACCATATAGTCTTGAAAGCCATGATGGTACTACGGCAGATCTGCGCACATGGCAAAGAGTTACTGGACAAGGAAGATCGAGAGCGATTCCGAGGGCTTACAGCAAACGACGCTATTGACATAGAAGCGCTGGATGATGATCACTCTACCACGGCCGCCAGCCGAAAGGCGTATGAAATGCTGTCTTTGATGAAGGAGTCATCGGCCGATACCTGTGCTCGTTGTTCAAACTTCATCACCCTGCAGTCTGATGACAGCCCTGGTGATAAAAATGCAATGGTAGCAGCCATTCTTCCTTGCTACGACATTTTGTGCGCCGACTGCTTTGCCCCCATTGCGCCTAGACTGGATGAATTAGCCGGCAAACCTGTACAGGTATCCTGCAGCTTTTGTAACTGCGTGATAGCTCCAGCTTACTCCGTCATCACTACGGCCGGGTTTGAAGAATATCAAGCCTCGCTACTTGAAAACAAGAAGAACCGCAAACAGACAAAAGAATTCGGCCAATACGAAGGCCCTCACACAAAGACAAAAGCTTTGATTTCACGCCTCCTAGACACGGCTGAAGATAACAAGAAATCTTCCTGCCAGCCACCGATCAAAAGTGTTATATTTTCTGCGTGGACATCACATCTTGATCTGATAGAAGTTGCTCTTGAGGAGAACAAACTGACGGGCTTCACCCGTCTAGACGGCACCATGTCCCTGAAGCAGCGAAATGCATCTATCGAAACCTTTTCGACGGACGATAGTGTTACTATTCTGCTGGTCACTATTGGAGCTGGCGGAGTAGGCCTCAACCTGACTGCCGGCTCTATAGTGTATATCATGGAACCACAGTACAATCCCGCCGCCATTGCTCAGGCCGTTGACCGAGTTCATCGAATTGGACAGAAGAGAGAAGTCACCACCATCCAATTCATAATGAACGATAGCATTGAAGAGAAGATCACCGAGCTGGCCAAGCGGAAGCAGAAACTTGCTGATATGAGCTTGAATAGAAAGATGGATAGAAGGGAGCTACAAAAGGAGAGACTTGAAGAGTATAGAAGTCTCTTCAAGTGAATGCTCCGATATCCCTTCGCTGGCGTTCCTTATTCTGTTTATTTCTTTACTCGATTTCTCTTTCCCACACTCCTTTGGGCCCCCTTGACGACCGATTTAGATGCCAATTTTCGGCCCCATTTCGGGATTAACGACTTGATTTACGACCAAACAGGAAGAATGGAAACAGCATCAGGGACTGGAGTTATTGGGGATTTATGACTTTGCTTTACATTTTTCTCTTGCAGTGATGAAATCTGCTTTTTATGTCTTCATATTCCCCCCTTCCCCCTATGCCCAACCACCCTTTTCGATACCCCATTCATTTGCTATATTTGTCGATATCTCCATCTTCCCTGTCCAATATTGAATTTTGCCCCCTTTACAATGCGTTAAGCTTCCCTACCTATGTTTTTTCCTTGATTACCTAGGGTAGTAGTGAAATGCCGAATAATGGCCTTTAGAATATCACATACTCGCCTTCAGGATGCTCTTCGGCCATTCATCAAACACTCAATTCAGCTTACAATATCTCAACTAAAACGCCATCTGGTTTTCGTAGATATGGAGACAAATATCTGTAGAGATTACAGGGGTATCATAATAGAAAACATAACAAGTAGACAGCAACGCTGCCCTTCAAAGAATCTCCAAGCAGCGTAAGGCATTATATCCCTCGGCTAACAGCTTCCAACAACCCATCAACTTTTTCAGCAAGTTTCTTCATCTGTTTCCGTTTCCGCTTGCGTATCTTTTCCGCCTCCCGTAACTCATCTGCGAGCTGCCGTATCCTAGCTTCCTGCTCTGCCTCACTACTGCCAATGCCAGGAAGCACACTAATAAGATACTCGATCTGCTGTTCTTTTATAATCAAGTCCCTGGCTAGTTCTCTCTGTCGCTGGGCAAACGTATTCGGCGAATCAGGCCGTGGCGGAAGATCTCTGTTCTGTTCTTGTGCTCCTCCAGCAGCATCTCCCCCTTGCTGTTGCTGCTGCTGGGGAGTCTGACCCTTTTGATCCTGTCCTTGCGCTTGCCCTGAGGCCGGCTGAGCAGCTGGAGCGTTTGGGGGCGCGTTCTTTGGTATTTTCTTCAGTTGTGGGATGGCGGTTGGGACGTTTGATGGGGGTATGGCAGGTGAATGGTCATGGTAGGTCGTGAGATAGCAGAGAGTAGCGTAGAACTGGGTCGCCAGCTACATAGCAGCGTCAGTATTGTGTTTATTCATGTATTGCTGGTCAGGATAGTCTCTTCCATACCTGATCAAGGCATGTTTGAAGCTGTGTGAGGATGTCCGCCATGGCGCTGAAGCTCGCTGGATGCAGTCGCAAGACGCCTGGCGCCGCGCAACCGAGGAGAAAACGGCTCTTAACCGACCAGCAGAGTAATTTATGTATACTCAAGCCTGTGAAAGCGGCAGAGCAGTGATGACAGCAGTTATCGCGTAGTTAGTCGTTCGTGGTTGAGCGGGCTCTCTGAGTGTATGAAGAGGAAGAAAGCAGCGAGGGAAAAAGCGAAGGCAAAAAGATTAAAAAGCTTCAAAGCTGCACCAAACACAGCATCATCGACAGCAAGCAAAGCCATGCTCTGCGCAAGAACAGCTTCACAATGCTACAGAACACACATCTACAGCTCAAGGGCCCTATATCCAAGACTGTTTTCGACTGAGAAACCTTCACTCCCTGTTCCGCCAGCTTCTCCGAGCTCTCGGCACCATGACCTGCAGTCGTTCCTGGCCTACGCAAAGAGAACCGCGCTCTCGACACGGAGCACAACCTACGTAGGGACGCTCTACGAATATACAGTGCAGCAGAGCCTGAAGAGACATTGTATAGATCTAACTCGCATCGGCGGGCGGTCAGACTGCGGCATTGATCTCGTTGGGACCTGGGCTTTACCGCCGGCCTCTGCTCAGCCGCTACGAATACTGGTACAATGCAAGGCTGTCAAGGCGAAAGTTGGGCCGAATCTGATACGAGAGCTTGAAGGGACATTCTCGGGAGCTCCCGTGGGCTGGAGAGGGGAAGGGATACTGGGGATGCTGGTTAGCACGCGGGAGGCTACGAAGGGGGTTCGAGATACATTGATCAAGAGCCGATATCCGTTGATTTGGGCTCTGGCAGACCTGGACGGATCAATGCGGCAGTTTCTATGGAACAGGAGGGCTGCTGAAGTCGGACTGGAGGGTTTGGGGGTGCAGATCAGACATGGAGGGGAGACGGATCCCATGAAGAAGACTGTTGTCTTGACCTGGAACGGCGAGGAGATCGAACCAGAGGCCTTGAAGACGGGTTGATACACCACCTTTGAGGTCACTTGGGGGCGTTTTGACCTCTATAACACGGCTATATACATCCACTGGATGACCACAACAACTCTGACATGTCTCATGAATCCAATCATTGGAGCTGTTCCTCCTAGCTCGGCTCTACCATTCAAATCCCAACCACAGCCATCGGACATGCATGGGATCACGGCCGGCTCGTTGAACAGCATATTCTCTTTCCAATCGTTTTAATACCGCCCAAGTTATCATTGATTCCAGTCTGGCTTGGGCCATCCATTCTCACCTCCACCCTTCGCCGGCCATCCATCAGGGACAGCTGCATAGGTAGGTAGGACGTACTGCTTCTCACACTTGGCTGCCGTGCACTTCAGCTCACACAGACCAAACGTGAAGCAGTAGCATTCCCCGGCTGGCGGGCAGTATACCGGTTTCTTCTGCATGATCACTGTCAAACAAGTCAGTATATATACAAGCAGCCAGTATGTTCAAAGTTAGACAGAGAAGATACATACTATGCCACATGTACTCCATGATTCTCCCACTGATATCATCAGGCAGGTCAGTCTCGACCAGCCATTTGCGAATACGCTCATAGTCAGCCTTGGGCCGCAGCATGACCTGCTCCCGTGTGGCAGCAAACTGCGACGAGCATGTCGCACCCACCTCCGCAGGCACCTCGGTACCGGGGAATATAGTCCTGAAGACGGTTGCAAAGGCGAGCTCGGTCTGCTGGCGGACGATAGGGCCTTCATCCACGGGTTTCAGCGGGTGTAGTTCGACGGGGCAGCCTGGTATCCAGGTACACCTGAGTGGCGCATATCCCGTCTTGACCACAGCCTGAAGCTGTAGTTTGCGTATCACCGAAGCTCCGTCTGCAGGCGTAGTTTGATTAGCATACCTGCACCTTTCCACCAGCCAGCCAGCCAGTCAGTCAGGCCACGTTTGTACATACCGTATATTGGGTCATCGTTATGCCACTGGTACCGCCGGCCGTGCATGAATATCATAAAGTCCGGCAGCTGGTCGTATCGATCTATAATGTACCTGAGACCCGTAAACAAACAAACCCATCAGCCCATGCCCCGTAGGTAAATAACTAGCTATCAACAAGCTGGAAAAGGCCAGAGAGTCTCACGTCAAATACACCATGGCCTCCCTCCCTTTATTCACAGGCACAGAGAGGCCCGAATTGCTCGTTGCATCGGCGTCGGCAATGTAGATATTCGCCTTCCAGTCCGCGAGTTGCTCTCGTATCCACGCGGTATCATCGGCCTTGACGCTGGCGACGACCAGCTCCCTCGACGCCGTCGCTAGCTTGCCTGCATCAGGCTGCTGCGAGCTCTGCGCTCCCTGCTTATGCGGTTGCTGCGAGCCGGACATGCCATGGGTTCGTACCGGCGGCTGTCTGAAGAAGAGGAAGTAGAGGGCGAAGACGGTGGTGATGGACACCAGGATGAACAGCTGGTTGATGCGCTGGGCCTGCCGCGGGCGATGGACAGGCATAGCTTCTGTCTCCTGTCAGGCTGTCATTGAACTGCTTTATGAGTATTTCAAGGGCCGTCTCCTCATCGCAGCTGGACGATGCTGGATGCTGCTGGTGCTGCTCGTTGGTGGTTCTGTTGTTTGTTCGATGCAGATTTTGTGGCTTTTTGGCAGATCCTCGGCCTGTGATGTCAGTGGGACAGGCAGGAGGTAGATAGAATGCTCAGGAATTGCGCTTGGTAACAGTTATTCTAGAGCAATTGCAGGTCTATAGTTGTATTATCACGAAGATACGTAGCTGGAGTTGAACTTGAGTCTAGTTATATAGATCGTGGGACGGTTGGAGAATTGACAGATAGAATAACAGATGCTACAAAAGATGCTACAAGACGTAAATACAGACAGCGCCGAACCAACTCCTCCGGGGTATCAAAACGAGGCCAGCTCCGTCCAGGTCATCCTACATGTTTCGTGATGTCGTGGCCTGATATCCAGCATCCGGTCGTGCGAGCAGCCAGTCCCTACATGGCTTGCCAGAAGTAATTCGCATAGAAGAACCGAGAGAACTTGGGGTCGATGTTCACGACATGGACGTCCCCCTTTCGACTGTTGCGGATAATAGCTTTGTTGTAGTTCCCTGCCTCGTCCGTGTCAACATCAATGCCCAAGGACCGGTATATCTTCAGCCGTAGTCTACCAAGCAAACAAAGCCAATGGTCAGTATATACGCGCAGAATGCATGAAGGGACATCCAGAGACATCCAGAGCCTTACATGGTAGCATCGTCGGCCTCTCGTTCCCTCCTGATCTGCTCGTCTCCCTCGAGGCCCTGCGCATCGAGCTCCGCCAGCCGGGCCTTCAACGACTCCAGCTCAGCTTCTAGCCGCTCACTCTCGATCTCGAGCTCAGACGCAGCCTTTGCTATGCGGAACTTCTCTGTGTCCAGCTCGACGATGGACGCAGCATGGCGCGCGGGATCATGCGCCTCGACGGTCTCCTTGTGCTGGGCGTTGAGCGTGCTGAGCTGCCGCGAGAGCTTGCGCAGGGAGTTTTCGACTTCTTGGAAGCGTAGATCTCGAGACTGCTGCAGAGACGAGAGCGAGTCGTTTATCCGTGACAGTGCAAGCTTGTCTGGCTGGATGTTAAAGTTGGTGATTGTATGGTGGATGAGCTGTAGCCGGCAGTCAGTCACACACAGTATAGATATCACTGTAGATGCACCTTACAGTAGCGGGATCCTCTTCCAGCAGCATCTTGACGGCTTCTTCGCTCCTTTGTGACCTGTCAACGTCTTCTTCCTCCTGTCTTGCTCGTGTTGATGTTGATGTTGATGTTTTGTTGTTGCGGCAACTTTCAAGAACTTCAGCTTTTTTTCTCCCCGCAAGCAAAAGACGAAGCGAAGCGAAACTGACGCCACGAACAAGACTGAACTTCACCACCAGCACCAGCTGCGGCTTCTTCGACGTTGATATCTAAAGGAACAGACTTGACCTGCTGTGATTTACCTCTCGCGCACGAGTTTCCACGCTGAAACAGGCCCGATGATGGCTTCTCTACCCTGTAAGTGGCTATGCAGCTCCCAGGCTCCCGCATTCCAGCAGCTTGCTAACCCGGCCTTTTGTCCTATATAAAGACGCTGCAGACGCTGAAAGGTCAGTAAGAACAGCTACGGAAACCGCCTTTGTGTGTATATACCCGCAGACTAACAGACAGCCGCCATGGACAGCCCGTTGAAGCCAGCCGAGCTCCAGGTCCTTCGAGCCCAGTACGAGAAAGAAGGCGAATACGTTGGCGTCCAGACCAAATTCAACTATGCCTGGGTGTGTTACCCTCCTTTGCAGCCGCTTTGCAGCTATTCCAGGGCTCAGCTAACGTTGTCAAGGGCCTGATAAAATCCAGCTCCCGGCCGGAGCAGCAAGAAGGCACCCGGCTGCTTTCTGAGATCTTCCGAACCGCGCCCGAACGACGACGGGAGTGTCTCTACTACCTCGCCCTGGGCAACTTCAAGCTGGGCAACTACGGCGAGGCGCGACGGTACAACGACCTCCTGCTCGAGCACGAACCGAACAACCTGCAGTCCGCCAGCCTGCGCACCCTGATCGATGACAAGGTCGCCAAAGAGGGCCTCATGGGAGCCGCCATCATCGGCGGTGTCGCCGTGGCTGCTGGCCTGATCGGCGGCCTCATCATGAGAGGAACCCGGAAGCGATGAAGCTGACTGCAGACGACGGCCTCTCTACGTTTCCTTGGTGCTTCTTCGGGTGCTTCTTTTGACTTGACTGTGTACTATCTTGACTATATCTACTTACTTATCCTCGGCTGTACTTTTTTGGCAGGCATCTGGAAGGGCGTTCCGTTGGCTTTTTGAAGACCCAGTCTCTCCTCTTGGTACAGCGCTAATGAATATACATACATTCACCTTTTGACCTGACTTCTGCCACTCTTTGGCCTTGTCTTTGGCCTTTTCTATCTCTTTTTTTATGTCTTTTATGTCTTTTTGATATCTTCAACTTCTTTGCCGTGAATACTGCTGACTAATCAACGACGTCATCTTCGGCTTCTTTTTTGTTTCTTCATAAAAACAACAAGCAAAGCAAAGAACAAGAAAAGAAGAAGAAGAAAAGAAAGAAAGACGGGAAGAAGCAGAAGACGAAACACAAGCAGCGGAAGAGCAAGGAAGATTCGCGAACCCTCTGAGACTTTCGACCTGCGGGCTCCCGATCGCTGCCCTGCCAGCCGTTTGTCCTTGCACATCGATCACCACTCAAACTTCGTCCTCTGGCCGACGCCTCCGGATAGACTCAGCCACCCGAGCATATAGACCAGCTGGCCTCCTGTCTGCGCTCTTTACGGTTATATTGCTCCCCTCGCAGCGCCCATAGAGCCTCGTTGCGTGCTCATCCTCGAGCAGACCGTTCCTCGCCTCGCTATAAATACGAAATTCTAGAATCAACCAGCGTCGTGGGGCTGCTTCACTCTACAGCTAGTACTGCGTCCTGCCCCGCCGACCGTTGTTCACTATCGTCTTGCGGTCCTCCATTTTCCTAGTGAACCGCTGAGTGCTCAGTCTACAGAATTTCTCAGCTTGAAAAAAGGGGGCTGGTTCCCACCTTTCTACCGTCTCTGTGCCAGCAGCCGCTTAGCTGCTCTCTGCAAACATGGCTGATCGTGTGACGGGAGAACGAGTCTATTGCCATGAGTGCCAGCATGAATGGCCCCGGAGCTCTCACGGACTGACCTGTCCGCGCTGTCAATCAGAGTTTGTCGAAATAGTGAGCATTTACTTTGCCTTTCCCCCATGTCGATAAAAGCTACTCGTGTTGATCAGAACTAACGGTAACTATCTAGCTTGAGGACAACGAGAGCATTCATGAAACCCACCATGAAAACGAGAACAACCTCGAGAATGCAGATTATGATACCCGCCAAGGTCAGCAGCAGGAGCAGCACCAGCAGTCCCCTCATGACACGTTCGCTCCGGCAGACACTCACCCGCTATTCCATTCTTACAACTCGCCCAGGCGTGTTACCCGCCATCATTACCAATCCCGCGACGGCAGCTTCCAGTTTACCAGCACTACCATCAGAGCTCCCGATGGCAGAGGAATCGGTGGGGGTATCAGAATGGGAGTGGGCACTAGACCTGAAGCCGCGGAGGATGCCCTGGGACCCTTGTTCCATACCTTCAACACAATCTTGCGAGGAATAGCGGAAACACAGCCCAACAGAGGTGGAATACCAGCGGGCTATGGCTCCCAGAGCCCAACTCAAGCCAATAATTATCGCAATTCCAGTCCTCCTGAGGTCCTAGGTGGAGGGGGTGGAGGAGGCCTGTATCCGCGGGACGCAAACTATGCACAGCGTAATGCGGAACCAGTACTGAACATCAATGAGTAAGTTTTCCTCCCAAGCTTGTTGTCCCTCGTACCTTATCTCTCTCTGTGATACAATCTAACTATATATCTCTAGCATTCTGGCCATTATGCACGGCGCTGCAAATCCAAACTACCGAGGCGGGGGCGTTCCTCTTCTAAGCCCTATTGCGGCCCTCGCCCAAGCCTTGGGAATGCAACACCACGGTGACGCCGTCTATTCTCAAGAAGAGCTCGACCGTGTGATCTCCCAGCTGGTAGACCAGAATATGAACGGAAATGCCCCTGCGCCAGCATCTTCAGACGCAATCCGATCTCTGCCGAAGGTTAAAATCGACAAATCCATGCTAGGCAGCGATAACAAAGCCGAATGCTCAATCTGCATGGATAACGTTGAGCTAGACACAGAGGTCACCATGCTACCATGCAAACACTGGTTCCATGATAGCTGTATCACAGCTTGGTTAAACGAACATGACACATGCCCGCACTGTCGACAGGGAATCATGGCAACCTACCAGCAGAACCACGGAGCAGCACAGCAACAACAGCAAGGCCATAACGCACAAGCTTCTGCAAGTGTACCCCTCGGAAGCCCTAGCAACCCTTTTGTTTTCCCCCCAGTCACTATACAGGGACAACCATCCACCGTGCCTGGCGTGGCTCAAGGAGCGGGCGGGCCTAGCCAATCTATTAATCAAGCCGCCGGTTCCGAGTCTCGAAGATCAAGCACAGGAAACAACTCTCAACAGCCGTCTGGCGGTGGCCTAACTGGGTGGATGAGATACCATTTCGGAGGAGGCAGCTCCTGATTCAACATTCCCTCCTCACATTTCTTTTCTCCCCTTTACTTGCGTTTTCGATATACTATTATACCCAAAGGATGACTACACGATCCCCTTGCACGCTTTTTCCTTGTGTTTTTTTTTTTTTTTTTTTTCAACGGCATCGAAAAAAATTCGGACATGTTGGTTGGGGGTTACCAGGCTTTTGATGATTTTCCCTAATTCACCGGCTGTTTCACAAGTTTTTTCATTATAACTCTGGCATTCTCACCATCATGCGATGGAATTGGTGTTTCTCTCTCTCTATGTATACCGGTCCCTATAGTCTACAAGGCTCTTTTATCGAGGTAGCTAATAAATACCTCGAAGAAAGCAACCAGCTCTAATAACAATTTCATTAACTATTTTTCAAGACACTCTTTATAAATATTAAAACCAACAATTTAATATTTGACATATATAATCTTAAATATATTCACCGAAAAAGATATCAACGTTCTTGTCAAGGTATACCACCACCTGAGCCCCTATCCCCCTATCCAAAACATAAAAAGCCAACCCCCTCTAAACAGTCGAAGTGATCTCCAAATTCGCCAGACCTCCTTCAACAGCCAATTGTTCAAAGATTCCCTTGAAAACACCAGCCAGCCACTCAAAATCACTCACCTCAAGGTACACCTGAGCACTGAGTCTAGTCCAAATAGACCCAGCATGCACCCAGCACGGAGACATCGTATTATGCTGCAGTACAAGCCTCTGCTCCATCGCCCGACACGTAGGCACCGCATCCACCATCTTAACAACAGGCCATTCAGGCTTGGTCAGTTTCCCCTGCGGCACATTCTGGTCATCGACAAGCGTGATCGGCAACCGCACATTAGCAAATGCACATTTGCGGAATTCGCTCTGCTTCTCGTTCGCTACGTCCAAGGTACCGCCCGACGAGCAGAATTCACCAATTACATCTGTGCCCCAGATGCCTGCTACGCAGTTCCCTGCCTCAAATGCAAGGTTTTGGCAGTATTGCATGATGTTCTCTTCGCCGCCGCATACCTCCTGGCGGTACTTGATAGATTCAGGCACGCAGAGGAAAGGTAAGTCGTCGTTTGTGCCTATGAACTCGAACTGTAGTTCGAAATCGGACTGGGTGAAGAATGCATCGATGGGTTTAGAGAAGGGTTCGTCTTCGTGGCCTAGCTCTGAGCCTGTCTTCATGATTCCTGGCACGGGTACGAAGCCGTGAGAGGTTGGTACAGTTGTGCGGATGAGATGCTGGTTGCGTTCTGGGACGTAGAATACCGCACATCCCCGGGGAACGAAGAGCCATCTTTGAACAAGTCAGCATATCAATACCTACATGTTTGGTTAGGGAGTACGTACTTATGACAGTTGCTGACGAAAAAGTCAGGGTCCAACTTGCCCAGGTCAAGAGGGATTTGGCCCACGCCATGAGCACCGTCGATGCAGCTCAGGATGCCTTCCTTCTTGCATACCTCCGTAAGCTTCTCGAACGGCAGTCTGACTCCGGGACTGCTAACGATGGTATCAAATACGGCAATTTTAACATTCAATCCTTCACTGCGTGCCTTGGTCACGGTATCCATGAACCGCTGCACCATTTCGTCATGGGTGATTGGAAACTCATATTTGATCCTACGGGCGCGGACAGGAGTAGTTTCAGCCAAAGAGGCAATCAGCTTCTCTACTGCGCCATATACGGTAGAGAAGTAGACGATGATATCTCCCGGCTTGTAGACGAGGTTCCTTAACACCGTGTTGACGCCGGTGGTAGCATTCTTGACCAGCACGGTAGAGTTGACTGGCGTGTTCAGCAGTGAGCCCAGGGCCTTGCGGGACTCGAGCAAGTAGAATGCCAGCCCAAAACGAAGAAATCGATCTGGACTTGCTTCAAACTTGTCCTGGAGTTCACGGAACCTCTTCAGTACGGTGATGGGGTATGTCCCGAACGAGCCTGGTATATGTTAGAGCCGCCCAATTGAACTTGTCGAAGGGAGGTATCACTTTATTTACCATGATTCAAGTTCCTAAAGGTCGGTTCAATGGGGAAGTCCTTGAGGAGAGAATTGCCGAGTGCTTTTGGCTGGTATGAACCCATGTTGGTAACACCGCACTTATATATAGTAGGGAGATAGTTATAGAACTCCAGGATATAACTCGTTAGTGAGATGGCTCTTTCAACTGCAGGTTATCAAGGACAGCCTACCCCTTATATAGACACACCAGTTCTGTATCTAGCAATATCAAAATATCATATATGACTCGGTGTTGACTCCGCACGCATTTTAGACCTCGGCGGCGTGTTTGGTGGAGATCTTGGACGCTCTTACATAACATCCGCCGCCCAAAGAGGCATAGAGTACGAAGATGGCTTGCCTTAGCCGATATCTCATGCATGGAACCATGGAACCACGGAGCCGACGAGCTGGGGATGAGCTGGACAGATGGGCCGCTGACTTGTCATGGAAAGGGCGCATTCAGTCAAGTCGATTATCAATACCATTAGACAGCTAGAGTACAAAATAGGCATGCTTGGCTAGTTAATGGGAGCGGCGAAAGAATCATGGCGACAGGACGGGTGAAAATACAAGGAGGGAGAAGAAGATGGGAAGATGATATGCAATGTATGAGAACGCCGTCTATCCAACCCTCTTCCTTGCAAGGTAGACCAACAAGCAACCGAACCTCTTTGCTTGTCAAAACCATCATGCCATAGTTATTGTATCATGCCAATTACCAAAATCAAACAGCCACTCGGAACACACAAGTCAAAAAAAATAAAATAAATAAAAAGAAGAAACACAGAGTCGGATAATCGGCCAGATTAGATCGGAGGGATTCATTTATCGCTTGCCTTTCTTCTTGGACACGACCTTGAAGGATGCATTGCTGGTCGTCTGATCTTCCCTGCTTGCAGCTGCGTTGCCCTTCTTGGCGACTTCGTTCCAGCCGTCAGACACTTTGCAGTCATATTCAAACGGACGGAAGGAAATGAGGGTGTTGTGGCTCGAGCAGCCTCCCAGCACCTTTGCACGAGAATGGCGAATGTGGCTGTTCCCTACACGCTCTGTGAGTTGGCATACACGGAATCCGAGATGATTTCCGACTCGGCGGGCAAGAAAAGAAGCTGTTGTACAAAGTCATCGACTATAAACACGTTAGTTTCGCATATAGGAATAAAACCTTATGCATTAAATTTAGACTTACCATTAATAGAACTGTTCAATCCCTTCTCAAGAGCTTGCTTGGCCCACTTGGCCAACTCTTCCGCGGGACGGTTGGCTGTGGCTGCAGCGGAATTGCCCATGCTGACGGTTCGGGTCATGATGGTTTTAGGTTTTGTTGCTGGGGTCGGGCTAGGGGTAAGGCCCGGAACGTTACGGGCATTAACAGCGGTAGAAACGGGAGCTGCTTTGGCCTTTCCACTGGCTCCAACGGTGGTCCAGGCACCGCTGGAGGCGGCTGGAGCTGGTTGCTGGGTAGTCATCTTGCCTGCGAGTTCAGCATAACGCTTTCCGGCTGGAGCACCGAGAGAGTTGGCTGCGGATGCAGCAGCGGCAGCATTGCGCTGCTTACGAGCCTCTTCTTCCTTTTGGATTTGGGCCAGAGTCTTCTTTGGTGCAGTGCTGGCGGCTGCTCCTGGGGTTTTACCGCTGGCTGACTTGGACCAGGCAGGTGCATCCGATGTGGGAGTGTTGGCAGATCCGCTACGAGCCCAGTTAGCGGTTGATGGGAGACCTGGAGCAGGTGCTGGTGGTGGATTAGCACGCTCCTGTTCAGCCAAGGCGCGGCGAGCAGCGGCGGCAAGTTCTTCAAGCTTTGCGGCCTTGCGGGCTTCAGCTTCCTGGATTTCACGAAGAGATGGGCCCTTGGCGGGTTCGGCATGCTCCTTGGCCCAGGGTGCGACGGAGGTGGTGTGCACTTCACTTGGGGTTTGGGTCTGGGAACGGGTCTCAGCCGCAAGGTTGTCTGCTACGTGCTGGCGGTTGCGCTGGGCAGCTGGAGCTGGAAGCGGAGACTGGGAAGGCGGTGGCGGGAATGGCTGTGGAAGTCCAGTGTCAACCTTTGCCCATGGAGATTCAACCTCAGATGAGGCTTGCGCGTTGAACTGCTGCTGTTGCTGCTGCTGGAGCCTCTGGGCCGAGGCAGCATTTTGCACCTTCTGGGTAAGGGTGAGCTCCTGTTCGTTAGTTTGGTTGAAAGGAGGCTGGTCCTTTGACGTCGGAGATTGTTCCTGTGGCCTTTGTTGTTCCTGGCTGGTCTCTCGGTGGTTGTTGGCTGGCTCCTCGGTGCGTCGAACAGGGATATCTTCATCGGCAATCCTCAAGGCATGGAATTGACGCACACGCTCCTCTCTAGCTTGCTGGTCAAAGATAGACTCTGGATGGGCCTTGTTGAAGTTCTCCTGCTCCTGTTGCAAACGGCTGCGGTCCTGTAGCATAGTTGTCACGGCCTGGTTGTGTGCCTGAGCTTGAGGATCCTGTGGTCCTGGTGGGAAGGTTCCAGCGTTATTGAAACCAAACTGGCCAGCTCCTCTGTTAACATTCATTCTATCGAGCAAGGCAGGCAATTCATCCTGGCCTGTGCCGAAATCCGGCGCTCCGCCTTGGGGGCCCGGAGGGCCGGTATTCTGTCTCATGGGCCCCTCGAAAAAAGCCGGAACGGAATGGGGAGGTTGAATAGGAGCTTGCATGGGCGCAGGCGGGAAAGCTGCAGGAGAAGTAATGCTGCCAAAGCTAGGCTGGCTTTGAAGACTATGCGCACTTGAGTGATGCTGGAGCTGTGGATTGATTGGGTGATTTGGGCCCTGGATCTGCTGCATCTTCATGAGAGCTTGCTGCTGAGCAAGGTGTTCCTTTTGTCTAGCCATAAGGTATTGCTCTTCCTGCTTTCTGCGTTCCAATGCATTTTGCTGCTCAGCCGTAAGTGTAGTACCAAAGCTTGGGAAGCTGTTCGCAAAAGGAGGCTGGACCGCTCCAGTTTGCGACTGTGCGGAGCTTCCCCATGGTCCTGGCTGGTTCATCGGCGGGCCATGAGGGACACCTATCTGAGGGACAAGGAAAGGTTCGCGAGAGTTTCCAATACGTCGAACAAGCTGGGCGAGAGGTTCATACTCTGCATCTTCCAGTTTCTTGACCTGTAGCTCTGCAGTGAAGAAGCCAGCTTTGAACCAGTCGTGCATTTCGAGGCCAGACCAGGGTCCTTGAGTGTTGCCTTGAGGATCACGGTAGATCCAGCGCATACGGTCTGGCATCACCATCTGGCGCTGTTGCGCTGGTGGAAGCTGATTGGAGGGAGCGCCGCCATATTGGTTGCCGTTGCCACCGTCAAGGGGCGGCTGGCTTGATGGAATGTTGATAGTTCCACCGGCGGTGACGGTGGGAGTGTGCGAAGTGGTGGTAGATGGATGTGGTAAGCTTACTGAGTTCTCCAGAGACATGAACGGATCTATTTAACATGTTAGCCTCATGGTATTTGTTAACGACGCATCGGTGGAATAGATTTGTAAGTACCTTGTGGCTTGCCAGGTTCATCCTTGGGGTGTGACTGTTCATTGCGCATCTGTTCCTGCATGGCAGGGGGGAAGAGAGAACCCAGTTTACTTGGGCGTGATGAAGCGCCCATATTTGAGAGACTGGTTTGCGAGCCAAAGAGACCACCCCCTCCAAGCGCAGAGGTACTTGGAGACTGCAATTCAGACATTGGCCCGAATATTGGGTCGCCAAACCCGAAGGCGGCTCTTTCCCGCGTTGGCGTGCCAGTGGCACTCGTGGTAGGCCATCCGCCGGAGTTACCTAAAGAACCAAGCCCTCCAAGTCCTCCAAGGACTGGGAAGCCCCTATTAGCACCTACACTTGATGTTTGACTACGGTCCGCGGCAGGGATATCAGAGATCATTCCGGGCCGGGGCATGGATCCAAAAGAGCCATGAGCGGGTTCATCACGCAGATCACCAAGGTTAGGCAGACGAGCATGTTGCTGCTGGATATCAGAGCCTTCATGGTCAGCGTCTCCAGTGCCAACAACACCATTATCGGTAATTCGATCGCCACGCGGACTCTGATAAGGGTTAGTATGCGTTGGGCTCATGGGTTCATGATGCGCATGGCTGGGGGATTGAGATGACGCAACTAGATCACGAAGAGCGGAAGTGCCTCCCGGCATCCCGAACGAGGAGAGGCCGAACTGGTCAATGCCCCCCATCTCCTGACCTCCCAGGGCCGCGCTACCGCTACGGCGTTCGTCGAAGGGATTAGTCTCGCTGCGAGAAGGGCGGTTCCTAAAGGCCTCTTCAGTAGGATCTCGGAGAGCGTCGTCCTCGGCTTCAGGCAGACGATCAAGACCGATAGCAGACGACATTTTATCCTTGTTATTGCTGCTACCAGCGATATCCTCAGAACTGGTCTTGGAAAGCAGGTTTTTGAACCGACTTTCGCTGCGTACGCTCCCGAAGCCTGGTTTCTTGTCTGTACCGCCTTGAGAGCCGACACTGCCAAGAGCAAAATTACCAAAGGCTCCTACCCCCATTGAGCCAAAGGCAGAGCCCTGGTTAGACGACCAAGGAGAGTTGGATCCAACGGCACCGACTGGGTTGGTGGTGCTGCGTTTGAGAGACCCAAACGGGGAGCTGATATCGAACGAATTTTCGCGCTCCGCAAAGCTCTTGTCCTTATCGTCCCACTTGGAGTCACCCGTAGAGTCTTTGATGTCGGTTTTTCGGCGCAGGATAGCTGGAGGCGGAGTCGCGGTGTTTGGTTCGTCACGGAAAAAACGAGAGCTCGTGGGCGACATTGGATTCCCCGAATCTCCAGTCCCCCGCCTGCGCGGCACAGTGCGGGCAGAAGCCGGAGAGGTAGAATTAAAGGAGTTCATATGGCCATGAGAGACGGACGATTTGCGGCCAATCGTGCCGACGGATGAAGAGCCATCCTTGTTAGCATTTTGTGGTGGAGGTTTGAGAGGCGAGTTGACAGAGGTCGAAAACAACTATAGCCAAATCATCAGCATGTTGAAAAATTGAACGCAAGAAAAACGCATATCTTGTCATTGGTATCAAAAGCAAGGGATAGTGCCACGCACTTCTTTCTCCTCGTCGTTCATATCCAATAGGCCCAGAGGTTCACTCTGGCCCTTATGGTCCCAGCAGATCTCCGGATTTGCAGCATTATTTTCTTTGGAATCGTCCGGTTTCCCCCAACTTCCGTTAGTTGATGGACGTTCACTGCGGGGGTTCCAGTCGCCCATGAAATAACCGGTGATTGATTTCCCCCAATCCTTCGACACTCGCTGGTTCTTATAAAGATTAAGAAGCTGCTCCTTGGAATAGGTATTATCGTTCCCACTACGCGCTGACTGGTAATTGGAGCTGAGGTGGGGTGGAATATACGCAGCGCTGGAAGAGTTCGAAGTGTTTGACTGGGCCTGCTGCGCGTTCTCTCGGCTATGGGAAGGATTGGTAGCAACAGATGGCCTCCGGAACGTCTGCGTAGCTCCGTTCATACGATTCCGAGACCTAGTATCAATGTTAGCCACATGCTGGAACTCGGGGAGAAAACAGGAAATAAAAAAAGCCGAGCTGCACGAAAGGAGCAAAAGGACAGCATCCTAGATGATCAGAGATGCCGTACCAATCCCTCTCAACACGACAGAAGATCCCTACCATTCGCCGCTACTCATAACATCCCTCCTCGAGCCAGAGGCCGACTCTTGTGTGTTTCCGGCGGCCGCAGAGGCAAAAGTTGATGGCAAAGGTGAAGACATGGTGTAGTCAATAAGCTGGAGAGCACCGTCAGCAACGCTGCCACGCCAATATACAGACGAAAAGAGGCTCGAGCGTGTCTGTTGTTCCCTTTATTCACTCCGGCTATATGGCGTAGGTGAAGGGCGACGAGAAGCAGGACACACGACAATGGTGCTTACCAAAGCGGATCAAGAATCCCAGGCGCGCCAGGAATAAAGAAGGAAACGAAGGCGAATGTGTAGACAGGCGCTGAGAGAGCTGGATCGAAGCTGGATGCTGGTGATGCGAAGTCGCTAAAGATGCTGGTTGTCGCTGTTGACGGTTGACGTTGTTGGCGGTTGAAGTCGAAGTCGGAGAAGAGAAAAAAAAAGATCTTTTGCTCGTTTTGGATGGCTGGAGGTGGGAAACAAGGGCAAATCACGGGACTACGTGGCAGTAGCGGCCGCAGGCGAGTGAAGTCACGTGGAGAGCTGGCTTTCTGGTGGGAGCGCGCTGCAGCCACGCAGTAGATTATGTTCACGCACCGCCTTTAGACGAAGCACAGAAAAAAGTCGAAAAGTCGAAGTCGAAGACGCGGACAGACGAGGTTGATTTCAGTGATATCAGCGCCGCGGCGGCGAAGACGGCGGGATGGCCGGTTATTACGGCATACGCAGCTTGCTCGATGCTGTAACTATGGCCAGCGCTGGTGCAAAATTTGCCTGCGTGGAAGAGCTGGCGCCGCGCTTGAAGGCGTACCATGGAATGGCAGCAGAGAGAGGCGTTGTTTGAGATGGCCTCATACCCCCCAAACGATGGCAGATAGACGGCTTGTATCAGTGTCTATAGATTACTGCAATAGGGAGATCTCTCTATGTCTGAGACATGGCCCTTGCTGGAAAAATCTCTGGCTAACGGGCTCAGGAACATGTCTATACGGAGGAGACACCGGGAGGGGCACTCAGCTTCAACAATGGCCCACAAGGACAGCTACCAGTGTATATCCATGGAGCTATCTGCTGGATATGGGCTGGAACAACGTCATACCCCCTACCTCTAGACCAGTGTGGCGGACAACTCCTTCAAGACGAAGTGGATATTTTCTGAGCTTCGAAATCCATCCAACAGGAACTGGGAAAGCTCAACCTTTGTTTGCCTTGATGGTCAAGTTTGCTTGCTTCCTCACCTCTGTTGCCTCCTAAGGAACGGTCTGCTGCCTGATGGCAGTGGTATTTCCATGCGAGAGGTCAATCGTTGACAGCCTGGTGACTATAGGGCTCTGACAAGCAAACATATTTCAATATCTATACCCTGGCATGGACGGGAGCTCTCAAGATATAAATATGCATTAATTGGCTCAACGATGCCTCCTTCTCAGCCTATCTTTATTTCTATGCAAAGACAGAGCGTTTGAGCCTACATCTTCTAAACTTTCAGGAGAAATCGCCAAAGGATAGCTTATATCCAGGCCCAATCATGCCTTCATTCCCGTTTAAACATCAAGGCAAAAATGGACAACATGCTCGCGCTGGGCCAATCAAACATGACTGGTCGCCGGCTACCACTCAGCTGGTGCAAGGAAGTTCGTGCCTGCATCGGCAAAGACAGGAAATGGAGAGCTTTCACTTTGTTCGACGCTGCATCCCTGGCCTCTACGTCGCCCCTGGATTTAAGTGACACTGCCTGCGCACCGGATTTTACCG